AAAGCCAATCCAAGTGGCTTGTGGGATAAACCAAATGATTGCAATGAGTGCGATCACTTGCCAGAAGGCGAAGAAACTTAAAATAGTTGGCTTTTGTAGTGTCATGTAAACTGTCTTGCAATTTACTGTCAAATAAACTATCTGTGTGTCCCAAAACTACGATTGTAGTACCAAATGAAAGACAAAAAACTGAATTTCTACTTGTAACTGTTTCTACTGTATGAAAAAAATTTAATCAAAAAATCCAAACTTGAAATGTTATTCCATTTTGAAAACGTTTCATATGATTATTTGTAACCCGGTAAATGAAATTTCAGATCATTAAAGTTTCTACCGAAAAAAGCTATAGCATTAATTACTTATGTTACCAGATTTTATGCTTTATTTATAAAGGTATATGCTTTAAGAGACAAATCTTTTAATGTTTTAGTCAAATGCAACTACTTTGCAAGCTTTTTGCATAAATGAAATGTTTAAAAGATCATTGACAGAAATTTTGGCTTTCATGTTAAGAGTTTAGATATTATGCGTTTGTAGGAACAAAAACTGAGTCCATTAATGCTTTGAATTAACTTCTCCGATCAATAGTTCTCTAGAAAATCGAGTTCAAACTTTAAACTTCGATCGGCTTTTATTCGACTGTTTAAGGAAATCTTCTCGTCAAACTCATTTGACTGGTGTAACTGTCGATCAGCAATCAGAAAATTTACTTATTTTAAGCAATGAAATTTGCTGTTTCTGTATAACAGATCAATTCGATTTTCGGTTAAAACTGGCCTCTCTCATTGAACTTAAAAGTTAGAGAACTGCAGCTTATTATTCTGCGATAAAATTTGTTGTGGCATCTGATGGTTTTAACACTTTTTTCAAATTATCAACAGATCTCTTTGAAATTTGGCCATCGGTCTAAAAACTTTGAAACTCGACATTTCGAGAATTATATTACCTAAATTGATCATTCTTTAATCAACCAATAGATTTTATTAGACGCTAAAACATGTAGAAATTTTAGAGCATTAAAGTTCCTAAAAAAAATTTATAGTACTGAATACATATGTTACCAGATTTTATGTTTGATTTTTGAAGATAAATGATTTTCCAAACAGCAATTTTCTGATGTCTTAGAATGATATTCATTATTGCGTGAATTAACTCAGATCGTCACTTTGTTCAGTCATATTTTGTTACAGGCCAATATTATGTATTAAAATCTAATAATTGACCAAAGAATGGTGCTTTTAGGTACTAGCGTTCTCGAGATACTAACACTAAAAGTTTTAAGGCCAATGGCCAAAATCAAGAGAACCGTTGTCTATTTGAAAAAAGTGTTGGTTCACTCATGAATACAGACGAATTTTATCGCAGAATAATAAGCTGCAGTTCTCTAACTTTTATGTTCAATGAGAGAGGCCAGTTTTAACCGAAAATCGAATTGATCTGTTATACAGAAACAGCAAATTTCATTGCTTAAAATAAGTGAATTTTCTGATTGCTGATCCACAGTTACACCAGGCAAATGAGTTTGACGAGAAGATTTCTTTAAACAGTCGAATAAAAGCCGATCGAAGTTTAAAGTTTGAACTCGATTTTCTAGAGAACTATTGATCGGAGAAGTTAATTCACAGCATTAATGGACTCAGTTTTTGTTCCTACAAACACATAATATCTAAACTCTTGGCATGAAAGCCAAAATTTCTGTCAATGATCTTTTAAACTTTCATTTATGCAAAAAGCTTGCAAAGTAGTTGCATTTGACTAAAACATTAAAAGATTTGTCTTTTAAAGCATATACCTTATGTATGGATGAAACGTTTGAAGGACTATTGACAAAAAGTTTGACTTTCAAGTTGAGAGTTTACATGCGATGTGTTTGCAAGAGCGAAACCTGAGTCCATTAATGCTAAGAATAAACTTGTCCGATCAATAATTCTCGAAAAAATAGAGATCAAAGTTTGAACTTCGATCGTCTTTTGTTCCCTTATGGAAGCAGACTTTTGCATGAAACTCATTTGCCTGATCTAACTTTTGATAAGCAACCTGAAAATGAACTCATTTTAAGAAATAAGATTCTCCATTTTTGTAAAACCGATCATTTCGATTTTCATTTAAAACTGGCCGCATCCTGTGACCGTAATATTTAGAGACCTAAAACTTATTATTCGTCAATAAAGGTTGTTGCTTTACATCGTGCACTGAACACTTTTGTCCATTTACCAACAGTTCTCTTGATTTTGGCCTTTTGATGTAAAACTTTGAGTCTCGATAATTCGAGAATGGTAGTGTCTAAATTGATCATTCTTCGAACATTCACTAGGTTTTGTTATTGGCTTTTATACAATGACATTTTAGACCCTACTAAAAAAATAGTAGCATTGATTACTTATGTACCAGATTTTATGCTTGATTTACAAAGGTAAATAGTTATTAAAACACAAAATCTTATGATGTATTAGCCAAATAGTCTGCTTTGCTTTGCACTATTGACAGAAACTTAGACTTTCGCATTAGAGCTGAGAGCTGAGATGTTTTGTGTATGTAGGAACGAAAACCGAGTCCATTAACGCTAAGAATTAACTTCTCCGATCAACAGTGCTCAAGAAAATAGAGATCGAAGTTTAAACTTCGATCGCTTTTTGTCGCCTTATGGAAGCAGATTTCTGCGTGAAACTCATTTGACTGATGAAACTGTTGATGAGCAGCCAGACAATTCACTTGTTTTAAGTTATAAAATTTTCTGTTTCCGTACAACAGATCAATTCCATTTTCGATTAAAACTGGCCGAATTCTTTAATCATGATAGTTAGAAAGCTCAAATTTATGATTCCTGGATAAAAGTTATTGGTGTACATCAGTTAGCGAAAACTGTGTTTAATTTACTAACAGTTCCGTTGATTTTGACCATAAGCATTAAAAATTTCGAATCTTGATATCTCGAGAACGAAAGTACCTAAAATCATTATTCTTTGACCAATAATTAGGTTTTGTTATGGACTATAATACAATGAGATTTTAGGTCATTGAGAACTCTAAGGATAAAGTTATAGCATTAATTACTTACGTTACCAGATTTTATGCTTTATTTATGGAGGTAAATGGTTTTAAACACAAAGCAAATGGTGCTTTAGTCAAATAGTCTGCTTTGCAAGCTCCTTCATGAATCAAATGTTTAAAGGATCATTTACAGAAATTTTGGCTTTCAAGTTAAGAGTTTTAGTATTGAATGTTTGTAGGAACAAAAACTGCATCCATTAATGTTATGAATAAACTTCTCTGATAAACAGTTCTCGAGAAAATAGAGATCGAAGCTTAAACTTCGATCGGCTTTTATTCAATTGTTGAAGCAGATTTTTGCGTGAAATTCATTTGCTTGGTGTAACTGTGGATCAGCAACCAGAATATTCACTTATTTTAAGTAATAAAATTTTCTATTTCTGTATAACAGATCATTTCGATTTTTGACTAAAACTGGCCTCTATCATTGGACATAAAAGTTAGAGAACTAAAAGTTATTATTCTACGATAAATTTTGTTGGTGCACGTCATGGCTGGAATACTTATTTCTAATTATCAACAGATCTCTTGATTTTGGGCTATTGGCCTTAAAACTTTTAGTGTTAATATCTCGAAAACCATAATACCTGAAAGCACCATTCTTTGCTCAATTATTAGATTTTAATACACAATATTGGCCTGTAACATAATATGACTGAACAAAGAGTCGATCTGACTTAAGTCACTCAATAATCAATTTGATTCTAAGACATCATAAAATTTGTGTTCGGAAAACCATTTATCTGCAAAAATCAAACATAAAATCTGGTAACATATGTATTCAGTGTATAACTTTTTATGTAGGAGCTTTAATGATCGAAAATTTCTACATGTTTTAGCGTCTAACAAAATCTATTGATTGCTCAAAGAATGGTCAATTTATGTAATATAATTCTCGAAATGTCGCGATTCAAAGTTTTTATACCAATAGCCAAAAATCAAGAGATCTTTTGATAATTTGAAAAAAGTGTTCTAACCATCATGTATACCAACAAATTTTAGTGTAGAATAATAACTTTCAGTTCACTAACATTCACGGTCAATGAGAAAGGCCAGTTTTAATCGAAAATCGAATTGATCTGTTATTCAGAGACAGAAAATTTTATTACTTAAAATAAGTGAATTTTCTGGTTACTTATTCACAGTTAGATCAGGAGAATGAGTTTCACGCAAAGATCTGCTTCAATAATCGAATAAAAGCCAATCGAAGTTCAAACTTTAACCTTAATTTTCTCGAGAACTATTGATCGAAGAAGTTGTTTTATAGCATTAATGGACACAGTTTTTGTTCCTACAAACATAAAATATCTAAACTACTAACTCGAAATTCAAAGTTTCTGTCAATGATCTTTTAAACATTCAATTTATGTGAAAATTTGTAAAGCAAACTATTTGGCTAACAAATCATAAGATTTTATGTTTTAAAATTATTTACCTTCATAAATCAATCTGGTAACATAAGTAATCAATGCTCCACCTTTAACAATGTATAACTTTCTTTAAAGGTCTTTAATGATCTAAAATGTCATTGTATAAAAGCCAATAACAAAACCTAATGCATGCTCGAAGAATGATCAATTTAGATACTACCATTCTCGAAATATCGAGACTCAAAGTTTTACGTCAAAAGGCCAAAATCAAGAAGACTGTTGATAAATGGACAAAAGTATTCAATGCATGATGTACACCAACAACTTTTATTGACGGATAACAAGTTTTAGGTCTCTAAATAGTACGGACGCAGGATGCGGCCAGTTTTAAATGAAAATCGAATTGATCGGTTATACAGAAATAGAGGATCTTATTTCCCAAAATAAGTTCATTTTCAGGTTGCTTATCAAAAGTTAGATCAGGCAAATGAGCTGAAACTCATGTTTTAGATTTAAGAGAAAGTACATTATAATTAATAAAATAGGATTCCTTGGAGTAGAAAATAAAAGTCACAATAATTAACGTGAGGAAGTTCAGATTTATTTTATTTCTATGGAAATTTGAATACAACCTTAGATCGATTTGGAAGATGCATATTTTTATAACAATCCATCAAACTAATACAAACTACTTTTTGATTGTTTGGCAAAATTTTGTCTATTGAAGTTGGAACATTGGTCAACCAGGTAAGCTGGTTAAATTGATATTAATTTTATTAGCAAATAAACAGAAATAGAAATTCAATAGTTGAGCTACATGCTATTGAACAGATTGATTGTGGCAAGATTCAACAAAGGAACAATATTTTAGTAAAATGGAAATAAAAAGAAATGTTGAGATCAAAGCTTAATGCTTTTCAAGAAAAACAATTAGTCTTATCTAATATTGAATTAATATTGAAATTGAAATTTTGGAAGTGTTGGAAGTATTGAATATGAGCACTGAATAATAATATTCTGGAAAATAAGAGTGAAAAATAAATGATTGTTGAAGCACAATTTGCTTTTTTGCATAAAGCAAGACTGTATACACAAGCGTCAAAAGTGCCAGGACATAATGCTGAATTTACGAAAACCATTTGAGATTTGGAGACAAGATTGACCAGATTACTTTGCTCTTCGTAAAATTTCAAAAAAAAATCGCGCAATCAGTTTACAATAAATTTTTAGGATGAATCTGGTCTGTTGATGATATAACATGATGCTATTAATATCAAACATCACTACTAGTGTTTCGTGATATTGAAAAAAAGGTATTGTTAGAAAGAATCAGTATCAATCATAAAGGTATCGAGGATTTAATGAGTACAATTAAAGAATGGGTTTGTGCGTCACTCTCAGGGTCTCTAGAAACAACTGAAAGCTTATATTTTTTTCTCAATTCTGTTATAATTTATGGGATAATTTCATAAGATTACGCGTTTTTAGGTACTGAGTACTCAAATTAAAGTATCGATACTTTTATTCAGAAAAATATCAACGAAACACTAAACACTTCTTTATCCTGGACAATGTTCTGCTATTTAACCAGTTCGCTTGATAATGTGAATACCAGAATCACTTTCTACAAGATCAGAAATTTCACCAACTTGAAGAGCAAAGGATGCTTCTTCAAATTGTTTTTGCATGGCTCCTCGGGTGAAATATCCAAGATCTCCTTTTTTACGGGCAGAAGAGCAATCTGAGTATTTGGAGGCTAACTCTTCAATGTCCTTTTCACCAGAAACAATCTGTTCGCGATATTTTTCAGCCATCTCACGAGCTTCCTCTTTGGACCGAGTAATAGTATCCTCTCTCCAAGACGAGGGTCGACGACTTTCCGTGTGTTTGACCAGTAAATGGCTACAGCGAATCTTTTCATCGTCTTTTGTACTTGCTTCACATGTTGGTTTTTCCCATTGACTTTCTTTTGTGTAAATGTTCAAGTAATATACTTGTCCAGTTGACCGACTTTTCCTTTGTTGCCACCCTTTAGGTAGATCATCTCCTGAGTCTTCCATGATGAATTTAAATCAAAAATATTAGAAACTAATTGATCACTGAATAAATCACTGGATTAAAAAATATGATGGGCAAGAAAAAACACTGAAAAAAAGATATTTCAGGATTTGAGAGCTTTAAGACTGGGCTTCAGTTTTGTTGACTGCAGCCTAGGATACAGAGAAAGCATAAAAAGCATGTCCTTTCAAACTTGGCATAATCAGCTTGAATCACATTGGAATCAAGCAAACATTACAGTAAGAAAGTGCACAAAATTTTATCAATGGTCCCTTTTGAGGAGGAGTTACATCTTTAATTTCAATTTATTTAATTCCTAGTGGACATAATTTAATTTTTATTAGTGAAATATCAACCAAAAACTCATAAAACCAATTTAATATCAAAACCTGAAAGAAACTTGGTTCATTAAACAAGATTGAAAATCATGAGATTGAGTTACTCGATGAATAGTGAGAATAAGCTATTTCCACATTGTTGCAATTTCTGGTAGGTGACTGTAAAAAATGTAAACAATATTATTAACTACCTTTTTTTCCATGTTAAGATTTCTAGTATTTATTGATTCGGGTGATATCTGCGATAAATTTATCAAATTGTTCTGGTTTTCTATTGTCAGTATGATCAACATCACTTCTCGTCCACTGCTTTTTAAATGCTATCGCCATTCAAGCTCACCTTGGACATCTTTTTTAACTTCTCATCTCAGTGCAACTTTTAGTAATCAAAGTACAAGAAAACAAAGCCCTAATATTATTCAAATCAAACGAGAACAAGTCATCGAAGAATATGTCCCAGTCCCAACACAAGCTGAACGTATTGTTGCCAAGTTTCCTAATAGTGTACAACCTTACCTGAAATTGATGAGATTACATTCACCAACTGGTGGATTATTACTTTTGTGGCCAGGTTATTTTGGTTTAGGTTTGTTGTTTATTAATCATTGATAATCAATAGCTCATATAGAATATTTACCGATTTGTTTTCTTTTTCCTTGTACAGCTTTTGCAACTGACGCAATGCGATATCCAAATCCAACTCACCTTGCTTTGTTTGGCGTTGGTACTATTTTAATGAGAGGTGTTGGTTGCACCATAAATGACATTGTTGACCGTAAGATTGATAAAAATGTTGAAAGGACGAAAAATCGACCCTTAGCGAGTGGAGAGATTACTGTTCCAAAAGCAATGGCCTTTCTAGCTCTTCAATCCAGTTTAGCTTTATCTATTTTGTTAAAATTTGATACAACTAGGTAAGTTATGTCCATGCAATTAACCAAGTTTGTCTTATAAATAAGCAATTTGAAATACAAATGAGCAAATAAGGGTCTGAACTATCTGTAGATCCCGGCGAAAATACTACACCAGCCAAAAGCTGTAAAAGGCCAAATGAAGAGTTTATAATTGTTGAGGCTTCCTAAAAGTTATCGAATTATGAGCTAAAGCATCAATCATCCTGGGTGATAAAGCAGACAATCCTTCAAATCGATTGTATACATCTCCCAAGACTCTGATCAAAACTTTGGCGGTAGTTAGCAGATTTTTCGGACCAGCGTGCGTGTCGAATTGCCGTGTCGAGTTGCTATAAAGCACCCTTCATTTGACTGATTACATCAAACCCTTGATGGGGATGAAGTAAAATTAAGAATAACAAAAAATTAAAATGGGTTTACCTTTTTGGTGTATTTCGTGTCCAACAGATGTCTCTTGAGTGCTCTAGTTTTTCATTTTCAACTTGATTGCTATTAATGTTTCTTAGCTATTAATAATTGCTTTTATTTTGAATTTCTTATTTTTCCTTTTCCATAATTTGTCTTTCAGTATGGTATTGAATTAATTTATAGTATTTAATCAGTCCTAATATTTCTAGAAATAGATTGCGACCACAGTATTTATAGCCTGAGCTTCAAAGTTCCCATCGATTCCATAATCCATATTCTTATGCTGTCAACTCTTAATTCAATTGTTATTTCAATTATATTTGTTATTTTACTCTGCAATTGATAATGTTTACTTGACAAAATACCTCAACAATATTTTACCAAACACTCGTATCAAAATGTCAACAAGCCTAATTAATGAAAGTGATCGTTGTGATCAGTCAAGTTTCTAATCCCTTCAATCATCTAATTGATAATATTTTATGTTTACTTGTGTTATCCCAAATACCCTTAAACATCACAAGGTATCATGTCACCGTTATCAATACAACTGTGTTCACTTTCACTCAATATTATAACACAAAGAGCAGAAAGTTTCCTCATTGTCATGGTAATCAACTAGGCAGCAATCAAATTAACCATATAAAAGTAACTCACACCTTAAGCTAAACATAAATCGATTCGGATTTGATTATGATAAAAACTCATAAAAAAAAGCTAAACTATTTTAACAGTGCAAGTGAAAAAAAACACACACACACAAGCAGATCAATTGTTTTATATCATGTTTTATAAAACAAAAAAACTTCGTGGAAACCATTGATCTAAACTTTGATTAACCCACCCAACTGATCTGCTCATGCATGAGAGCTGAATGATGATAAATGATGATGACAGGGAAAAAAATGTGGGGTAAAAATGTAACCATTTACCATAGTAACCATAGAGTCCATTGACACCTAGACACAGTAACGATCCCACCATAGACTAACCATGTTAAACTAGCCGCATCATTGATTCAACTTGGATTCATCTTCACTTTGTGACTATTTTTTAAGCTGACGATCGATGAAAATGAAGATGAATATCCAGATGATGAGAAACGTTTTAAACTCACTTGACAATCATTCATCCATTATCCATTCATGTTGATTCCAACATTTTGATTTAATGCTTAAGCCTCTCCTTTTTTTTCCTTCCCATTTTTTTTCTTTCTTTTTCTTATTTTTAAACTTTCGTTCTTCCGGTGGAACCCAAGAATGAGAAGAAGATTTTACAAGAAGAAAAAAGAGTGATAAATATCACTCTTTCTTATCTGACCTATTTCAATATCCCGGTGTTTCCCTCAGTAATTTAAATGTTATCATTTCATTTCACTGTCATATTGACAATATTTATTGCCTTAAAGTGTCCGTCTTGTCCTGTCGCTATTATTATCCAATTGCAAGGTGTAAACGTTTGAATTTCATCATGATTTATTATCGACTCTCCCTCTTCCCCAAATCATCTTGATCAGTATCTTCCTTGCTATTCACGTGAAAATCAATGAATGGCTGTCAGAATTTTTCTGTTAATATAAATTTTCTTACCAATCACCCTTTTCACTTTATAATATTGCCTAAAATCAATTTCAATCTTCTTCTTCTTCCTATTTGATGTTAGTTAATTGTCATCATTATTAGACAGATTGACTGACTTACAGTTTTACCAGAAAAAAACAACTCAACTTAACGTGTAAGTTGGCGTTTAATCAAAATGCAACAACAAAATTCAATCAACAATCAATTTAAATAAGCTTAAGGAAAAGGTTTACTTGATTAAAAGGTACTCTCACTAAACACAGCAAAATATTCACTTGATATATTAAGATTAACCCAATCATGATGCTGGTAATAATGATAATGCTGGTTGGTGGTTTTAAAATGTTCATGACAGTAATTTGTCTCAAAAGCTATTGCCAAAATTCAGCAAAATTCAGATTAACTCTTTCTCATTACCCAAAACCAGAAGCAAAAAAAAACCTAAATTATACTAACCAGCATAATATGTTAATAGTGACAATTATTGTGACAACTTTAATGAAACAGATCATTGAACTGCCAAGTGCAAATATTCACATTCTTGAAATATTTGCAATACAAAGAAAAGGTCGAACTTAAAAATTCCGTAAGTGTAAATTAGTAAACAGTTAACAAGTTGAAATAACTGTAAACAAGGAACCATAAAAAACAACCAAAAAAACAAGAGACTGGGTCAAATTGAGTTACCCTTGACAACCAACGTTATCCTTATGAATCCGTTTTTTTTGCTGCTAATGTTGCTTAACAACGACCATTATTATATCATCAATTGATATAATTTATCATCTTTATTTCATTTATCGTCTTGTTCATCAGCCTCATCATCATGTACTTCAAGGAAACTTTGAAAGTTGAAAGGAAAGCAAAAGAAACTACATCATCTGATAAAGATGAAGTGCAAAAAGGTCCTTGAGATGTCACTTTTTTCTCGGTCGATGAACCAATATCATGACTAGATCACTGAATAACTTTCAATGCTAACAGAATCACAATTTTTGTTTTACCTCAAATGGTCTCTTTTTGCCTATCATTACCATCATTATTTAAATGATATAACTCTAGTCTAGTCGGAATCGTGAAGATGCTGATCACTTTTTTACTCAGGTAAACTCACTTGACAAAAGTTGTTGCTCTTTTCTCGCTTTTGAATGACGATGATAAGTGATGATAAGTGATGATGAGGGGGACAAATGGTGAAGGGAACTTAAATTGACCTAATTTTCTGTTTTTCACCATTAAAATGTATCTGACTTTGTGATTATGTGAATGTGTGTATACATATACATGATCATAAACAGCATTATCTACTTATGTTGATAGCTTATTTCTTAGGGTCATTCAACGAGGACAAACATTTTGATTGCAGTGAGTTGATGATGATGTTGATAATTGTTACGTTGTAATTATGTATAATGATAATGATGATGACGGTGTTATCATTTTCAGAGAATAACAATTTTGTTTGTACATTTTTTATCCAATGTTACTCTATTGATATTTCACTTTATTGTTTCTTTTGCTTCTCGCATATTTATTTACTTTTTTTATTCACTCTTTTTTTGCCTCTGTTCATACTCGCCTTAATTACAATATAGCTCGTTGAACTCATGATGATGATGAGGACGATTGTTATGATGTATATTATTTTGATTATTACTTTAGATTAATATGAAGACATAAAACATTCCTGGTTCAGTTGAGATACAAAGAACTCTTCAATACTATTCTTTCTTATAAACCCAAAAGCCTACTGGCATCGATCCATAGATTGCTCAAAGGATGATCATGTTGATGAAGACTTGACGGTGATGAAGTAAAAGAGATGAACTAGTCAATTCTCGATGATAATAAAAGGGTTTCATCAACAACGGTGTAAGCCAAATGAATGTAGGCCACAAAAAAATACCAAACTTAAAGCTAGTTATTGCCAAAAATATTTATCTCCATCTTACCTCTCTCAATCTATGTTGAGGTGACCAAACTTTCCTTATCATTTTCGTTGATTGAAAAGTTAATTGTATTGATCCAAGAAAGTAAATTAAATTAACTCTGGAAATAGATTTTTTTTCGCTTCATCTTCTTCATCTTCTTTTGCCTTTATCATGACATTTTTTTATCCTATTGGTTCATTTTTTTGATGACTCCTGATCATTACATTTCACTAACCCATAAATAATGGTGAAAAATTTAATAAACCTTGCTCAACATTCCCGCTATGTTTGTATTTCAATATGTATTTGACCCAGCTAGTTTCATCAGATGATTGACCTTTATATTGGCTTTTCCCTCTTCAACTTCTGGGAAAACCAATTATTATGATTATTTTCACGATTTGATTAGCCTTAATTAATTGAAAATGAAAACAATAACATTGATTTGATGTAATATTGATATATCAATTGTTGTAGATGTGGATATCATTTCGTCTAAACCCGAGTAAAAAGTCATTTGATCAATGCTTATAACAATCAAGGTTTTTATTTATCAAAATTTTAATCACATTTTTATTTCTCTATTTTTTACAGTATAATTTTAGGTTTAAGTTCAGTTGGTCTTGTCTGTATATATCCGTTTGCTAAAAGGTTCACTTATTGGCCTCAACTTGTCCTTGGGCTAACCTTCAATTGGGGAGCTCTTTTGGGTTGGTCTGTGGTTACCCAAGGTAATATTTACTTACCTGGCGCAATCCCGTTATATCTTGCCTGTTTGTCTTGGACGCTTTTGTATGATACTATTTATGCTCACCAGGATCGACTCAATGACCTTTCCATAGGCCTTAAATCGACTGCAATCAAATTTGGAGAGAACACGAAAACCTGGTTAAACGTCTTCCATGGAGCAATGATGTCTAACTTAGCTCTTGCCGGATTCATGACTGAACAAACATGGCCTTTCTACGTTTCCCTCATCTTAGCTAGTCTTAGACTTTTGTCCATCACTCGAACTCTTGACATCAACAATCCTCGTAATTGTGGTCAAAAGTTTAAAGACAATGTTCTTGTTGGTTATATACTTTTTTGCGGCATTTGCTTATCAACCATGATAAAGCCTCAAAAAGAAAAGGAAAATAAAGAAATTCTCATTGAATGAGAATTGATAAGTTTAGAATTGAAATATCTGTTTGTGACAAAAATTTCAATTTTACCAACTTGATACAATGTAACTTGATCATGATGATGATGATTACCGTAAAATGAAATAATGTTAGTTTGACAACAATAGTTTTTTGTGAATGCTTTTTTATGCGTTGCTCTGTTGTTTCAAATAACTTAGATTTCAATAAATAACATAAGATTTTGGAAATAGAGCGATAGTGAGAATAAAGAAAGTTAGGGAAGATAGAAGATGAAGAAGAGGGAAGATGGTAAAGGTGAGAAAGGAAGATCGAGAAGAAAAATTAAGAAGGAAGAGGAAGAAGAAAAGGTGTCTTAAAAATCTTATATATATATAAATAGCTTAAGGATGCTGTTTTCTTAAGTATTTAGTATCTTAATTTCATTCTTAATTTTGTTTTTTGTGTTAATTTAATCAATAATAATAATCAACAGACAAACAATTGAAACAAACAAACAATGGCATACAAAAAAAGTTACACACCAAAAATGAATGTGTTTAGTAGCGAGAAGCTGAAAAAAAAGTTAACCAATGGTACATCATTTTGTAACTAAATATATGATCTATTGATTCACTTTTTTGCTTGTATAATTTATCTTTCTCAATTAACTATTAATTTAACATTATTATCATCATTACTGTATAGTTTAGTGTTTTCTGGTTGCTGTTTTTTTTGTGTCTTGCCAACTAATGTGTAAGTATGCTTAGTAAATGTATGTTTGTTGAAGTTTGTCGCGAAAAAGGTAAAAAGGAAATAGGAAGAAGAAGAAGAAGAAAAAAGATGCAGAAGAGGATGAAGGAGATGAAGAAGAAGAGGAGGAAAAGAGAAAGATGAGAGGAAGAAAGCGATGAAAACTGAGAGAAAGAGAGGAAAAAGAGATGATTTTTTAGATACAAAATACTTAAGAAAACAATTCTTTATATAACGCTGGGAATTGTATATCTATGGATGATTTTAGGCAGGTTTGGGTGAAATTAACCAAAGCATCCATGTGAAGTTTATTTAACATTGTCAACTCTTGGGTCTTGGCTGTTAAATCAGGCATTATCGAGTCATGTTGATTCTCTTTTAATAGCATTCTTAATGCCTCTTTCAGGTTCTTGTTCATCTGTGAAATACGATGTATACTACCAAGACCAGGACGTTCTGATGATCAACACGGTGATGAGGAAGCCAAATATGCCAACAATCGGTTATGGGATGATAAACCGAACCAGGAAACACCAAGAAAACATCAAGAAAGTATCAAGGAAGCACGATTAATCACAATTTCCAATCAATGAGAAGCAATGAAATATCCAAGGAATCACATGTGACCAAGGATTGACAAATTCACGTGCAACAAGATTTAACAATTTAACAATAGAAACAATAATTCCAATGGATTAATGTTGATTCCAGATGATTTTAAGTTTATCCATTGAGTCCAGAATTTAATTTTTACATTTTAATGGTTGATATTGGTGGAGCGATCATTTCATTGTTATCATGGTGGTGGTCATTTGAATTTGTTGAACATGGTACGGAAAAAGAAATACAAACTCATCAAATCAAGTCCAATGAAGGAATAGCAAAAAAATCACAATTGATTAACAGTTTTTAAGTAAACTCATTGATTGCCATTATTTAGTCGGACAATTGAGCTTTGAAAACTGTTATTCAATTTAATGCCGTTAAATTGATTATTAGCCATCAAATAATAGTTTCTATTTGAATTATGCTTTAAAAGTATCTCGCAAGTTAAACTCAATTTAACAATACAATTGAAAATTGTGAATTTAACATGTATCAATGCTATAAGGAGTTTTAATTTATGATGGTAATTGTTTAATTTGATGGCTAATAGTCTATTGTAATGGTAATTTGTTAAGAAAAAAGGTTTACCTGGAGATAATAAAGTAAAGGCTGAAAATAGCGCTAACTCTTCTTCACGTAGCTCCATTGAAGCAATACTTTCAGCTAAATTAAAAGCCTTTGTTACCAAACGATTTTCAATGTTATCATCGGTCAAAAAATCTTGTAGCGACATTGAACGATTGTTAAAAATGACCCGGCCCGTGTTAAGGTCATAACAACGGCTAATCTGGAGGCAGCAAAGCTCAAATGAACCAGTCTTAAGGAGGATAATTTTATCATCTTGAGGCAGATTGTGAAAATTGGGAATCCATTTAGCAAATTCAATAACTCTTCGTATCACTTCGGTCAATTTATTAGCACATTTAAACCATTTCTCTTCATGTTTCAATTTCTTAAAATCAACAACCTCTTCATCCATATCCCATGAGATACCAATCTCTTCCGAGGTAAAAGAGCAACCATTGGCATTGCGATAGGCATTTGAGATTATTTGTATCACTTTATCCAATTCAAGGGAAGCCAAAGGCTTCTCTAAATCAATTATAAGTCCATTGTTATTTAATGGTGAACTATCGGGCACTACATCAAGGCAAGGTTTCTGATCAGTAAAGGTTGTTGAATCAGCATAATCACTGGCTGTACCATTGGATCCTCCACCTCCATTATTGGAACCATTTGTTGAACCATTTAATGTTGACCCAGGTTCGGTTGTTGAAGGTCCACCAGCAGATCCAACTAAATCTAATCCCACCATGTTTGGTGTATAATAACCATTGGATAGTTGATCGTAAGGTGAACTCATTGTGGTCTGGTAATGGTAGACACCATTTGATGGGAAGGAAACGATGGGTTGAGGATTGGAGGATGAAGATGGCTGTTGAGGAGGTTGTTGATCAAATACTGATGAATCGGGTGAAGGTTCAGCAGCTTGATATGATTGGGTTGGTGTATTTGAGGATGGCATTGAATGGGAAGGTGTTTGACCTCCTATCGTTGACCCTGGTCCATTGCCACCACCTCCTGGACCACCGCCTCCACCGGATCCCGGTGTTCGTACCATTTGAGCCTGATGGAAGCGAACCTCATCTTCAACCTTTTCTCGCTGCTTTTTGGACATTCGTCCAAATTTTACTGCATCTCTGGACATTCCCAGAGTGAGACATTTTTTAAGACGACAATATTGACAACGGTTTCGATTTATTCGGTCGACAACGCAATTCTTTTGCCTTGGACATTGATAATTAACGGATGATGATTGACTTCGACGGAAAAAACCTTTACAACCTTCACACGTAATTACACCATAATGAACTCCAGATGATTTATCGCCACAAACTTTACATGGGATTATCTCAATTTGGGCTAATAAGAAGATGGTTAAGATGGTGAAGAAGAAGAAGAAGAAGGAAGAAGGAAGAAATAAAGAAGAAAAAGAAAAGAAAATAATAGTTATCGTTATAATAATAGTAATAATAATAATTATATTTAGTGTCAGAACGTGCCATTAAGCTGTTTACATGGTTATTCAAGAATAGAGGAGCTTTTGATTTCACAAAAAAATCAGGTTTAGCTAGGGTTGAGTTGTGTTAGCACGTCACGAATGCGTGAGTAAATTGGAAAAGAAAGAGAAGTGATGATAAGGAAGATGGAAAAAGAAAGAGAGAGAAAGAAAGGGTTTCCCCAGTCATGGTGTTCAAGGGATGCAGGAAGTTGATGTGGGTGGTTGAGTCAGGGAAAAAAAGATGAAATTCAACCGGAAATAAGGCCATTGGGTAAACGAAGAGAGGTAACTTCAAACAGGAGTTTCAATATGTTTTATTGGAATGATGATGATGATGATGATGATGATGATAAGAAGAAGAAGAAGAAACAAAATGGAAGATAAATGATTTGAAAAGCGGATGAGAACGAAGTAGGAAGAAGAAGAAGAAGAAGAAGAAAAAGAAAGAATAAGATGAAGAACAAAGAATTGGTAAGAAAATAATGGCTAAAAGATGATTTCCGTATCAAAATAATTACTATTATATTGCCATTTCACTGTTTGCCTTTTATCTTTACTGGTGATTTATTTTGTAATATAACTTTGATTAATATTAAATCACTGAGAATAAAAATAGCATCAACTAAATAAAACAACAAAAAATGTATTTATAAATGCGGAAAAAAATTGTATTAAATTTAATGTTCAAGGTGATCTAAATGCAATTAAAGCCAAATTACATTTCAAGATGCAAAAATTGTCCAAAAATGAAACATAAGAATCTCAATATTAGCATTTACCAGATGAAGAGTGAAGCAAAATTTGATGCAAGATGAAGATGGTAAAATGACGAGGAAAAAAAAGAGATGATGAGAAAAAAAAGAAGTAAAAAGCTAACGAACGATGAAAAGAGTTCAGATGAAGTAATTCGTAGATTGAGTTTGCGTCGCAACAAATGCAACGATTTTTGGTTGAAAAGAGAGAGATGATGATGATGATGATGATATAAAATGAAATGGGAAATGGAAAGATTATGAAACCCAAAGAAAGAGGTTGCCGAAAGAGGAAAACCCAAAAAACCAGAGAAACCGAAAAGGATGTTAAACATTGAACTGGAGTAAACCGAAGCAGTTTCAATTGAAAAATGCATTTTTAAAGGTTAAAATTGTTTGTATAATTACAACAATTATTACCCATTTGATTGATTAACAACAACAATATCAATACAAATCATTATCCAATAACCATAGGAATCGATGGGGAAAAAAATGTTGTAATATTGGGTAAAGAATGGAAAGAGAAAGATGAACAAACCGAGAAAGAGAGAAAAAGAAAGAGAAGATGATAAGGTAGGAGTGAGTCTGAGCAAAGAGAGAGAGAGATAATGATGATAAGGATGAGAAAGAGAGAGAGAGAGAGAAGCAGAAATACGAGGTCAATGCACTTATATAGGTTGACCCAGTTGTAGGAGAGTTTAAACACGGAAGAAAAACCCGGAAGAAGAAGTCTCAACATTTACTCTGATTCCAAGTAACACTATTGACCATATATACGGTTGTTTTTTACAACTACTTACAGTACCGTTTTTTTCATCGTTAATTGTCAATTGCGAATTGTCTTTTGGCGTTCTGACTATTCTAACAATTTAACATTTATTGATTATAATTGCAATGATTAGGGAAAAATGTCAAAATTTAATTGTTTTCATCTTAACGCATTTGTTTACTAATTTTCTCTGGTCTTTTGACATTCAAAGGATTTACATTTTGGCTTTTATTTTTGGCTTTTTTATTATTTTCAATTTTGGGTTTCATAGGTTTTCCTGGTTAGTGTTATTGGATTACAATTTGATTATCTTGTTGAGGATGGTCTTGGTTATGGCTGATTAAATGTCGATGGACTTGCAATGAATTTTGGGTTTTTTGGGTTTTTTCATGGATTGGGTTTGGGTTTGGTTGAATAGGAAATGGCATTTTCATTTTTTGGTTTTTTTCAGGATTTTTTGGGTAAATTGTTGATTCTCACCTTTTATTGAGCCACTGTGAGGTGACTCTATTTTAGAGTAATTCCCAAACATTGTAACTACAAAATGGTTTGTATTTGTGTTGGTTAATTGTTGTAATCAAAAGGTATTGGTGTAAAAATTTGACTGTATATTGGGATCACAATTGTTAGTGAGTGATTAATAAAACACAGACACACATATGCACAAAAATAAGCACAATTTGTCGATGAACGATTGGGTTGAAATTAAATCATGAAACGTTTAGAAGTGAAAATAAGTGTTGTAAGTCTCCGGTAACTCTTGTATATTGTTGTGTGTGTGTATTAATTTAAATTAAGTTAATGATGTTGATGAATGGGATGAGGTTGATGAAGATGAAGTTGACGTTGGTAAAGTTGTTTCCATAAAAACATAAAAATATTGTTGAAATGATGTAAAAATTACAACTCCAGAGGCAAAAAACAATAACAACAATAATAACAACAACAATTAAAGCGACGATTTACAGTAATGTTGTTATGATTTATTCATATAAAGATTCATTTAAAGGTTGACTTTGTAAAGATGCATTAAAAGATGCGTTTAAAGATGCTTATGTCGATGGTAATCGAAGGTAAAAGATGATGAAAATGATGATGATGATGATGATGAAAGGTGAAAAATCAAAGGCAACGGTGTTGACCAGAGAAAGAGAGAGAGAGGCAAAAAAAGAAGAAGAAGATAAATTGAAGAAGAAGAAGGGAATAAAAAGAAAGAAAAAGAAAGGAAAAAAGAAGACTACGTTTTCGTCGTCGTGGTCGTCGTTATCGAAGGAGAGTTAAGATGAGGTTGTTGGTAAAGATGATGAGAGGTAAAAGATGTTGAAGGTAAGAAAGAGAGAAGAGAAGAGAAAGGAAGGAAAGAAAAAAGAAAGAGAAAATTGTACGAACGTTTCATTTAAAAAACAAAATGAAGACAAGAAGACAAGAAGAAGATAAAAAGAGAGGCGAAATAATCTAATCCATGGTTTATTTTAAGTTCGTTGTATTGAAGCCCAACATTAAATGGCGAGAGAAGAGAAAGAGAAAATTTTGTAACCAGAAGAGAGACAGAAGAAGATAAGAAGAAGATGAACAAGAAAGAGGAGAAAGAAGAAGAGATAGAAAGAGAGAGAGAGAGAGAAAAGAAGAAAGAGAAGAGAAGGAGATTTGGGTGAGAGAAGAGTGAGTTGTGAGCATTTCAACTCAGTGTGAAGTGTGTGTTTCCAGTGAGAAGGATGAAGGAATGAAGATGAAGGAGACTCATGGGGTGGAGAGTGGCAAGAATGAATGAATGAGAGGGAGAAAAGGGAATGAATTTTGGGGAAATTAAAAGGTGGAGTTGACCTGGATAGTGGTTAGTGTCAAGGTATTTTTTTGCGGCTGGTACTTTTTGGTACCGTCGGTAAACTCACTCGTATTTCTCTTTCTTTTTTCCTCTCTTCTCGTTCTTTTCCTTTTTTTCATCTTCTTCTTCTTCATCTTCTTTACCATCTTCTTCTTCTTCTTCTCCCTGATCATTTCTTTTCTTAGGCCAGGTAAGTTCCGTGATCGAAGCTTGTTAATACTCTTCATGTTGGTGTTGTTGTTGTCTTGTGTACATCTTGGTACCAAGTACAAACTCTCACAAAAAAATATGCAACTTCTCAGGTCAAATCCACCCCATCCGTTCATCATCTTTCCTCTTCATCTTTTTTCTTGTCCTTTTCTTCCTTCTTCTTTATGCTCTTTTTGTTCCTTTATCCTTCTCTTTCTTTTATTATACTTTTTTTCCATTCTTTTACTTCTTCTTCTCCTTTTTTCCTCTCGAAGGGTTTCCTCGTCATCTTCATCTCTTTCTTTTTTGCCTCTTTCCTCACCTTCGTTCTCATCCTTCTTGCCCTTCCAACTTTTTTGTCCAAAGGATTTCCGTGTTTCCTTATTTTCGGAGGTCACAAACTTTTCTTATTTTTGGGTCTTTTCAATACTCAAATCTGCCTATTTTATCATTCCTTGCTGTCAACTATTATTTTGTCTAGTTTTTCACCCCAAAAGTAAAGAGGTGCCCATAGAGTAGGGAAGAGGAAAAAGGAGTTAAAAAGGTTACAGGAAGACCTTTTTCTTGAAGATGGTTAAGATGATGAGGTTAAAAAAACATTGAACAAGGTGAAGGGAACACAAATAATATCTTGGGAAATGTCTTGTGATTATATTTATATGCAGTTGGGTTCACCTGGAAGCAAATGGGTAAAAATTGTGACTCTTTTTACCTTTTCTTGTTGATATCTTTCACTTTTAAAACTCGGACCCCTTTTTATCCTTTCATTTTGTATGCATATTTTGGTAAACTTGCAAAGTACAGTTTAAGATATGATATTAAGTGCATTTACTGTATTGTGTCTTTCATGCCAATTGATGATTCCAATTCAACCATTTTTTTCCAATCCTATTCAATCACCTTTTAAAACCTTTCTTCTTCTGCTTCTGCTTTTTTTCAATTAAATGTCACATCTCATTGAATAATTATAAAATTACCTGAAAAGGTTGGAAAATGTTGATTTCCGTTTCATTTGGTTGTTTGGTTTGGCTTTCAACTGCTCAATCATATGCTAACAGGACAATGTTATTGCTGCTCAATCAGTTTATTAACTTTGTCATTTATAATACATTAACCTGATTGTCAACTGTAAATGATATAATTGGGCTTTTACAACTGTAAACAACCTTTCATTTATCATGTTTAATCGCTAATCAAATTCAAGGTATAACATTGAGTTGATTATTGAAAATGAGACAAAATTGGTTGATTAGGTAAAGTTAATTTTGTAATTGTTGAACCAATGAATGGTGCAAAAATGCGCAAGTGACCCATCTTTTGGGTTGATTAAATCTTGTTTTCAATCAACCCGTTCAGTTCTCATGGAAACTTTGCAAGTGAAAAATTGCAAAAACGAGTTCCCAAGTTGCCCGAGTAACTTAAACAGGTTGATTAATTTTGGTTTCAACCAACACAAGATCCTATTCAGATTACCAAATAAGCCCTAATCACAGCGACCAAACAATAAAACCAATAGTAATAACCCAAAAAATCAGGTCAAACAAAAAGATAATCAATTTTCATTTTTCACCATTTACAATGTAAATTGACAAAACCCAAATCCCGAAGCTTCAAACAAACAGTTAACCAGATTGATGATAAATAAATATAAAAGACAATAATTTGCTTTTTCAATGCTTTATTTAATTCATTTTTGATTCAATATCAGTCATGATTCAATTATTAACTATGGATGGTTAACAAAACTGGTAAACCAACCAAGCCTTTGAATCATCGTCCACCAAGAACACTGTTAAGAAGGCCGCCAATGATTGGTTCTGGTTTTGGTTCAGGATCAGCTGTAAATAAAACGATAAAATACATATCAATTAGTTAATTACTTGAATATTGTCTAGCAATGAATACTAACCGTAAGCCATGGCGACAACTGAGGCAAGAGCGGCGATGTAAACGATGATGGTTCGGGCTTCCATTGTTTTGTTTGTTGGGTTGTTGGTGATTAACACAAGTTAATTGAAAGTTAGTTTATTAGAGTTGTTTACTAGTTTGATAGCAAGAATTGAATGATTTAATTGAACAATTTTTATCTCTTTTATACGATTTCTGATGCTACGTTTCAATCATCTTTAACCTTTACTTTCCATGATTCTTAGGATGCACCTGAAGATGATTCAAGCAAAATGCAATTCATTTTCAGTTAATAATAAATCACCAATGTTTTTGTCTTTCATTTTCTACTATACACTATTGATTGGATGATCAATTGTTTAATTGAATTAAATCCAGGTTAATAATCATTCTACTTGCAGATCATTGATGTTCAACCAATTTCCGCTAATTAATCAAAATTCTGGTCAAAATCTGGTTGTGATTGTTAGTGTTAATCGTTGAAATCTCGTTAATATCTTTCAAACTAATGATCATCAAAGTTGTGTAAATTTTATCAAATGATTGAAGAGAAGTCAAGTATTTGAAATAAACTTGAAATAAGTAATAAAATGGTGAAAATAATGATCAACTTTTAAATCACCTTCCATAACAGGATTGAGAGTTTACTGGAAAATTTGAGTCACAATCAACTGTAACATCATGTAAGCATGGAAATCCAATTGTCTAAACAGGAATAAGATTCTTTCTTATGCAGAACGAGGAAGATCAAATGATTACAATCAAAAGATTTCAGTGCTTTTGTTTATCATGCACAGCCATTTCCCAGTACAGAATCCATTAAACAATCCCAAATACCAAATTATTAACCCTATCCTCTGGATCAGAATAATAAAATGGCCATTAAATCTAAATAAAAACCTAAGTTTTACAGCATGAAAAATTGAAATCCATTTCTATTGCCTTTACACATCTGTTAGTAAGAAAAATTGAATGAAATTTCTTGGACTCAAATTGTTTAACAAGATTTTTATGATTACCGGAAATTTTATCAACTATTAAATGTAAAAAATTAACATGGATTGAAATTTCATTTTCTGAGCGGTTACAAATTGGTCAAAAGAGGTCACAACAAGATGTAAATAAAGAAGCACAAAAGGTCTTGAAGATGATGAGGAATTACCTGTTTTTGAACCAATAACCTGGCCAAACCACAACAGTAACAAAGGTCCTATTGATAAGACCAAGGTCAAAGCTGACTCAAAATCGACCAGAGAAAGGCTGACCTTGTGTTAAATAGATGAAGGTAAATGTGTTGGAGTCCAATAGGCTAAGACACATTGAGACTGGCAAAGAGCAATAACCTCTTCAACAATCACTTTAAAGGTAAACTTTTATTTCCTTTTACTTCGTTCTAGGATTCACAATTCTCAACGGCTAATATTCGATGAAAAACAAATTCTAGAAAATATTCATCTTTTTGTTAAACCTTATAACTGACTATACAGTATACTGTATACAGTGTTTATAATATTTACATTTCTCTTTTTCATGATAAGCCGAGCTTTGATATGTGTTTGTGGGTGGAATTGAAAAGTGTAAAAGTTTCAGAAAAATCAAAAAAATAAATGCTCATTTTTTGAGAGGAAAGAGTTGGACAAATTAAACAATTCAGTGGGTTGAATGGGTTGAGAATGTTTAGGATTGAGATTTTTCAGTCTTTTGCTTCATTTTAGTTTTTGAAATTCAATTGAAAACATTTATTCTGTGTTTTAAGCGTAAAAGTATTATAAATTTCATTCAGCCAAAGCTTACAAAGCTAGTCAATCTATAACTTGCAATTTTCATCTTAACTGTAAATCATTCAGATGGATAAAGTCATTGAGAGTAAAAGATTTTCAATTTCAGTCCATCTATCGGTAACTTGTTTGTTTCCAATATTTGGCTTTTTGCTTTCTTTTCATTCGTGGATTAAGTATTTATTCAAAGTCTACGCACTCAGACGAGTTATAAACACGAGTGCATTAGATAAGGGTCCAATTTTTCGCAAACTTTGCGTTTGATAAAGTTTATAAAAGTTTCATGTTCATTTGAATTTCTGATAGCAAAAGGATTAATCGCCCTTTCTCACTCCTCTAATAAATGCTTTTTAACTCTGTCAACTCTTTAATAGCAATTGATTTAAAAAAAGTCGAGCAAAATTCATCAATAGTATTGTGGAAGCAAACATTGATACTTTTACTGTTGAATGAAAATTGTTGCGTTAAACGCAAAAAACGCAAAGAGTCAAACGATTTTGCGGGTTTCATTTTATGCGCTGATTTACTTTCTCTTCGATTAGCTACAAGACTTGGATCGACTGTGTATAAAGCTTTATTGTGTATTCGCAGAAATAAAACTCGTCATGTTAACACAAAACATTATTCAAACAGATTCAATTTTACTTGAAACACGAAAAAATTGAAAGCAAAGCAACTCCATCTGTTGGTTTCACTAATAAAAAGTACATAAAGTAATATTAATAAGAGTTTTGCCTTAAGACTTGAAGAACGATGTTCATCAATGAAATTCAATAGTACCAACAGTGCTGAAAATACACTGCTGGCAATAAGTATGAGGACAGTAGTTTTTTTTGAATAATTTTTCTGTGAAATGATTGCTTGTTTACTGGTTAGTATCAATTGGAAGTCGATGCAAAATTACGTATTTTAAGTTAAAAAAATTAGAGAAAAAAAAATAAATTAGATAAAAAAATTTGAGAAAATTAATTTTGCGCATGGCAAAAATTATGAGGACAGAAATTAAAAGCAATTAATAATCGATTTGCGATCCATTAGCCTTAATCACTTCAAAAATTCTTGTGTCCATAGACCTAATAAGTGTTTGTAGGTAACTTGGATCCATGTTGTACCAGATTTCTTGAACGCAGTCCCAAAGTTCATCCACTGTTCGAAACTGTATTTCGGAATTTGAATGTTTTCTGATATTTGTGATATCCATAGCATGTCAATGAAAATTGTGATTTTTGATACACTTTATTACTGGACATCTAGTGTTCATAATGCCTCAATCAAAGCACAGTATCATTCGTCCCTCAATAGCTTCAAATAATTATGGATCATAGTATAGTATGAATCAGGCTTTTCTGATGAAAACCTCGAGTCGCAATTCAACTTCATTTTCATATTCATATTCATAATTTCTTATCCCGTTAATGGTTAGCCGAATTAATGATAAATAAATATAAAAGACAATAATTTGCTTTTTCAATGCTTTATTTAATTCATTTTTGATTCAATATCAGTCATGATTCAATTATTAACTATGGATGGTTAACAAAACTGATAAACCAACCAAGCCTTTGAATCATCGTCCACCAAGAACACTGTTAAGAAGGCCGCCAATGATTGGTTCTGGTTTTGGTTCAGGATCAGCTGTAAATAAAACGACAAAATACATATCAATTAGTTAATTACTTGAATATTGTCTAGCAATGAATACTCACCGTAAGCCATGGCGACAACTGAGGCAAGAGCGGCGATGTAAACGATGATGGTTCGGGCTTCCATTGTTTTGTTTGTTGGGTTGGTGATTAACACAAGTTAATTGAAAGTTAGTTTATTAGAGTTGTTTACTAGTTTGATAGCAAGAATTGAATGATTTAATTGAACAATTTTCATCTCTTTTATACGATTTCTGATGCTACGTTTCAATCATCTTTAACCTTTACTTTCCATGATTCTTAGGATGCACCTGAAGATGATTCAAGCAAAATGCAATTAATTTTCAGTTAATAATAAATTACCAATGTGTTTTCATATTTTACTATATTGCACTATCAATTGGATGATCAATTGTTTAATTGAATTAAATTCAGGTTAATAATGATACTAGAAGCAGATCATTGATGTCTTCCGCAAATTAATCAAATTTGTAAAATATTTCTTCGAGTTTGTGTCTGCCTTGTTAGTCAATGATTGTCATGCAATCTGTCAGGGAAATTATCATATGGTAATTGAACTGTCCATTAAATGAATTTTTTTCATACTTTTATTTTAAACAAACTTTGCCTATAATTTCACGCAAAACCTGTTAATATATGAAAATCAATGTATTGGAGCCTAATAGTTTAAGACACCTTCAGACAGGTAAATATGGTTGTTACTCAAGACACAATTTTTACATTTCTGCCCAAATACTGAAAGACAAATGAGCAAAAATGGTTGATATTAATTTCTGTAACATTTAGACTGGTTGTTGGGACATAATAACTGAGTCCATTTGTGCGATTTAAAGATTCCTCTGATGGACAGTTTTCGAGAAAATCAAGGTCAAAGTTGAAACTTCGATCGCCTTGGGTACTATTATGTGAGCAGATTTTTTCATTGACTTTTGATTGTCAATCAGAAAATGCACTTATTTTGAGAAATAAAATTTCATGTTTTCTGTAAAACAGATAAGATCGATTTTTAGTCAAGCCGATCGTTTTCTATGACCATGAGATTTAGAGAGCTGGAACTTAGCATTTGCCCATAAAAATTGTTGGCTCACATCATGGATTGAGTAATTTTATCAATTTATCACCAGTTCTCTTGATTTTAGCCATTGGCCTTAAAACTTTGAGCCTCGATATTTCGAGGATGGTGACACCTACAATCGTCATTCATTCACCAAACATTAGATTTTATTGTGGACTATTACAGTATTTGACTGAATACTGAATAAAATCTGAGCTGATCTATTTAATAATGAAGATTCTTCTAACGCATAAGATTTGTGTTTGGTAACCATTCAACTTCATAAATAAAGTCTCAAATCTGACTACCAGTATTAAGAAAAAAATGCTACACCTTTTTACTAGGATCTTGAATGCTTCAACTTATCATAGCCCACAATCTAAAGTTTGGCCAAGAATTGTGATTTTATAATAGATGAAACCATTCTTAAAATATTGAGGCTCAAAACTTTGAGGCAATCCCCAAAATCAAGAGAAATGTTCTTAAATTAAAAAAAGTATTATATTTAATCAATGATGTCTACCAACAATTTTTATGGAAAAATGACAAGTTTCAGCTTGATAGCTCTTAATATCACAGAATGCGGTCGGTTTAACTGAAAATTGAACTTGATCGGTTTTACAGAGACTGAGAATGTTATTTCCAAAAATAAGAGCATTTTCTGGATGGTCATCAAAAGTTACATCAGTAAAATAAGAATTTATCCACGTTATAAGTTCATTTAAATTTCTATTAATAATAGCAAAAGGATTAATCATCCAATCCCGCTCCTTTCTATCGGATGAATTATTTAATAGCCCCAAAGTCCCTACAAACTCACTAAATCTCAACTCAAACGTTAGAGTTTGTTAAAATTAATACCTTGAGCATGCATGAAGCAAGCATTAATACTTTTGCTTATATCAAAATTATTGTGTTGAACGCAAAAAAATGCAAAAGAGGAATACACGACTCTAAACTTATAAGCAAATGGTTAACCAGATTGATGATAAATATTATAAATATAATAAATATAAAAGACAATAATTTGCTTTTTCAATGCTTTATTTAATTCATTTTTGATTCAATATCAGTCATGATTCAATTATTAACTATGGATGGTTAACAAAACTGATAAACCAACCAAGCCTTTGAATCATCGTCCACCAAGAACACTGTTAAGAAGGCCGCCAATGATTGGTTCTGGTTTTGGTTCAGGATCAGCTGTAAATAAAACGACAAAATACATATCAATTAGTTAATTACTTGAATATTGTCTAGCAATGAATACTCACCGTAAGCCATGGCGACAACTGAGGCAAGAGCGGCGATGTAAACGATGATGGTTCGGGCTTCCATTGTTTTGTTTGTTGGGTTGGTGATTAACACAAGTTAATTGAAAGTTAGTTTATTAGAGTTGTTTACTAGTTTGATAGCAAGAATTGAATGATTTAATTGAACAATTTTCATCTCTTTTATACGATTTCTGATGCTACGTTTCAATCATCTTTAACCTTTACTTTCCATGATTCTTGGGATGCACCTGAAGATGATTCAAGCAAAATGCAATTAATTTTCAGTTAATAATTAATCACCAATTGTTTAACTTTGTTTTCCATGTCCTACTATATTGCACTATCAGTTGGATGATCAATCGTTTAATTAAATTAAATTCGTTGCATTAAGTGAAATAATGATATCTGGAGACGATCATTGATGTCTGCCTTGTTAGCCAATGACTGTCATGCAATCTGTCAGGGAAACTCTTTTGTTTTCAATTGTTCATCAGAAATGAATTTTGTTGAATTTGTCATGTCTATTAATTAAAATGGCAGTCAATAACATCATATGATTAGTTATCTGTACTTCATGCAATTAATTACTCTATGGGTCACCTTTCTCGTTCTACCTTTGAAAAATTACATCCGCTTTCAATCTATTAACAAGGCATATTTCATTCACAATCATTGACAAATCGATATCTTCCATGATAGATCGTTTCTCGTGATTCATTGATAAATTTACACGTAACCACAACTCTTAATATATCACAATAAATCACATCAAGACTATCAAAGTCTGATGCTAGCAAGATGCTTAAAACAAGGTAATTCAAATAATTGAACCTGAAGTCATTAAAAAATCGACTTTATACTAATTTCAATCTATTTGCATCAAAATGCGATACTTTTGATAAACTACGACGAAAATCTCAATTTTACTATTATTATTACATTCTGTAATTGATATTTGACGGTTCCATTGACCAAAATAATGTACCGTATTTCCGAACATATAAGCCGAGGCTTATTAATGAAACGTTCACTTAAAAGCGCATTTTTCCTCACTTTAGATTAGCACTATGTGCTTCCACACTCGTTAAAAAACAGGTTTTTTGTATGTACTTCTATGTAATTGCTTATCAGTGTTCTTATTTATGAAGATAAACATGGACTTCGCAGTGAGGAATTTCTGTTCATAAGCACAGTGCTTATATGTTCGGAAATACGGTATTATCAATGTATTTATTTAGGTCTATCAAAATAAAGATTCTTGAAAATTGAAGTAAAGTCATTTTATATTCATTGCTTACAATTGTTAGCATCTTATTTACCTCTTTATCTCTGAATATCATGATTCTTCATAACTTCGTAATGCGACTGTTACATTCTGGGTCAAGAATCTTATTTTTAATTAATAAAAATCAATTTTCAAATTTTGTGGCAGCCTACTTTATACTGCCATCTGATACTACTTGTTGTAATTATATTTATCGTTCAAAGATACACTTGTTGATAAACTGTTGCAAATTTTTATTTTAAGGCTCAATAACATCTATAGTTTAGCTTTGAAAGTCATTATTGAACCACTATTTTGAAAGTATGGATATTTTTCAAGATTTTCAATCAAATAATAGTAATCCATTAATTGTGTTTGATCAAGATGACGATGGAGGTCTAACCAGTGCCGATGTAAAAGCTGAAAAAATTGAGACCAAAAACAAAGATGAAGACAAGTTAAAATTGGATTATTTCGAGGATCAATCTTTAGCCCAAGATTATGTTTGTAAAATTTGCCAATTCATCGTGGTTGATCCAAGGGAACACAATACCGGTGCTGTTTACACTTGTACTTCGCTGTTTTGTTACAATTGTATACTTTCTTGGATTAAATCAGGTAAAAGTTACTGCCCATCACCAGGGTGCTTAACATCTGGTTTTGATGAGTCTGCATTCAGGGAAATTGGCTCTCGAGATACTACCCGATTGAATGGTCTAAAGATGAAATGCCCATTCTCATGTGGATCGACGTTTGCTTATTCTGACTACATTTATCTATCTCATCGAGTCCAATGTCCCGCTAATCCAGCCAATCTGTGCAAAATTTGCAAGTCTACAAAAACCAATCCAATTGGAGTCCATGACTGTAGAATCGTTTTCAACGAGATGAGGCAAAAAATTGAATCATTAAATAACAAAGTGGTAAAACTTAATGGTGTAATTGACCAGCTACGCCGAGATTTAGAGATTAGCAGGAAAGAGTCCAACGCTAAAGGAGTATCGTCTGACCATGTGGAGAGCAATGACAATAAGCAAAGCAAAAAGGCTGGAACCAAAGGCAATCAGCAAACTAAAATTGAAAAGTCTGGTGAAAAGTTGAAGGATGGTAAAAAGGATAAAAAGCCAGCAAAAAATACCTCAACATCAGGATCGTCGGATAATCAACCCACCGGTGGAACTAAAGCTCTTGATAAAACCAGTACAACCATTAAGGAGCAAAAGTTCACAGTAACTTTCTTTTCCAATAATTACCTCAACAAACCTGGCTCGTCTGGAATCAATTTAATCTTTCATTATGGTGACAAGTCTTTCAACTTTGATGAGGCCCAAGTAACGCTAACCTTCAGAACATTCCGCTCTCTTCTAACTGACATGATGGGCCATGAACCCGGTCTTATGTTACTGATTCGACACAGAGTTCTTCAGGATAAAGATGTCGTCAAATTTTGTGGATTCCAACCAGGTAACAATGTCATCACAATAATTCCCAATGAAGCCCCAAATTATAGTGAACCGGGCTACAAGTTGCACCTTTTCTCGCCTAAATCGCCTCAAAAAGCAAAGAATGATGACGCTAAACAGAATAATTTAATCAACTTCTATTCAAATAACATGTCACCTCAACCAGGTGCTAATCGAATCAAATTAATTCTTCAATCTGAAAGTGCTACTTTCATGACTGACTCTGTTAAACTGGATAGAACCATCGGTGATATTCGTAATCAAGCAAAAACAATACTTGGTAACAATCCTACCAAGATGATCTTTCTGTCGCATCTCATCCTCGAAGATAACTTGTCTGTCAACAATTGCGACCTTCAACCCGGTACAACCGATATCACTCTGCTTCCACCAAATTTTCAATTAAAATATGGTGCTAATGGAGCCTTACATCTGAATAGATTTTTAACAAATAAAAGCCATGGAGTTAAATCCAATAAAGCAAATTCTTTAGCCTCTCTAGTTGATTGAAGACAGTCGAGTCTCATTGAAAACTGATTTAAAGCCTGTTCATCAAGCTTTATTGATGCATGGATGGCAAGTAAGTTGGTGATTATAAATGCTTTGATTCCTATTTTATATGGACTTTCGTGAAATCAGATTCATTCGTAGTGTTTAATCTTTTAACAATTTATCTATTGATTATTACAGTTTAAGATGCAATCTCGATTTTATTTATAGTTGTGGTTGATTGCTAAAGAGCTGTGAATATCCGAAAATAGATATTGTTTACCTTGACAGATAATTTGTATCTGTCAAAATTTTACCTATTCATTGTGCTTGAATCTTTTCCATTTTAATTTAGACTGCAATTGACGACACTTTTGTTTTTGATGGAAACAAAGTGGAATAATGAAATTAAATTTATATAATTTTAAAATATTTTTCATAATTTAATTCCATCTTTTTATTGAATTGATTGAAATAAACGTGATTTTTATTCATTAAATAAAATGTTTTATTCTTGCAAAAAGATCTTTTCGTTTTCATATTTCATTTCAACTTTTTAGCATTTTAATTTAACATGAAATTTACATTAAATCAACCATTTATTCTCATTCCATTCTCTTGTCAAGAGTTTAAATACAATTATTTTAATTTCAATGTAATCGATACCATATTTTACGATATTTAAGCTTTAGATTTAAGTTCAGCTGCTTTGGAGTAAGTAAATTTAAGGTAATCACCAACTTTGGGTAAAATGGACCTCATAGCATCTGAAAATTTATCAATTTTCTGGCGATCAACGACAAATCGATCAGTGATTGTATATTCAGGATAAACAGTCAAGTCCATTGGTTCATGGCAAGCCGTTTGAATGCCCAAATGGGAAACCCTAAACCATGAACGGAAGACATCGGGAAACATTTGAAAAGTACCATTGATATGAGCATTGACAATGGTTGATCTGATTTCACCCTGAGAAATGCGTAAAGGTATTGATCCAAACAGATGATAGTCAACAGTGTAGTTAGCTCGTGAATCAAGTTTGGGAACCTTGTGGCGAAAGTGAAGATATGAGCCTGATGTTTCCACGGTTTCAACCCGAAAATCAGACAATCCATAGAAGCGAATGTTGTTTATTGTTGTCACTAGACGACCTACTTCGGGTGTAATGGGATCACAGTCTTCTAAGGTAAGTACATCCGTCAATGGAAGTGGATCTAATCGAGAAACTGGAGTCATTTGAGGAAGACACATTTTTTCACGCAAAAAGTCTTGAATTTCTCCTGAGTCTCGGAGTAATCGTCTGTATGCTTCAAATGAGGACATGACCAGACTCTGGACTTGATTTGATAACATTGGAGGCATTGAAAGGGAATCAGATGAGGATGGGATCGACAGTGAATTCAGTGAAGTACAGAGTAAAGTCCATATTAAAACGAGAAACATTGATTTAACCTGAGAACGAAACATTTTGTCGACTTGATTGGACAAAGCCTTTCATCAAATTATCATTACCTTTTCATTTTTGTTCATATTTATATAACCGTTGTTGCTTCGTTTACTCGTTATTTGGTATGATAATTATTAAATTAATATGTTTGCTCATCAAAACAATGCCGAGTTATACCTTTCCCTCCTCTCTGTTTCTAGGCCCATCAACGGTGTTCACGCAGTTAACTGAACTTCCGTATTGGCAGTGGACTAATTATTGAAATGTATTGTATCTTATGAAGTTTGATTGTTGCTGATTCCACCATGGTAAAGAGGTGAGCAGAGGTAAAAATATCAACACAAGTGAAACTGATTTATGGGTATTTCCAAGGGTAAATTGATTATTTTGGTAAAGACCAGTTGGTCAATCAAGTCAGTGACCCGGTTAATTTAATACAAACTCACTCAATAACTAGTTTCAATTCATTCTAATCGCAATTTTTTTTGCTGATTCAATGTTACTCTTCAACTTTTACTAATAATATTTTATCCCAAACAAACGCATCAATTAATATTAATATTAGATAATAGCTGTAAAAAGATATTTATAGTACATTTATTAGACTTGAATGCAATTTACATATTTTTAGGCCCAGACTAATAGACAATTTAAGTAATCCGAATTCGGAAAAACTAAACGTTAAAATATATGAAAAACAATCAATTACTTGGATAACAATTGCTGTTGATTTGAGTTGATTTGTTTAGTTATTCAGAGTGTGAAATATAAAACATGTGTAAAAGCCCAACCTTTGTCCTTATATCGAGACTGTTACCATTATTTTGATGGTCAATGGTTGATGTAAGATTCCCAATTTTCCAAATCATGATAACCTTGCATAGCAACTTTGGCACCAGCAATTTTACTGCCAAAAACAATGGCATCCTCAGGCTTGGATCCTCTAATCAAAATATCAAAAACTGTAGCAGCCAGAAAGGTATCACCAGCTCCACATGTGTCTACGACCTTTGATTTTGGGTTAAAAATGGGTGTTGATCCGACGGGTCCAATTATTTTACCATTAGATACCTTGGCTATTCTTGAACCTTCATCACCCCAAACGAAGATCACATAAGCCTCATTTTTAACCAGTTTACATGTTTCTTGGATAGTCTCATCCAGATCTTTCCAGCCTTTCAAATGTCCAAAATCTCGTTCCACAAAATAATAATCAATTTTCTCATCAAACACTTGAGACAATCCTTCATGATCTGTTTCCAATTCAACCGATATAACTGGCTTAGATGAACCAGCTGTTTGTTTGCTTCTTACATAACGTACCATATCAATGATACCTTTGATATTGTTTCGGCTTTCAACATGAATCCAGTCATAATTAACCAAATCATATTTCACATATTTTTCCAACGACAAGTCAGGATAGTGACTGAAAATAAACAAATCAATATTTCAAGATTTACTCAACAATCAAACGCAAAATAAAACATACTTACTCAGTATAATGAAAGTAGGATCTAGAGCCATTCAATGCATTGAGGATAACGGCAGTAACTGGCGTCTTCACAGATGGATCAAAAAACATGCGATCGTGACGAATATTTTCCCGGTCAAAAATCTCTCGAAGAAAGCTGTAAGAATCAGAAAAAAAGTTGAATAAAAATGCTGAGTTACCTTCGTATTGTACCATTAAAAAAAGCTTACTTTGCAGGAAAATCATTGCCCAAGGTACCTAAAAGTTCAATTTCAATCTCCTCATCCTTAGAATTGCCATTTTTACACTTTTTCAGGTGCCAATTGCGAAGCTTTGAGAAAACGACTGAATTATTCGAAGCATTGCCGCCTAAATTCCATCGAAAATTATCACATCTGTTCTCAACAAAAATATCGTTATCAACACACATCTTGTTTAATTAGATGACTTTTAATTGATTTACTTACGGTATTCCAGCGTCTTCTTGTGGGTAACCTTCAACTGTAAAAAGAGCGTCACAACAAATAAGGCCACTAAAAGCAATTCGTTTCTTATTAACACTCATTATACCTTTACAATTTAAAGTTGTCTATTCTGAGTTGATCAGAGATCTCAGCTTCCACCAATCAGTCCATTCTGAAGAGTCTCTTAATATTATCTTTTATAATTCAATAAACAGTCTTAAGATAAGATTGTTTAATCCAAGTTACCAACGTCGTTTAGACTTTGATAAATTATTAAAATAGCGATACATTTTTATGCCTTTTCATTATTTCATTCAATAACATTGATTAAGATCAAGATTACGTTTATTGCAAGGCTGTTTAAAGGTAAACCCCAAGGAGATTATGATTTAATAATTACTTAATACAATTTGAAGCTCTCATTCATTTTACCTATGTAATGGATTAAATCAGAAACTAATCAGTGCTGAGTTAATCTGAGAATGCAATTGGATGATAAGTCATGAATTAGAGCTTGAATCTTTGATTTGTTGTTTAACTGAAATTCAAACCAAATCAATACCAGTCTCCATATGGGTTAACTCAACAATTAAAGACAAAAAAGAGGTTTTAAAAAGACAATTATAATAGACATTTTTGGGCAGTTAAGTAGATATGCTTGTATAACAAGCATCTTTATTGTTAAGTTAAAATTTTGACATAAACGTAAAATTTACATAAAGAGTTTAAAATTTGTATTTTTCATAAAAAAAAGCGTTGCGTTATTTTTAGGTGAAAAGTCGATGTCTCTTTGAAGATGTTGACGCTCTCGACTATAAATATGGCAATGTTATTCAAGGAAAGTTAAAATTTAACGATTTAATTTATTATAATTGTTGACTTGAGTTCCCATTCAAATTTTTTCGATTAATTCCCCTGTAAGTGGACATAGGTACTTCGGGAGGCTCTAATTCTTCGTCTGAAGATAAACCATCAAAAGCTTGATTTACCATACCATTAGTGCCATAAGGATTTGGTGGTCGTCTTTGTTTTGAGTCTAGTGTTGATCTTGCAGGATTACGAACAAACTCATTTTTTATTCCAAGCGTCTGCATTCCAACATGATCATCATATCCTAAAATATTTTTACTGCGCTTTATGAGAGCAGTAATAGTTTCTCTGTTTCGTTTACCACCAAGAACAGGAGTTGTAGCTGTTTTAATAATGAAAATAAACGTTAATTATCATGTCAATTCAATATTACATTAAAATTTGTTGAATATTTAAAAAATACTTACTTCCTTCTTCTTGAGCTTCCAAAATCGCCATAAACTTCTCTCTGAACGCAACATCCAAAGTGCCGGTTTTAATTGTTTGTCTGCCACGCATCTCTAATTTTTGGATAGTCTTTCTAGCTGCGATTCCATAAGTATTGTCTTCCGAGCTTTCACCATCATTGAAACCTTGCAATTTCTGGAGTTGACGAGCAATATCAATAGCATTTCGTTTAAGATCATCTTCACCAGAAATGTCATCACGTTTACTTTGGAATAGATTAACTGAGGCTAACATGTGAGATAAAGTTCCGAATCGATGAAACAGCATACCAATCAATTGGATGAGCAAAATAAGACCAAAGAAACCAACAAAGACCAATCCAATTGGTTCCATTTCAAGATATTCCTTATCAATACGGATTTCATTAGTTTCTGGTATAAATGTAATGTTTTCTCTAATACCGTAAGGCCAATCTACATGAAGAATGTCCTTATTCAATTGAAGTATCAGCACAACCAAAACAAATAGAGCATTTAACATGAAAAATGAGAAAACTACTCTATTTCGCAGCTCTTTCAATTCAACAGCTACACGAGCTTGATGATCTTTATTTTGGTCGATTGGATAGAGATATTTGGAAATCAGTTCCTTCCAAAATGCGATTTCATTTTCTGCAAGCTGCTTGATTTCACCATCTCTCAAATCTTCATCTTCAATCCAGTATGGATGGTCTTCATCAAATCGTGGAGCAACTTCTTCATTATCCTTAATTGACATATCATCAGTTTGTGATTCTGAGCCAATTGAATCCATGTCTTCATGTTCTTCATTTTCTGTTACAGTAGATAAATTATCTGAAAATCTAGCATTACGTCCAATCGAAGATCCTTTACGTCTGGGGCCACCAAGTGGGTCAAGATACTTTTCAAGAGCACCAAGTTTGTCAGTCATTTCACTAAGATGTTGTTCAATTTTAAGTAGATGAATCTTTTCGTCGTTTGGTTTGGGATATGTACAGAAAGAGCACCTGAACAAGTTTGCCAGACTAAATTCAATAGATCCTTCTTCTTCTTTAGCGTTTGGATTAAGATTCAAGAAACTCAATAAGTTGCCCTTTTTGATTTCTTCAACAGCTTTCTTTTCCTCTTCCAGCTCAGCCTTGGTCTTTTTAGACTGAACTTCACGTGTTCCCCAAGTAACAACGTTCAAGTTGACCAGAGAATAGATCATAAGTAGAAGGTACATGCATGGAATCGAAAGGAAATAAAGTAAACATGGATATAAACAGTGAAACTCTTGTGGATGAAGCAGTGCCGCCACTACAAAAGACCCAGATAAAGCTATGAAAAATACGGCAGACGGTGAAGTAACACCATCTTCAGCCATTTGAATAGCGGTACCAACAAAGACAGCCATCATGAGTAGTGCATAACAAGCGGACATTATTTGTGCAACCAGAATCTGTATATCATTTTTACATGTGAAACAGATAACGATGAATATGAGTATTGGTATCAAATTGAAAAGAAACGAGTCCCAATTGGATATACGAAAGACAGCAACCATAGCTCCGACCAACATAAGAAAAATGGTTCCTGGTCCAAGAATCGTTCCAACCATCAACATTCCTTGATAAACAATATAAAGTAAAGAGATGTGATCATTTACTGCCACAGTTCGCTTGTAATCACCAAGAAGATCAAGAATATTAGCCATTGTGGATGGAGCCCATCGACGTCGTTGAGTATAAAATTCACCAAAACCTTCTGGACAATGTGTATAAGCATCAGCAGCAGCTGAATATTCAACACGATAACCTCGTTGTAAAAGAAGTGTACAAAGCCATCGATCTTCACCTTGATCGTATTGTACATAATGTAAGGCCTCATCGGATCTTGTCGTATACTTTCTCATGACATTATCATCCATCAATGCTTTAGCACGGAAAAGTGAGAAACAACCTGGACTACAAAGTACACATCCAATCATGTGTTCAGTCGCCTTTTGAAGCCAATGACCAACAGCATATTCAAATTTCTGATACCAAGCCATGAGACCGCTACCAACTGGATGAATACGTCCACAGGCAGCTCCAAGATTCTTATTTTTCTTCATTAAATCTACAAGAAGTTGCACTGCTTCAGGACGGAAATTAATGTCTCCATCCAAAGTTAAAATATAGGTATTCTCAGCCATTGTAGCCTTTCGATTAACATCAATTGGTAATTCCATCAAACGATGTCCAAGCAGATAGTACATGTACATTACTTGACTCCATCGTTTTCTGTGACGAATTTTCATTTTATCTTTCAAATGGACATGCAATTTATTACCTCCGGGCAAAACGTATTCCAGTTTACCACCGTAAGGAGTTGGATATTTTGCTGGTGATTTTAATCTGATCTCACATTGGTGAATGTTACTTGCAGCTGTATCAATAACTTCGATAAACTGTTTAACGAAACGATTTACCACTTGATAATCATCATTGTCATCGCTCAATTCAAAAGCATCGTCAAAAAGAATGTGAACTTCAAATTCATAATAGTCTGGGTCAACAACTCGAAGATATTTCTGAGCTTTATGACGAGCTGATTGATCAAAGTCCATTCTAAAAACTGATTTCAACATTTGGATCATTTCTTCAGAGGTTTCATGCCACATTGTAGCACAAACCAAAATTTTTGTTATGAAATCTGTCGATTGGACTGTTGATTTTTTGTCATCTGGATGCTCTGAAATCGTTTCATAATGTAGAGATGGGTCTTGTACATTGTCAGGATCTCTCACGGATTTGTCAATGTCTCCTGCCTTGATTACTTCTTTATCATCCCGTCGTCGATTAAGTATCATTGATGCGTCAATTAGTAAACCACAGTACATAGGATTTACAAACAGTTTCTCAGTTGTCGCCAAACGTTCACATTTAGGGTTGAATATATGGAAAGTAATCCAAAATTGACTGATGTACATGATGACCCAAATTATTCCGTGTAGATTGTAAAAGACACCATCTGTAAAGAACGTATCTGCACTTGGACATGACCAAAATAGATAACGAGGAAGGAAACGATTAAGAGAACAACTGTTTTCAAAATTGAGAACACAAAACTGGGCTAAAGTCATGGCAGTAACGGGAACTGAGAGAATCAACGGAGAGGCAAAAGAAATACGTTGAATACAAATTTTACAAGCAAATTTACCAAAAACATAACAAAACCATGAGGCACTAATTTGTAAGATGAGCATCCAGATTGGTGCTGAGGTTGATGCAGGCATCTCAAGCCATTCAGATTCAATGCCAACATTTGAATCAGATAGAGATTTAGAAAGATCAGATCGGTCGCGTATAATGAGTATTTTGTGAGAAGTGAAGGCAGATTTAAATTGAGTGAATAAATATAAAGCTGATCCATCGACTAAAAGTCGTAAAATTATTGTTGCGATGAAGATGAGTATAATTTTCCATGCTGAAATGAAAATATAGATGAAATAACGAGATTTTTGAAGGCCTTCTTTGATCTGAGCCAGTCTTTGGATAGCACGGAAAGGAGATTTCTTATCAATGTAGTTTTCCCACCATCCAATTGAAATTAACAATGAAGTGATAGGAATGTAAATTGCAACTGGATTGTCTGTTGACTCAGCAACGGACCAAAGTATTAAACCAGAAAGTTGAGCTCCAACGGAAAGAAGATCAAGAAGAGTTTTGTATCCACGTCCAGCTTCACCAGAATGACGAGAAAATAAGCTCAAACAACCAGGAATGAAACAGAAACAATTTGTTAAAATAACACCTTTGGTAACATCTAATGATGGCAGTATCAGGAAAACAAGCATTACAATTCCAATGGTATGTAATGTTTCAACAATAAAAATCTGGAGAAAGAATGAAATCAAAATTTAGAAATAGAAACAAAAATATTTAAAAATGCATCAAAATAGCAAAACTTACTAATGAAAAAACGGCTTTGCTTGGTCTTCTAATTGATTTAAAGGTACATATTCTGGCAGCTCGAAAAAGTGTCATTAACTCTGGAACTATAAGAACTCCTATTAAAGCCCAGATCCAAGCGACCCTTTCTGGATCGGACAAATTAAGCACTACTTCATATTTTTTATCTCGATCCAAACTTGGTATTCCATGGCTGCAAATGATTAATCCCGTTCGATTTGGTTTGATGATTGAGGTCATAAATAAGACTAATCCTTTGGATAGGACAGAACAAGCAAGAACAACTATGAAAGTAATCACATAGGCACATAATTTTAATATTTTGAGTATCACATCAATCCATTCGGAGCTTGAAGTTTCATCGTCATCTGGTGGGGGCGATTCAACAAAAACATCCCACTTTTTAACTGTTTCACGAGCCATTGAGATAAAAAGACCCGGTAAATAAAAAGTCTTTTAACACCTCCGGTCGATGGGGCTTTTACTTTTACTTTTACGGCAATAATTAAAGATGATCCAAATTTGATTATTGGTGACGACTAATCTCAATCAAAAAAATGATGGTAAACAAAAACGCACACGAAAGCGAGAGAGAGAGAGAGAGAAGATTTAGGTGTACTGGAGCAGGTATCCAGAACTGGCAAGATGGCGTCCATGCCAGAACAGCAGAACCGGAATTCTTACAACTTACACCCCTTATAGTAAAGAGGCTGGGTATGAACGCTTAACCTTAACTAGGTCAGACGATCGATCGCCAACATCAAAGCAAGCAAGTGGATTAATGGAAACTAAGTCTTAACAATCGTTCCATTTCACTCTTTTGAATGTTGATTTCGTTCAGATGAAAGCCTTTATTCAAACGTGAATGATCTAAATTCATTTGATCAAAAAATTGATGAATTTTGGTTCATTTCAAGAACAAAACAATTTATCTTTTGCGAGCCAACTCCAGCTCCCATACTTCTACGTGAAACGTGTTCTTGTTGTATTTGACCGTGATCGATTCTTGACCGCTCATGAGCTTGATCTACATCGAAGATCTTTGAAATGTCCTAAAATGAGCCAACATGCAATAAAACAGTAGTCGGTTTAGTTTTTCTGATTTTTCTCGGATAATTAAACCTTTGCTTACCTTTTCCCAGTTTCGAATATACAGGGCGTTAGCGCTAAAAGTTTTATTTCTAGATTGATTCAGCAACCTTGATGTTAAAAATTTTGCTACGCAATATATTACAATATATTAATACATACTATGTCTTTTTCTTTTGAATTGGAAACTTTAAAAAATGAAAAATTGTTAGTCTTCGTCCAGATTTAAGCTTCTTCAAGTTCAACCTTCCATTGGTTTTTAAAAAAAAAATTTCACTAATGAAAAAGCCTGTCTCTGAAACAACTTTTGAGATAGTTTTACTCAAAGCAAAGGTTCAGACACTTAACTGCTTATCTCTTAGGTATCTTAAAGAGCTGAGGCTATGAAGGGTACCTGTAAACTCGCTTAAACTCATTTAAGCTTTAAGACAAACAGAGAGTTCAAAACTTTTACAACTTTAAAGCAAACTCGTCACTAATTATTTGCTGCTTTGGCAAGTAAATTATCAATTTTGGTTAAAAAATTCGTGCACAGCGATCAAGCTCAAACTGAATTAATCAAGTTTCCTAATTTTGGTAACTTGTTGTATCAGTTCGAAAAAGAATTGCTATCTAGACATTTTACAGGACACCGAGCTTTTTCAATAGTGAAAGAAATTTTTATTTTTGAAAACCAATGGCAGCTTCCATTTGAAGAAGCTTACATCTGAGCGAACCCTAACACTCTTTTCAGTTGTTAAAAGTGACTAATTTAAAAGAAAAAGGCTGTATATAGTTTTTAAAAAGCAATAAACTGACCTCTCCCACATATTTTTGAACCAATTCAGACCCAATTACTCTTATGAAACAGGCGTCAGTACGAATTGCAACAGCCAGTGCACATAAAGTTTTACCAGTTCCAGGTGGACCAAACAATAAAACTCCTTTTGGAGGCTCTATTCCTAATTTTACAAATCTTTCCGGCTATGAAAATAAAATAATAAAGTTAACATTTTGACTCGAAACTAGACATAGATAATAGACATAATAGATAGCAATGCAAGGATACTCACATGTAATAAAGATGTCTCAACGATAATGAGTTTCTCAATTTGTTCTTTACAATCACCAACATCACTATAAGTTACATCGGGTTTTTCTTCCACTTGCACCATAGTGACAGTATGGTCAATCTTCGGAGGCAACGGTAAATCAATCTGATATTGGTTTCTATAAGCCCGACTAATATTCATTTGATATTTAACTGCAAATATATGTAACATCCCAGACGTCCAGTTAAATACATAGCTGGAAAGTTCAAGATGAAATTTAGTACTTTCATCATAAAAAGACCTAGACTTTTGTTTTGAATTCCTGAGTGAAATAGTATCAATGATTTTTCACATCAAAGATTCAAATTAACCAGAATATCTTTTTTTCTCATCACTTTACATACTTTTCTTCATTCTATCTATTCTTATACTCATTTTTTCATTTTCTAACTTTTCTTTTCAATTATTATCTAATTATTATTCCAACTACTTTGTATTCAAACTGAAATCAAAACATTGAAAGATCGATCTTGGATCGATCTCTGAGTCGATATTTTAATTTTTTCGATCCGAAGATCGAGCTTGAAAATCGCTGATCCTGCCATCTCTGATTAAATGGAAACACAATTTTGTGCTAAATGATGACTTGAGAATTTTTGAGTGTGGCGCTCGCATACTCACTCTGTAATAGCAAACTCACCTTATAAATTTTGTTTTAATCTATCCTACTCTTTAAATCCCATTACGTTTAATTTTTCTATTAATTGTGATCTAGTTTTAAGTAAATCAATCTTGTTATTGAAATAATTAAAATGGATTATCTAGGAGCTGATCAAAGAAAAGTTAAAAAAGACGATGATGACAAAGAGAAAGACATTAAAGGTTTGTTATTGTCTTAACTATAAAATCTTTACTCTGTCTATATTGTTTATACTCATTTCTTATTCAAATTATTGTTGATTCATGTCATTCATTTTAAAAATTTAGTTTTGGATGAAGTCGATATACAGCTTCTAAAAACATATGTAAGTATCGTGAAATTTTTAATTCAACCTCAAGCCCATGTATTGGATAACATTTTTGGTCATCTAGTGTTTACTTTTTGCTAATTTTTTTCTAATTTCTTATAGGGTACTGGTCAATATAGCCGGGCCATTAAGAAAGTTGAAGATGATATCCAAACGATACTTAAACGAGTAAATGAATTAACAGGAATTAAAGAATCAGACACAGGACTTGCACCTCCTGCTCTATGGGACTTAGCAGCTGATAAGCAAACTTTACAGAATGAACAGCCTTTACAAGTTGCCCGGTGCACTAAAATCATCAATCCTGATTCAGATAGTCCAAAATACATTATCAATGTGAAGCAATTCGCTAAATTTGTTGTAGATCTGGCTGAGAATGTTGCAGCAGCAGATATTGAAGAAGGAATGAGAGTTGGTGTTGACAGAAACAAATATCAGATTCATTTACCGTTGCCTCCGAAGATTGATCCTACTGTCACTATGATGCAAGTGGAAGAGAAACCCGATGTAACTTATAGTGATGTAGGTGGTTGTAAAGAACAAATTGAGAAACTCAGGGAAGTCGTTGAGACACCTTTATTACACGTGAGTATCCTTACATCGCTATCTATTATGTCTTGCTTCGAGTCAAAATTTAAATTTATTATTTTTTTCATAGCCGGAAAGATTTGTAAAATTAGGAATAGAGCCTCCAAAAGGAGTTTTATTGTTTGGTCCACCTGGAACTGGTAAAACTTTATGTGCACGGGCTGTTGCAAATCGTACTGACGCCTGTTTCATAAGAGTAATTGGGTCTGAATTGGTTCAAAAATACGTGGGAGAGGTCAGTTTATTGCTTTTAAAAACTATATATATTCATCAAGCTAATAAAAATTGGGCCTTTTCTTTTTTAGGGTGCTAGAATGGTTCGTGAGCTTTTCGAAATGGCACGAAGTAAAAAAGCCTGTCTTATTTTCTTTGATGAAATTGATGCTATTGGTGGTGCTCGTTTCGATGATGGAGCTGGTGGGGATAATGAAGTTCAGAGAACTATGTTGGAACTTATTAATCAACTTGATGGTTTCGACCCTCGTGGTAATATTAAAGTTCTTATGGCTACTAATAGACCAGATATTCTAGATCCAGCATTGATGCGACCTGGAAGGTTAGATCGTAAAGTTGAATTCGGTTTACCAGATCTAGAGGTGTGTAATTTATTTATTGTTTTGAGAATTTTTTCACAATTTGTAACAATTTTTTATTTTTTACAGGGTCGTACTCATATATTCAAAATTCATGCTCGATCAATGAGCGTTGAAAGAGATATAAGATTCGAGCTCTTAGCTCGACTTTGCCCTAACAGCACTGGTGCTGAAATTAGGAGTGTCTGTACGGAAGCTGGTATGTTTGCAATTCGATCTAGGCGTAAAGTAGCAACGGAAAAAGACTTTTTAGAAGCCATCAACAAAGTCATAAAAAATAATGCTAAATTCAGTGCTACCCCAAGATATATGACTTACAATTAATTTCTCTTCACGATCTTCATATTTTTCTTACATCCAATTTAATTAGCAGATATGAGATTTCGTTAATAAACACCAAATTTCTGAATATTAATCATTAAATTCGTTTATTTATATGACTGTGAAGTTATAAAAAAATTTCTAATCCACGGGCAACGAAATTATCAATATAAATATTTGAATTTTAATCAATTAAAAAATAAACAAAAATTTTTACATTTCTGTGCTCAAAATTGGTACAAATCAACTATTTATAGTTGAACGATTTTTAAGCCTTTCTAAATATCTATTTCGAGCTTCTGTAAAAACTTCTGCAACTGTTCTTTTCTTGAAAATGGCTTCCAATTTTTCCTCTTTTGTTCTTTTGTCTTCCGGTTCGCCATCATCTAATTTTCCATCAACCAATTTTTCATCTTCTAATCTTTCGTTATCCAATTTGCTATCATCGGATTTCGAACCATCCAATTTCATATTTTTTGACTTAGAATCTTGTGATTTCGTGTTTTCCAATTCTGTGTTTACCAATTCTGTTTCTTCCTCTTCATCTTCCGATTCTTTGTCTTCCGCTTTTCTATCTTTTCGTTTTTCGTCTTCCACTTTTCTATCTTTTCGTCTTTTATCTTCGACTTTTCTATCTTTTGGTTTATCGTCCTCTGTTTTCTCATTTTTGTTTTTCCCATCGGTAACAGAATTAAAAAAATATTTATAAAATCCACTGAGATCTTTTTGCTTTTTCACATCCATTGCTTCTTCTAAAGCTTCTTCATATTTTGCTTTCGCCTCGGCAGCTCTTCGCAATTCCAGTTTCTCCTTGTAAGCTGATGTTATGAACGTTGGCTTATCAGCAAATTGATCACCTTCGGCATCTCTTTCAGCTTGCACTTTACGTTCAAATCTCCTTTCCATTTCTTGTTTCCTTTTATCAGCTGTTTTGAGTAAATTTGAAATATACTTTGATTTGTTTTCCGTTTTAGGTTTCTTACTCTGTTCTTCCTCTTTATCCTTTTTTATATCACTATAAATTTCATCATATTCGAAGATTGATGGATCTTCTTCCAGAGCTCGCTTGATGTTTTTCTGAGCAATCAATCGGTTTGCCATGATGGAGATTCAATTTTCTGAAAAAAACAAATTTATAAACACAATAACAAATACACAAACACGATGTAAACAGAATTAGACTTCAAATCAGTCAGAGCGTAGTGCGCAGTCGCAGAATAAACTACTATTTTTGCAAAGAGTAATAGAGTTACTCTTTGTATTTTTGTCTATTAAATATTAAATATTAAAATTTTTATTATTGTAAGTCCTGTGGCACAATCTGTTTTACACGAAGTAAATTAAATTGTGGCGTAATAACTTACAATTTAACCTTTACACTGAATAATTCTGATTTAATTCAATAGTTTACCGTCTGATTCATTCAGATAATTTATCATTTTCCATCATAATTGCGATATAATTACTTTTATTATGCCTTGCTGATTACAGTCTGATTAGTCATTAAGAACATTTTATCATATCTTGTTATGAAATTATGCTTAAAGTTATTAAAGATTCGAATTTACATAAGTTCTAATAAATTCTTTAAATGGACTATTTTTATCTGCAATACCAAACAAATGAAACGGACAATAATTATTAAAATGACTTGGTTCTTTCAGTCATTCACCCGGTTTTGTGGTTATTTTACGATAAACTTAAAGTGCTGCTGATGCTTATTGCTTCGTACGAGTACAAATTTTTAACTTATTTTGCAATAATTCTGAGTCATTCGAGGAAGAGATAATCATGAAAAGTTTACTAAGTAATGTTAGAAGCTTAGTAGATATATAGATGCTATTATTCTCTGATAAAGTTTTTAAATTTATGATCTAATCATGACTTTGACAATTATTCACTTGCGAATGAATGAATCGTAGATAAAGAGAATGTCATGGGTCTTGAATTTTCCTCGATTCGATTAAATCAAGAATATCACCCTTGCCCAGTTCTTTGAGTAATCTTAGTTGCACAGTTGGTTTGTTTATCGTCATTTAACACCTGAATTTTAATCTCTGGATGGCATACATTTAAGTCTTTCGAATGCAGCTTTCTCCAAGCTTTCTCTATGGTTAGGATGAGCAATGTTGATCAGCTCATAGGCTCGTTGTCTTAATGTTTTACCGAAGAGATAAGCGATACCGTGTTCAGTAACAATATAATGTGCATGAGCTCTGGTTGTTACAACTCCAGCACCTTGTTTCAAGAATGGCACAATCTTGCTTTCTCCTTTTTTGGTTGTTGAAGGCATAGCCAAAATTGGTTTACCTTTGCCATCATATCCAAGAGCAGCTCCTCGTAAGAAGTCAACTTGACCTCCAAATCCTAGTAAATAAAGAAGTAATTAGCTGTAAATTCAATATAATTACAATCGAAGGGAATATTTACCGGAGTAAACTCGAGTTCCAATTGAATCTGAACAGACTTGCCCACAAATATCAACTTCAATGCAAGAATTGATAGCAGTAACCTTGGGATTTTGTGCGATTACTGATTCTCTATTGACAAAGTCTATGGTCCTCATAGCTAAAAAAGATCGGTAAAATAAGATAAGAAGGATTATCTCAGAGATTATTGAGTTGAAAATATTGAGAGAAAAGATAAGATGAAGTTAGGAAATTTCTTATTATGCATTGTGACAGCATAAAGGAAATTGACTCTACTTCAAATAATAAAAATGAACAGAAAACGCTGGAAATTAATAGAAAACTTACTAATAAAAGGATTATCATCAACAAAGTCGAATAAACGTCGAGAACCAATGATAAAACTAACTACTATTCGTCCTTGTTCTATATTCTTCAGCCTGTTAGTAACTACTCCTCTCTCTACCAAATCTACGACACCGTCTGAAAACATTTCAGAGTGAATGCCTAGATCTTTGTGGTTACCACAAAGAGCAAGAACAGCGTCTGGAATGGCACCAATACCCATTTGCATTGTTGCTCCATTTTCAACCAGATTCTCGGCTATATGTTTTCCAATCATTTTTTCAATGTCAGAAAGAGGTTTGGGTTTATGTTCTGGTAACTCTTTGTCACAATGAACTACAGCATCAAAATGGGATTCATGAATAACAGCATCTCCATTGGTGCGAGGCATTCGTGAATTAACTTGAGCAATGATGTACTTAGAGTGGATTAAGGCAGCCCGCACACAGTCAACCGAAGTTCCCAATGAATGATTACCATGGGAGTCCGCTGGACTAACTTGGACCAAGCTCACATCAGGTTTGATGATTCCTCTGAAGAAGAGTTGAGGGATTTCACCGAGAAAGATAGGAGTGAAATCAGCCCGACCTTCAGCAATTGGTGTTCTACAATTAGCTCCAGTAAATAAAGAGTTGGATCGGAAAACATCAGTTAAATCAGGTGCATTATATTCAGCTTCGCCCTCGGTGTGAATATGATGGATTTTGACACCTTTTAAACTGCTCTTACGTCCATGCTCAGCTAGTGCAGGTATTAAGCCTCTTGGAGTAGCAGCTGCACCCTGAATAAAAACAGTATCACCTAAATAAAAACAAAAAATGACCGGGTAACAAAAATTTTCATAACACCAAATATTCAGAGGGAGAAAATTAGCAGTTTTCAGAAAACAAGAAGAAAATCATGAAGGAAATGAAGGATATAAAAATCAATAAACAAATAACTTGAAAAACATAAAGATTAATAAAAATAAATTTACCAGATTTCACAACAGATACAGCTTCTTCAGCGGTCAGTTTTTTGGGTTTACGATTTGGAATTGGGTAACAAGGTTCAGGTGAATAATCATGAAAAGATGACCTGAGAAATGGGTTGGCAAAAAGCCCACGAGAGAGAAAACTTTTAGCAAGATTACTTTGCATTATTAGTCAAAGGGTAGTAATAGATAAGGTAATAATAAGGCAATAATTGAGACTAGATGTAGAAAAATGCTACAAATAATTAAAGTGAGAAGGAATTTGCCCGATGATATAACAACAAACAACTTCAGTCATCCAATCTTTCATATAGCAAGTAGCTGCAGATGGCGCTAACAGCTATGTGATGTAATTTTTTCAATGAAATTTCGAAATTTCTGAATCAAAGATTCAGCAAATATTTTCTCCAAGGTATTATTAATAGATGCAGTTCCACCATTTTGACAGAATTTCATCCATTCAACTTCAAAATTTTTGCGGATTTTCTCCAGCAAATACTGTTTCTTACTTTAAATCAACTTCAGATTACATTTTGTACTGTTCAACAAATAATCGATAGTTACGATTTCAATCGGATTATTTCGAACTTGCAAAGATTTTACTAAAGCCACAGGTTTATGTTTCTGTTTTGACTGCTTTTGATAGTCTTATTCACATCACAATCGCTCATAACATTGTCTAAATTCAATTGAATTACCTTTACATGCGATTGATTTTTTTGTCTTCCTTTCAATTGAGTCAATAACTTGAGTTTTGATGATTATTCAAATTTATTGTATTTTGTAAAAAACTCTCTTCGTTTGGTACTTTAATAATGCCGATATTCATTAATTCACTTTAAATATTGAATAATCAAAATTTAAATTGCATAGCAATGCAACTTTAAGGCGGACCTAAAAACTAGTTTTTAAATAGATTTGTGCTGCCATCTCATAGTAACCAGCTAATAACTTTGGCTCAGCTGTTTTTTCACATGTTTTCCTCGTTAGTTTGATTATCAAACTTTGATTTATGGATTTCAAACAATAGTTTATAATTTCAACATGCCATTTACCTTTGTTATTTTATTGATAAAAATTTATTAGTTTTAACTAAATTTGAATGATGGACTTGCCAATTGGCGGAGCAAATTTTAATTTGCCTACTAAAAATTGTGATGAATCGAAATTATGTGCTGTATGTAATGAAAAAATTTTTAAATACAAATGCCCTGGTTGTTTAACAAAAACCTGTTCAATCGAGTGTGTCAAGGTTCATAAAAATGAGCTTGATTGTGATGGTAAACAAGTTAAAATTCCCTTCAAGAAGATTGAAGATTTTGATGATAAACAATTTTTCAAAGGTAAACCAATTTTCTCAGCAATATTTATTTTCTAATTCTGACTATAAATTATGATTAATAACTTTTTCTCTGTATTTATAGACTTTAATTTTTTGGAAGAAGGCTCAAGACTATTAGATTGCCTGAAGAGAGATCGTCAAAATATCATAAAAAGTAAGGATCAGTTGCCACCTTGGTTGAAAAAGTTGGTCTATGAAGCTCGTTGCAGGGGAACGCGTCTCAAGATATTACCTGCTGGTTTTGAGAAACGAAACAAAAGCAAAACAACATTTATGTATGATAAAAAAGAAATACTATGGGATATCGAATTAATCTTCACTCATATCACCGTTAAAGGAAATCTTATCGAAAAACCTTCGTCAATTACTCTCAACCGAATGAGTGAAAAGAAAACTTTGAGTGAAATTATTCAAAGTATACTAAATCCTACAGACATAATGGAAAGAATAAATTTATGGAAATTCCTGACATCATATCGTTTAACTGATCCTTCATCGATTGTGGTTTTATTATCTAATGGAAAGAAATTTCACGAAGTTGACATGAACCAGAATTTGGCCAAAATTCTTGAATGCAAAACTATTGTTGAATATCCAACTTTTGTGGTAACTTTGACCGAATTCAAAGATCTATTTCCAATTGAGACAAACGAAGAAAAGATAGTTGCCAATGAAGATGGATCTAAATTAGTCAACGGACAAAATTCAAATGGCAAGGGACGGTATCAGAACAATAAAAGAAAAAATAGAAAAGGAAAGAGAAAATTTGGAAAAGGATTGAAATCTCACGTTGATGCTAAAATACCAAAAACAAGTGAGAGTGATTCAAACAGAGAAAGTTGTGCTCACAGTTTAATTTCTGAAGCTTCATCGATTACAAAAGATTTGGATACAAGTGCAATTAAAGGATCTCCAATGGAAACAGTTGAACCTAATAGTTCGACTAAAAATATCAATTCTTGTCCACTTTCAGCATCCTTCCAAGTTACCAAAACAGGTCAACATGACTCAGACGTTTCTTCTCTTTCGACTAGTGATGATGAAGATTATCAAAGCTTTGTCAACATTGGTTTTTCCCGATCATCATCTGGTGTTTAATTTGTCTGTCGTTTTTTGCAGCTCTCTTTGAATAAAAGTAAATATCAAATTTTATATTAATAAACATGTACATTTAAATAAAATAATTTTTTTCTACTCACTTTTCAAGTCTTTTAACATCTGAAGTAGAATGTTCGATTGACATATGCAACTTGTTTATCCTAGTCTGCAACTTTGCATGTTCTCCTGACCTTTTCAGCTTATCGATTGTTTCGGTAAGTTTTGCCTTCTCTTGGGCCAATTCATTGAATATACTTTCATTTAGTTGTATTTCACATTCAATTTTATCGATCTCTTTCAATTTCATCTCTCGGGTGGCTTCCAATCTTTCTCGATAATCTTCATTGTAATGATATTTTTCGAAAAAATTGTTTACTTTATCTGCAAACTTGCTTCTTAATTCTGTTAATCGTTGTTCACAATTTGTTAAATTTCCTGTCAGTTTTTCATATTCACTATTCACTAATATTATCGCATCTTCCGTAATTTTGGTTTGAGCTTTCAGCATGAATATTGCCACTTTATTTCTTGTGTCTTCTTTAGGCTCATTTGGAAACATGATTACGCTGCAGTAACAAAATAAACGAACACAACAAAAACATTAGTTTTGTCTCATTTGAGTTTAAAAGATACAATAATAAATTCACTTACCAATTAACTGTACAACCAATTGGTCGAGATTAATCAAATCAAATGTAATAACGCTAATAAACAAGAAAAATCAAAAAAAATTAATGGCGTTAAAATAATTCTAATTAAGAATTTCTAAAGTGTTCTTAAGTTCCACCACTGATGAAAGCGCCATCCAGTATCAAATTTAATTTTCTAACATAATTACATGAGTTGTAGACAGATTACAATTTGTAGTTAGTTAATAACAATTTAAGCAAATGTAATTTTTGTTCACTTAATCTCAAAAATAAATTCCGAATTAGAAAATCAGACCTAAAACAACTTTCAATACATTACAGTCAATTTTTTGGTAATTAATTACAAACTCAATCAATTCTTTATTGCTACAATTTATTACGTTAACCATAAACGGTTTATGCGTTTCTTCACGTTTTTGATTATCTAATAATTTTTATTATGGGACTATTTGCACGATAATCTTGATTTCGACCAACCCCAAACTGAGTATCAATTTTTTGAACTGAATTAACTTTATTTCTCATAGTGTAATCTTGACTGACAATAACTTAATTGAGATTTGTTACTGGCTTGGATCCAGTTTAATAATAAGCATCAGAATAATTGTGACTGTTAACCTTGTTTCTTTTATTATTAGAAGCAGATTATGACTCGTTTAGATAAATGATAAATTCACTTTACATTCTTAAAAAGTCAATTAAGTTGAACTTAATTTGGATTACCAGTTTTACTTGCAAACTATTGACTGGTCTATTGGATTAGTGTTAGACCAATTGATTGTGATGTCTCAAATATCAAAATATCCTTTGTAGCGATGTAAGTAAAAGAGAATAGGACTAATTAAAGGGTTAATTCAGGTATTAATCTGGCTTTCAGCTTCTACTTGATGCACAAATCATGTACTGTACACAAAAAATATTTGAATTTGCCAAACTTCCAAGGCTTTCAAGCTCTCACTTCTGAACAGTTGTTCCTCAACAACAATAACGATATCAACAAAGTAACATTATTTTAACATCTCAATCAATTGTTGTTTTACCTATTGATATGATCAACCTTTCAACATTCAATTAAATTTTAATGATTGTTAAAAATAATTCAAGTGTCAACTCCACCATTCAATAATATAATATAGTTGTGTTTTATATTTGTTTTGCTTGACATTCAAAATCCTCTTCAGCTTATGCCTTTAATGCGTTTTGATCCTTATTTAAATATTAATTCATTGATGAACCTGATTTCCATCATCATTCTGACAATCTAAAATAAACATTACTGAATTTACAGATCTTTGTTCACCTAATCTTCAAAACGTAAGTGATAATATCTGTAATTCACTTCAAAGGTAAGTGACTGTTTTTTGTGTTCCTTATAATTTTGTCCACGTATCAATCCTCATTGCCAACCTTGTGTTAAATCAGCTGTCAGAACTAGATAAATTTCCTCTCTTTTTGCTTAAAAATGTAAAAACTATTCTCAGGTTGAAATAGAAAGAACAAGAATTGAAATATAATGCAGTAGAGATGCTAAAATTTTATCAGCTGTTCTTACAGTTATGAATGACCTTAAAGCCTATGAGGCATTAGATTTTGAAAAATGATCAGATAGACTACATAATATTAAATATTATTGTATTGTTTAGGCTCTTTTGTTTTGTCCAACAAAGATGCTATCACTTTGCATTATATTTCTGTAAACTTTAATAACAAACATACGATTCATAGGCGACTACAAGTTTTCAGCTACTCTAATTTAAAGCCAAATTAATATTGTTGAGGCAATTTCTTGTGTTGATACTTTTCTAGTCAATGTGAAATTGCACTGAAACTCCCGGAAAAACTACTTTTAAAATAATAAACGACAATTTTGTAGCCAAACAAATGTAATGGTCATTGCATTTGTAACAAATAAATTAAAAATCATAGCTATCATTTACATGTATTCTTGATGCAGAATGATCTTTTCCTTGCAGTGCCATTTGCAATATTTGTATTAAGTTATAATAACGGCAAAAGACCAGCACTTGGGCGACTATTTCTGCGGTGCTCTGAGTTTATAATGAAAAGATGGTCATTCATAATACATAGCATCCTGTATAATTGTAATCACAGCACTAATCTTTAAAGTTAATGTTGTCTTGATGCTTCATTCTCAGCTGACTTTGCTGTATCCAATATGAGAATTTCCAGAATTTCGCCGTGACTGGATGAAATTTTGAACTTTTCTGGACTCAACAATATTTGTAATAAGCGATTGAATTCAGTTGGATCTGAATTTAGCAGCTTACCTCAAAGACTATTCTAACTATGAGAATTTCTTATTGCGATTCAACAATCTTTAATCTTTGATACATGTAATTATGGTAATTTTTTTATTAAATAACCTATGGAAATATAACTTCCATTAACCCTCTAACTCACGAGTTACAGTTAGTCACTGGGTGCGTACGTGATTCAAAATGCAAGTACATCAGATTGTAGCTTTTAATTGATATTAAATTTACCCGCTTTATTACCAGATTGTTTCCTCTTTTCATTAGCAGTAAATTTGTTAACCATGTCGATTTAAAATTATGTGCCAACAAGATTTACATTGAATCAAAATAGCACAATATCAAGCATTGAAAGCAATCCTTCGATTCATATTTTTCATTTTTTGCTTGATTTATTACGAGCTCACGTGGTAGGTAACTGTCATTTCCATGCAGCTTGTAATGATATCTCAATATTCAGCTTGTAAAAATAACTAGACAGTGCTCTTGTTACTCTGATTAATTTTAAATTATAGCCTAACCAAGATTTAATTCAATTGGCAGATTAAATTTTAAACTCAACGCCACCTTCCTTTCAGCTGTTCAACTTTTAATTTGTCCTCTGATTTGTTTTTTACCTCATGTGTTCAATCAATTTTTGACTATTTTTTAAAGATGGTTTTTTACATGTGAAATTTATTTTATCAATTCTTATTCATTCATTAACTTAGTAACAATTTTTATGGTTTTCATTTAGTTGACAATTAAGTCTTTCATGTTTCTGTCTTTTAATTCATTCTCACTCACCAACTTGTCAACTTGGCAATAATATTGAGTTGTTTTTTATCATCAGCAGGCTGTGTTCTTGTGGATATCAATCACCATTCCACCACCATTGAATCTTTATCTTGGTTTCATTTTACTCTCCAACATACATCACAAATAATTTACTCACTGGAGGTAACCGTTTCTGTCTTTGAGTGATCTACCTTTAGAAATTTTCATTGCCGTTAATTCATCAACCCTGCAATCACAGTTTTTGAAGCTTTCAGTTCTACAAACTATTCATCAAATTTTCCATACAAACACATCATGGCATCTAAAGACAATCAAAAGCCAACACAAACCATACCAAAAGCAATGAAATTTGTAATTGGAGGAACCGCTGGGTAATAACTTTAACTATGATTACTTGTTATTTACTTATGATTTATGGTCATATAATTTAATCAAACTATTTATTTTTTACAGAATGGCTGCAACAATGTTTGTTCAACCATTTGATTTGATAAAAAATCGTATGCAATTGACAGGTATGTTAAATCAAGGTTTGAGGAATAATTTTCATTGATTATTGTATCGCTTTCTATTTCAGGTGAAGGTGGAAAACCAAAAGAACACAAGACAAGCTTTCATGTGTTCAGATCGGTCATCAAAAATGAGGGAATCCCAGCTCTTTATACTGGACTTTCAGCTGGTCTCTTCCGCCAAGCATGTTATACGACTGTTAGATTAGGTGTATATTCTAGTTTATTTGAAAAATTTTCCTCATCTGATAAACCTCCAGGTTTCTTGACCAAAGCTGCTATTGGTATGACTGCTGGAGCTGTTGGAGCTTTCTTTGGTACTCCAGCCGAGGTTTCTTTGATTCGTATGACCTCAGATGGGAGATTACCTATTGCCGAAAGAAGGAATTATCGCAATGTTTTTGATGCTCTTTTGAGAATCTCAAAGGAAGAAGGTGTTCTAACTTTATGGAGAGGTTGTGTACCCACTATTGGTCGAGCTATGGTTGTTAACGCTGCTCAGTTAGCTTCATATTCACAAGCTAAACAGTCCTTACTGTCGACAAAATATTTCAATGATAACATTTTCTGCCATTTTGTCGCCTCAATGATCTCAGGATTAATCACAACAGCTGCCAGTATGCCTGTTGATATTGCCAAGACTCGTATACAAAATATGAAAACAATTGATGGTAAACCCGAATACAAGGGAGCAATCGTAAGTTTCTTTTGATTTTTCTTCACTTTCAGATTAACTAATTTCACCATTCATCAATTGCTTATCTTTCTTTTTATTTTAGGATGTTCTTGCCAAGGTTGCCAAAAATGAAGGATTCTTCGCATTATGGAAAGGGTTTACTCCATACTATCTAAGACTTGGCCCTCACACTGTATTGACTTTCATCTTCCTCGAACAAATGAATCAAGCTTATGGAAAATATATTCTTGGAGTTGCTGGAAAACAAGTTGGACTTTAATCACGAGATTAAAAATCAACAAGCTTATCTCCATTTCATTTTTTTTGTGTTTCTGGTCTTGTTTTGGGTCTTCAACATGTGTACATCCTCCGAACTATCGTGTTTTGAGACACGTTTTCCTTATCGATCTTTATTTTACAAAAATGCAACAAATTAATGGTCAACAAGTTTACCAAGTGATATTCAACACTAGCCATTTTAATTCTGACAATTTTAGTCACTATTTTAACTCAATTTTTTTCGTTTACAAATTTTGTTTTTTTTCCTGTTTTCATCTTCCCCATGTTTCCTTGCATCCTATTTTATCAACTCTAATATTGATCATAAATGCTAAGCTATCAATTGAGTTGCAATAGTCTGTTAAATTTTTTCTAATCTACATTTAATTTACGAAATTTTGATCTGGTAAACTCAAATTATAAACTTTTATTTTTACATGTTGAAATCAATTCAAGTTTCCCCACTTACATGGAAATTATCTTTGTGCAATGACACCCCAATGAGTTATCATTCATTGTTGTATGTACATTATTCGTTATCTGAATCTTATTTTTTTGAAGTGTCTCATATCAATCTCCGGAATAATGTGTATTTTAACTTTTCAGCAAACATAAAGGTTATGACTATTCATCTGTTGAAATTGTCTCTCAATTGTTGAAATTATCTGTTTACATCTCATGAAGTTCCCTTTTTGAAGATTAACCAATCCTGAGCTACGCTATGCAGAGAATCTCAAAGATCTTACAATTGTTAGCCAATCTGTGCTGTATTAAGATAAAAGCTATTTCTATGCTGACCTATTGGTCAAAGAAACGGCGACTTATTGCATAAATTTATGTATTACTCTACCAATTCAAAATCTCTAATCCAATCAAGTTTTCATAGTAGAGCTCAGTCAGGAAAGATTGACTTTCAAACAAATTGAATTCAAATTTAAATAATCAAATGAATTTTAATACGATTAAGGATACAATTACATTGAAAAGATTTTAAGGTGATATAAGTTTTAATAAAACTGAACGATTACAACATTAAATTTCCGTCAAAAAGATTCGAATGTTGGTGTTTAACAAAAGAACTATTAGAATTATTTGATAGCAAAGCCACTTATTGACAATGCTTGTACAGATAAAAAACAAATTAAAATTCATTATAAATCTAAATGAACTGATTAATGGATAAAATGAATAGATCATTTCAGAGAAGACACATTTGCTAGAGCATATTCAAAATCCATTGAACTCCAAACGTCAACATGGTTCATAATGTCATCGAAATATAATGAACAGTCGACTTCATCGATAACTGAAGGAATATTTTTGACTGCTGTGAAAACATCTTGTGGTGTAGCTGGGTTAAATTTGGCAATGTAAGATCGCATTTGATCAAAAAACAGTTCGGTTGGACTGAAAAAGGTAGATTCGCAAGGATAACTGACAAATACTTTGTTGCTGATAGATTCCATGGTGGGGTCTTCTCGGAGCTCACCAAGCTTGTGTCCATCCAGCACGCAGTAGAATTTCTTTGCGTTTTTCTGTCCAATGCGAACCAAAAACTTCTTGAAAAAGTCGATAAATTTATAAGGTTCTTTCTTTACTTCAGGTGAACTGGCTGGTGATACATTTGGGGAAGACGAGAATGGTGATGGGTCTTCCTCTGCTTCGTACATAAATAAGCCATCTGCTTGCATTGCAACACAAATTGTGAATGTTTTACTTTTGATTGACCAACGAGGTGAAACTTTCTTTCCATGATGTACTCTAGTATTAATGTTTAATTTAGTATAACCAAGAAAATAGAGATCAGGTTCGTCAGCAAGTGGTTTAAGTCGCCTGGCAAATAATTGCCTTATCACTGGTATATATTTTACGACCGGGTTACTGGGAGTAAGATCGGGTACACGTCCAACCGAATAATGAAAGCTATGCAAGCAACCAGCAATCCTTTCCAGGTCATAACGAATATTATAATGTGAATCCAGTTTAGAATTAATTTCTTCCATGGTTAATAAACAGTCCTCCTCAATATAAGATCGAATCACATCACTCATTTCTGGGGTTATTTTGGTAGAGATTTTCGTTTGACCAACAGGAGATTTAACAATAACAGGCGAATCGTCACTTTTCAATGCCTTTCCAATAAAGCTGAAGTTTTTATATTTTTCAATGACTGATCGAACAAAGTTAGTATTTAATTTGAGATTACTGTTTGTCCCTGGCTTCAGGACATCCTGGTCAGATCCATTGCACTTTTCAACATCTAACTCTTTGATTAAAGTCATCTTTGTTGTCGTAGGTTGAAGGTTAACAGTAAAAACAGAGAAAAATATCACAGAAAAAGTAACAAGAGTTGAAAATTAGAACAAGTCAGGTCAATAAAGTATTAGACACAATGAGTAAAGGAGAGAAAATCAAAGCTTAAATAGGGAGAATAAATTTAATTTTCTAGAAATTACTCTTATCTTTGACCAATGAGAAGCTCATTTTGATATTATTGGAAAACGTCTTTCAAATAAAATGTCGTTATTTGTAAATCATTAATCTTCTGTTGTATTTCTCAACAATCATTTTATTTGAATTCAACCCGCTTTAACATGCTATCTTGTTCTTTATCTTCATTATTTCGATTTCTTATTTTAAAAGCACTCTTCTCAAAGAGTTGAAATGACTCTTCTCCGTAACAAGTCAACCATTGCTAATCCATCTATATTGAAATTGAACTTGAACTTAAGGGTCATTCAATTCACAAGTGTCCATAGATTGATATGCATTAATCTGGTAAATATTAACCATAGATCAAAATTGATAATTTTAATTATATTTTGACCACTTACAATGTTTTATAAAAACAGATATTTAATCATTATTGAGCGACATTTTAGTTAAAATCTGTCGAATCGACCCTTATCAACATGAAGTTATTTGTCGAGTATTTTTAACTCTTTTGCCTTATTTTGCTATCTATTACCATCAAGAATTAGACGTGTATTAGTTTTCAACAAAACTTCGATTCAATATTTTTGAATTGTTAATAGTATTCATTTATTTTCCATGAGCTTGTCGTTTCGACGCTAAGTTGGTCATTATTTACTTAATTATTCAAATAATGTATTTGAAAAAGTATAATTATTTTTATTGATATTTAACTTTCACCTAGATGGCTCTGAATACTGTGCGTTAAATTACAGGAATGAAATAACGCCATCTATGGGTTTAAAAATAGTAAAACATTCAGCTGTTTGAAAATGTCAATTTATTGAAATCTTTCAACAGAAATATTTGTTGTAAATTTAATCTAAATGTTTACTAATTAAGTGTATTATTTTTATTAATCATCATGGGAAAATTTTTGTCAAAAATTTTTGGCAACAAAGAAATGAGAATATTAATGCTTGGTTTGGACGCTGCCGGTAAAACCAGTACGTTAAATTGAATTACTCTTTCTTGTTATACTCAATTGTCTATCAACTATAAAATAATTATTGCTACTGATCTAGTGTTTTTGTTGTTGTTATGACTAAATTTTCATTTTCCACCCTAATTTGTGTTAATTTTATCTCTTTTCTCTTCTTTCAGCTATCCTGTATAAATTAAAGTTAAATCAATCTGTAACAACCATTCCAACTGTCGGCTTCAATGTAGAAACTGTGACTTATAAAAAAGTTAAATTCAGTGTATGGGTATGTATATTTAATAATCTTGCTTCTCTTCTCGTTTTTTGGTTTATTTTAATTTTTTGCCAACCTCTTTGGTTTGTTAAGCTAGTTGGAAAGTTATCAAAAACTCTTTTGCGCTTCATTTTTGGAAAAATACAGAATAAATACCAGATTCTAAGATACAGTAGTCTGATATTTTGCCGGAAATGATAAACATAATGAGCTTTGTAAAGATTGCGAACTTTTGATTAGTTATTTATAAATGAAGAAACATTAATGTAGACCAGATTCTTTACGTTTAAGTTACCTGAGATTATCTAAAATCACATTTCATTATCGAAACAGAATATATTACACCACATTTCAAGCTACCAATAATTTGATCTTCCTTTTTTAGCTCTCTTTAGTTTCTCTTGTTTTATGTTCTATTTGTGTTCATTATTGAACAATTGTTAATCAAGCTTCATTCATTCAGTTAATTGAATCCGAGTGAAGCCTGTAGTAATACTAAATCTGATCAACTTTTTTTGTGCAACTGATAATTAAACTTCATAATCTCCTGCTGTTTTTTTCGTTTCATTCTTTTGTCGTTACCAGTTCAATAATTTTTTTTCTAATTTTTTTCTATTTACTTTTCTTCGCAGGATGTTGGTGGCCAAGAAAAAATTAGACCTCTTTGGAGGCATTATTATATAGGAGCTCAAGCTTTAATTTTTGTAGTCGATTCATCTGATCGCGACAGAATAGAAGAAGCAAGACAAGAACTATACCGAATTGTAAACGATAGAGAAATGAGGGATGTTATTATTTTAATTTTTGCCAATAAACAGGATCTCCCAGAAGGTAATGTATCAAATTCAACAATACATATCAATTTCCTCTAACCGATTTACACATTTCGATTGTTTTCCCTCAGATGGTGAAATAATTGTAGTTTATTTATTCATTCATCATTAGATCTTTATGTTTGCTCTCGTTTATTGTCGTCTCTAGCTTTAGTTTATCTCATTTTATCTCATCGTGCATGCTATTTATTACTATCTTATATTCGCAAGAAACTTTTCTTAATTTAATTACAAGTCCTTCTTTGACTGATTCAGCTATTACACTTTTATCTTGATAGACTTTAAGTTGTTATATTGTATTTTTTCATTCTTACAATAATGTGTCAAGCACAGTATCCTTCATAATTTTCCAATTCTATCTCTAACAAGTTAATTTTAATAGAAATATCCTTCAAAATACGACGATAATAGATAGATTTAACTGCATACTTATTTGAAAAATTTTCAGCACCGTCTTATCGGTTGAAAGAGCTGATCAGTTTAAAACTAAATTTTTTTCTGTCTGTTACTTTTTATTGATTTCATTATTTTATTTGTACTTTAATAACTCTTTTTTCATTCTCTTCTCTATTACAGCTATGAAACCTCAAGAAATTCAAGATAGATTAGGGTTGACAGCTTTAACCAAAAGAAGCTGGCATGTTCAATCATCTTGTGCGACAAGTGGAGATGGATTATATGAAGGTTTAACCTGGCTGATGGATAATTACAAATCCTGAGGTTATTTCTAGGATTAAATTGTTGATTAGAAAAACAAATTATATTCCATTTTTTCTCTCTTAATTGAGCCTCCACTAAAAATGAACGCAAGAACAAAACAACACAAAAGAAAACACTCCAAAACCGACATTAGCTGAGACAACTCATTTCAACTTTACTTAACCACCAATATTGTTACCCTTGAACTATTTGATAATTCAAAGTTTTCTCATCATCTTTCAACTATCAACTAAACTTTTCTCTTTCCCCATTTTTTCAATGAGGAAATACTGTTTCCATATCATTAGATGCAATGTCCGTCTAAACGAAAAGAATTTCTCTTTTTTGCCTTTTTCATTCCTTCAGTTTTTTTTATTTACTTTTAATTTCAATTCGAGAAAGTTAATACTCTAACTTGAAATTATGAAAACCTCTTTTGATTCGAGAAAAAAATCAGAGACTTTATTTCATATTAAAGCTTTACTAACAGCTTCAATTCCTGATTGAGCTTTATTCTGATCCCTGAATAGTTAATTTTTGTTTTATTCGGACCGTAATAGTGGTTAAACAAATCTTGAAATGATCAAATCCCGACGGTATCCAAATATAATAAGCTAACTACTAGAATTACTATCTTTGTTAGTGCACAGTAATCATCCATTAACAGTTTCGATAAAACACAGATCGTTTCATTTGATCTTTGCTTATTCAAAATACCTAGCTAACTATTCAAACGTAAATATTATTTACGTAACTCCGAGTTATACTGATCTAATTATCACTCGTTTGAGTTGACTTTCGTTCTTGAAATGGGAGATTTCTTGAATTGAATCCGATGTTGATTTAACTAAATGTAATGTTAAAATGTTTAATCTGTGCCTGAGATAATAGTTATGAATAAAGAAATAAACTATTAATATAAAGTGTGAATAAATGAGAAATAAATTTGAAACCTTGCAAAATTTCATTTATTAATTATCACTTCTGGAGGCAAGTGAAACTTTATGAGCCGTAATTGATTCATCAGCAACAGCAAGGACAATATCTGAGTATTCATCACTCATGTAAAGATGGCCTAAGTTATCAGCTAAACAAGTGATATGGTTGATTTCACCAACAGGTACATTCGTCGCGGCTGATGTTGCGGAGGTTGATGAAGTTGATAGATTAGCAAGATCATGTTTATCACCCATCTTGCATATGATATCAGATTCAAATGAAAAATACATCATTTTAGTCACTCCAACAATTTAAGAGCAAAAAAAATATCACCGTAGATGCCATCCGCTCTACTCATTAAGTCGTCGATCTTTAAGTCTGTAGGAAAGAAGAAAGGAAATACCCTTAAGACCAAACTTCGACACTTTCTTCACTAAATATTTGCAATCTAAATACTAAATCTAAATAAATGTTTATTCTTTAGTCCTGGCCATGTTTGATTAAATTAAATGCTAATGGCTGGTCAATCAACATCGAGATTCATATGAATCTCAATAAAAAACGAAATTAGAGCAGAAATCGCCTTAAATCTTCTAGAAAAACTTGTTCTAGCATGGGAACCTCCATCAGAGGCAATTCTTCTGATTCATATTTGGTTACATACATTAATCTATTTGGAGTGAATTACGGAAAGCTATTGAATGTATTATAGAATTTAAACATTGCGCCATTCAAGTTACTTTTTCTCTCAATCAGAGGAGCTGATGCTAAATAAAAAGACGCCCAAGTTTTATTATTATTATTATTTTGTTTTCGCTTTCATTAGAGTTTTATGTCTATTGGTTAATTATTGATCATCTTAAATTAATCTTTCTAGTGTCATTTTAAATTTTGTTAATCTCAACGCATTTAAAAATGGTTCAAGGCGGTATGTCCTGTGTTAAATACCTCCTTGGTGTTTTCAATTTTGCCTTTTTCTTGTCATCTATTGGTATCATCACATTGTGTGTCCGATCCATAGGGATGCCTGAATCAGCAGAAAAGATTTTGGATGTTGATAATCGCCACTTGATTGTTATGGTAGCAGCTTCTGTCGTCCTCTTAATCATATCTTTCCTTGGCTGTTGGGGTGCGCTTCGAGAAAACCATTGTATGCTGGTTTCTTATGGAGTTCTTCTTCTCATCATTATTTTAGTAGAGGTTGCTGTGGGAACCCTAGCCTTCCTTTATAGTAACAAAGTAGAGGAGCTTGCTTACCAAGCAATGAATAAAACCATGTCTTCGTATGTTATGGATGATGAAAATTCAACATCTACCAGGCTTATCGATGATTTACAGAAGAATGTTAAATGCTGCGGAGTTTATAATTATACCGATTTCCTAAGTAGATTTGATAAACTGCCCTTATCTTGTTGTGGTAAGCTCAGAGCTGTATCAGCACTCAAGCCAATCACCGATCTGGAAACAAACACCACTGGCTCTCAATTCTTTCCCTACAACTCCAGAACTGTTGGAGCTTCTGATCGCAATGAGACTTGCCTTCCAAATGAAGCTTTCACGGAAGGTTGCGCTCACAAACTTTGGGATTTGATGTATAAATATTACGGTCCCATCGGTGGTATCTTGATTGGAGTGGCTGTAATTCAATTACTTGGATGCATTTTATCTTGCGCTTTTGCTCATTCTATCAAACAAGACTATGAAGTGGTCTAATCATCAAGTTAATACTTGTACCAACCTTTTTCATGTATTACCTGACATCCGTCTGTCTTAATCTCTCACCCTTACCCTCCACCTTCATCCTTACTTTCCCTCTCGTCTTTTTGCACTTTTCTCTGTATCCTTTTTCGTGATCTGTCTATGATCAGTTTATTTTCCTCATTTTTCTTGCATTTAATCATTCGTCTCAAAAATCAAAGGACATAATTCACCTAAATAGCGAGTAAATGTAAACCACCAAAACTTGGTTGAATATTCAAACCTTTTTTATTGAAAACCATTCTTGATCAATAACAATTATATAATAAGATAATTAATAATCCTCTTTTTCCTTTAAGGTTCTTTTTCTATCAGCGATTCTTAAATTAATAACCCAATTTCGGATCACCTTCATTTTTTAACTGCTTCAAACTACAAGGCTCAAACAAATCAACCCCGAAAGTGCAGTAAGAGAATCACGCACATAAAGCATACAAAAAAGAAGTGAAAGAAAATCTCTTGATAATGGGACAAGAGAATCAAACATCTATAATTAATCTGTATCTTGATTTTCTCATTAATGTAATAATGTCTACTGGTAGCTAAAGAAGATCTTTGTCATCCCATATTATGTCTCATTCTTTCTCTTTCTCTAATTTGTTTGTGTTTCATTGCTCACATTTTATTATTTATTACTTTAACGGTGTTTGTTTTCCCATCATGAAATTAACAAGTGTATATATTTACATTAAATATATTGGTGAGAAATCATTATTTCTGTTTCATTTTTTTCTGATTTTTTCGTTGAATCGTTAAATATTCTGAGGAAATGGATGAGGGAAATTACCTGATTACTGAATGTTACATTTCAGTCAAATGTTTACCTTGTTTTATCCCTAAACCGTTACTATTTCCAAGTTACGGTTCAGTATCTTAACAGATTAAAATCATGCATTAATCTATCCAGATGGCAAATAGGCCAAACAGACTATTATGACATTATTATTGATAGCCTTTTGTTTAAAATTACATATTTTAATTTGCTTTTAAACTATTATGATATGCTCAACAATATATAAAATACAGAAGTGCAATATTTTCTCTTAACTTTATCCAACTGTTATTTCAACTATAGTTGACTTATCGCCATCAAAATCAATCTTTATTGAGTTGAGAGGAAGACTTTATTGAATCTCAAGAGCTTGAGATAGTCGATTATCATAATATAATAATTCAACAATCAAAAATATTTAATTTCCTGTTTCTCTTTTCAGGCATTTATGGTTCAAGAGATTTTCCATTTGTCATTATTTGAATAGATAGATGTTTGAATAATAATTAAAATGACTAAATCTACCTCAAAATTACGAATTCTATTGAATCTATTTGTACTTTAACAAAATATAAGCACCCAGAAAGTCAATTTGACATCAATCTAGTTTGTATAGATGAACCAGCTTTAACTCAAAGTTATACTGATGTATTATATTATCACCTGTTTGATGACTGGCTTGACTTTTCGCTCTGGAACTGAGATATTTCTTGAATTGAATCAGATGTTGAATCAACTGAATAAAAGTGTGAATAAAAATTAAAAGAGGAATTTCGAAACCTTGAAATTTTCATTTATTATTATTTAAATCAACAAAAACAGAATTAACAAAAATAACTGAAAACCCAATTACATTAGATTTCATGTATTAAGAGGCATTGTGCCTTTCTATGTAATATTTTCGCTTTTAAATTGAAAACAAATAAAAATTTAAGACGAATGTAGTAAAGCAAATTAAGCGTAATTTGTGACGAAAAAAGTGAAAGATTATTGACAATTGATTGTCATATGAATGTGGCGATAAAGTTTGATTTAAATTGTTAGTTCATAGTCGAAGTAGTGATGACGCAATAGCGGGAGGTGGAAGGAGATTCGATTCCCTTAATGAGTCTGATGCCGGACTTGGAGTGAAATCAGAGGCCGGGCATTCAAAATGCACACAGTGAAATACTTCGTTTGCTGAGTTATAAGTTCCAGTAATTCTTATATAAACGACTGGACGCTTAGAGAATGAAATAAGTTGCCATGATTTACAAAGCACATCACGACGATCAGCAACCATTTGCCAATTAAGATAGTCAACTGAAACTTCGATGTAGTAACTATAAGTTCGCTTATCTATATCCCAAAGCAGAAGCTTCATTGAATCAACCACATAAGGTTGAGCTAATTGTATTACGATTGCTCCACTGCCAATTTGATGACACGTATAACCAGTTTCCCAATCATATTCGTTGTACTTTCCGTTTATTAAAGCATTGCGACTTCTGCTCACTCCTTCAATGACTAGGGCGGAGTTTTCAATGGTGGCAACATTATGATCAGGAATAACAAGTCCATTAGAATCCAACAGGAAGGGTCGATTGGTAAACATACATTCAAAAGAAACGAGTAAAAAGAACCTATTAACCGTACTTTGAGTACCTCGAATACGAATATATTTAACCACTCTAGGTTCAAAGTAAACTTGCTGCCAAGAACGACATAAATATTGAGTATGGTCTATTATTCGAACCCAATCAACGCGATCCATAGAAACTTCAATATGATACGAGTAAGCTCGCAATTCTTTGTCCCAAAGTAACATCTTGATATGGTTGATTATACACTGAACGCCCAATTCAATCACAATACCTTGACCATCTGCGTCATCAATTAAATGTCGAGTGAATCCTTTCTCAGTATCGTAGTTTGAAATATCACCATCCAACAAAGCTGATTTATTGTCTCCAGTGAGAACTTGTGCTTTTAATTTAGGCTTGGCGACATTTTCTTCAGGCCTGAGGAGACCTCGATATCTTAAATCGGTATTACGAGATAACTGGTATTGTTGTATGGCATCTAAAATAGCATCAGCTGAAACAAGGCTACTGGGTCTAACAATGGTTAATAAATCGTTCAATTTGATAAGAGGCAGTCTAATACACGAAATAATATCATTTATAGGTGCATCTGGATTAGCCTCAAACCAAGATTTCACAGCTTTGAAAATAATAATTTCATCGGCGCAGAATGAGTCTCTGCTTAGGATTGCTTTAACTGTGGTTGGAGTTAAAGTTAAAAAAGTTTCATTTTGAATGATAGTGAGAGCATGTTGGTCGATAAAACTGGAGCAAACTTCAGCAAGTGATGAGAGACCATAAAGAACAGAAGCCTCATAAAACAGACAAGCATTCTTAACATTTAAAACAGCTTCCATGAATTTTGCAATCGAATCTTGGAGTTGAATAAAACCATATTTATGGGCTAAACCTAACAGCTCTAATAATCCATCTTCACGAAAATATGTTAATGACATACGACCACTGTAAATATATTTTAAAAGGTGCTTGAAAGCGGTTAATGAGGTTGATTTGAGTTCAATCACTTTCTCCTGGCTTTCTTTCATTCCACCAAACAACATAGCTCGAAAATAATCACTTCTGGAGGCAAGTATAACTTTATGAGCCGGAATTTTTTCACCAGCAACAACAAGGACAATATCTGAGTATTCATCATTCATGTAAAGATGGCCTAAGTTATCAGCTAAACAAGTGATATGGTTAATTTCACCAACAGGTACATTCGTTGCGGCTGATGTTGCGGAGGTTGATGAAGTTGATGGATTAGCAAGATCATGTTTATCACCCATCTTACATATGATATCAGATTCAAATGATAAATTCACAGTCGATAATTTTAGTCGATCCAACGATTAAAGAGCAAGAAAAACATCACTTGATGAACCAATCAAACGATACCACCATGAATACCATCCGTTCTACTTATTATTAATAGATTAAAAAAGCCTGCAGGAGAAAAGAAGAAAAACCATCAAAACCAAACTTCGACATTCTCTCAGTGAACTGCCCAATTAATTTAATTAGGACAAATGACTGTAGAAAGCATATAACAGTTGAAATAATCTAATGTAATAACCTATGTAATAACATGACTATGAATTTGAATATTACTGTTTATACCAACTGAATTGATAAATAAAAATGTAAGACATCTATCGATGTTGTTGTTACTTGTAAAACTTACCAAGACAAGTTGTTTATTTGAACAAATCATTTCTAAATAAACTGACCAATATAAAAGCCATCAGTAAACAATAACAAAAAATAGATTTGTAATTTGTTAAGACACATTCAAAATAAAACTATCCATTTCGAAATAAAGATCTTGTCAACGGTAGTCAAGATGGGGAGTAGAAACAAGATGTATGTAAATATCTTTAGAATCACTTGAGTTGTTTTAATTATCTTTTCATTAATACAGCTCTATCAGAAGTGATATTATTAAGTTAATTACGATGGTATAATTTTAAATAATCTGCTAGTAAACTAACATTTATTTAAGAAACTGAGAAAAGCACAAATAAGATGCGATCATATGATTTTGATGATATTGACAAGAGATGGCGTTGTAAATGTAAACATAAAAATGTGCATTTAATTTTTTTCTAATTAACTCTAATTAATTAACTTAATTATCTATAGTCTATACATTAAATTATTCCTTAACAACCTAGAAAGAGCCTTAATCCAAAAAACCGTGTTCAAATCGGTGTATTACCAGGTAAGACTTGCATGCTTTTCATTTTGCAGTTTGAAATTAAGAGTAAATCAAAGAGCAAATATCGATCAATTATTAACAGTTAAATAAATTTTATCATGTTGATTGTCCTTTTGAAATATAATTGCGGTCAGAGGTTTAAAACTTTCTGGTTTACCAAATAAATTAACCTTTGACTAAAATACGCGTACTTGACCGCAAAATAGAGCACTAGCTATTCTCACGACAGCTAACTTTGAGAGGGATGACTGTAACTCAATTTGAAATTTTCTCAACGAATTGAGTGTAGCTACAGTTTATGTTTTCAGCATTCTTCTCTTAATTAAACTCGTATTTTAATTTTGAAAGATTCGAAATGTCCAACAGTATCGTCTCTCATCTTAATTTGAATCTTGAACATTTTCACATGTATTATTCAACAGTGACTCCATTTAGTCAAGTGATTTCTGAACTTAATTTGGAAAGTAACTTTAATCAATCTTACCATTGTGTCTTCAATCGAATTATATTGACATCCAAATCAGTTTTTGATATCAAGAGGCTCAAATTAATCAAGCCTATTGATCAGTCAAGGTTAAAAGAAAACTTGAAAGAACGTCTTGGAGCATATTACCATTCTCAAAATGTTTCTAGCAACTCCATTAGGCTAGATTATGTTCTTAGTTACTATTCGAGTCCACCATTCAGTAAATTTATAAGAATGCTTGATCCAGTTTCTACAAATTACCTGATTCGTGCTTGCTCATTCTTCGAATTTATCGATGATTCATTTATTTTGCAAAGAACTGGCCCTTATTTTTGCGATTTCGTATGGAATAAAGATCCTCCAATGTAAGTTGTAAGATATTAACCTATTAATGATCATCAAAAAAGTAAAAGCCTACTAATCTTTTTTCTTTACTCAGATTGGAATCATCGCGATTTATAAATCCCAACAAAGACAGTGCCAAAAGACAGATTGAAACAGATGACTTGCCGCGCAAGAAACTTTATCCAGCCTGCGATAATTGGTGTAACAAATTTAAAAGTTTAGATCGTCACAGTCTACCTCCAATTACCAAGAAGAAAATGTTGTACGGTAAACAAAATTATCGTTATTTTAATAGTTACCTTGATGTCACACCTCGAAATCTCACCTCAAGAATTTTCAGTTCAGTTGACACTGAAGTAAAAGATCAACTACCATTGGAACCACTGACAAGTACTTTAGATCAAACCTTGAAACTCAGCAAACGTTGTAAATTTATAAATCTTTTGCACAAATTCTGTCCTGCTGTTGACACAACGATATCTTTGGATTCATCAGAAGCAACGCAAAGCTCACTAAAAAGTTACAATGATCACAATCAAGTCATCTCTTTCATGTACAGTGTTTATCATCATTTGTTTCCTCAAAAAATTTTTGGATCTCGTTCTAATTGTCAAGGCATTTTTGAAAGATTGAAATTATTGGTGACCACTGGGAGTAAAGTGCGGTTCATTGTCTCTAACTTCAGACCACCATCTCTAGATCTAGACTCTTGTGGTTGGATGAACAATTTAAAATGTATACACAAAAAAATTTACATTTTTGATTTCTTTCTTTTCTGGTTGGTCGAATATTTCATTAATCTGCTGAAGAATCATTTTTATATTACTGAGTCAACAAGCTCAAAATTATATTTTTACACTTATCCTGTTTGGAATAGTATCCAGGACAAATACATCAATAAACTAGTCAAAGAAGGTAAACTTAAACCTGTTGAAATTCAAGAGATTAAACAAGAAACTCACATGGACAAGCTTTTATTAAGAAGCTCGAATCTTCGATTTATACCTCGATCTCGTAAATTAAGAATAATCAACAGATTACGAATAGCTGGTAAAAATGAGACTCGTACTTGTCTTCAGGTGTTATCTTATTTTCTCGGTCGAATGGTTTGTTCCTCAGCATCACAAAGGCATCGACAAAATATTGCTAAACTTCAAACAATGATGAAGTTGTCTGAAAGTAAAAAACTTTACTTTGTTCGTGTCGATATCGTCAATTGTTACCCTTCCATCGATCAAGGAAAATTGTTTGACTTAGTCTGCAATCAACTCGAACAGCAGTTTTCCTATGCAACAACGAAAGATCCATTGAAAATTAAAGAATTTGATTTGGTTAAATCATGTGTTACTAAATTAGCTGTCAAAAAACACCATTTTAGTAATGAAAGCAGGACACAATTCACCGAACTAATAAATCGACTTTCATCTAACCAAAATAATTGTGTGGTTGTTCCCAAGCGTTCATTAACTAATTATTTTCTGCAAGATATACGAGCTTTATTTCGGAGTTACATTTTAACACCTTATCTGCGTCTTGGACCGAATCGCTATTATCAACTTCTCAAAGGAATTCGTCAAGGAGGAGCATTATCGAGCGATTTGTGCTCGTTTTTCATCAGTCACGTATTAGATCGAGTGATTGATGATTTTGGCTTACAGAATGAAGAAGCTCGTTTAATAATTGAAGACGATATAGTCTTTGTTACTTCTTCGCTTGAAAGAGCACAACGATACTTGTCTTTAATGTTGAATGATTTTCCGAAGCATGGTTTGGAGATAAACACCAAGAAATTACAATTCAACTTTGATTTTCCAACAAACGGTCTTTGCCAATCAGAATTTTTCACATTTTTCGGTCGAGATATCTATTTGAATTCCAAAAAAGTTCTTTCTAATTATGACAAATATCAAACTGAGAGCTGCCAATATTTCTTTAATTGTAACCCTTTTACTCCGAAGAATGAGCTTCGCAAAAGTTTAATAAGTAAGTATCCATTATGTTCCTGAATTCGTTTATTCAATTTCAGCTTTTCTCTCTTCACAGATCAGCTTAATTTATCGATGTTACCCTGGGATCTCGACTGCAGTATGAATGATGATAAATCCGTTGCACTGAACATTTACCAGAGAGCTTTATTACAGTCGTCCAGATTATCCTGTTATCTTGTTTCTTCGCCAAAATACCGTTCTCTGCAGGTACCCAAGTATTGGATAAAATTTGCAACCGGTTTTGCAAAGCATTTATTTGCCATAAAAGAAAAATGGATTGCGAGAGGTTTAATCGATTGTCCATTTACATTAAATTTTATAAAATGGTTAATAAGCGAAGCCATCTACAAGCAACTCGGAACTTTGAGAATGAGACATCGTAAAACTGAGAAAGAAATGTTTGAAAAATTCGTAAAGACTTCACGGAAAAATGTTCCGCATATGATTCGTACCAATTTTTTTACATATGTTTTGAAAGAAAACACTTTTAATATAAACACTGTGATTTATCTTTGAATTCAGTCATTAAACGATGCACTGTGATAATCTCAAATAGAAGTGGTTGATTTAAATAAACAATATCGACAGAACCGATGTGTATTAGTATGCATACTGAATTTATTTCTTGATTTTTCAAAGCTACACTAAACATATATCTGTTTCCAATCCTTCAACTCAAGAATCTTTTTCTGGGTACTTAAATTATACTCGATTTACCAGAAAGTTAACGAACATAATCATGTAAGTCTAGAACGTAGCACATATGTAGCATTAACTTAACTTTGAAGTTACCTGACTTATCTGTTTATGCCAGCCGAGTCACAATCAAGGAGAAACATTAATAATATCAAACACACTATGGATTTGAATATTGAAGAAATAAACGCGGAAGCAAGTAAAATTCGAGTAGTTTAAATTAAACAAGAGATTTAATTCAAGTGAAATAGTGAAATCTAAATTAAACTTGGCCAAAGCATGATTCTTACTCGTCTTCCCATTGCTTTAGCAGGTAAATTTTTCTGGAATTTAGCACGAACAACTCCTGAGTTACCATGCTCTCGAGTGACTTTACCCCAGATAACTCTAACCTTTGAATATTTTCCTTTCCTCAAAGGAACGGTTGTCTTATTCTTTGCTTGATACATGAAGCAGCACTTCTTTCCAACGTAGAATCTAGAGTCAATTCGTTTGGTAACACCGTCAATTTTCAACAAGGCAGTGTGTTCGGTCTGATTTCTTAAGCTTCTCTTGTATCCTAAGAAGATGGCCTTTGAATACAATCGACCTGGCTTGGCTGCAATCCGTTTACGTTTAACCGCAACAGTACTTGCTGGTTTGGTTGGTTTGGTTGGTTTCTCTGCGACTTTCTTTTCCATTCTGCACTAAAAGGAACACATTCACAATAGAAATAACATTAGTATTGATAGATTAAAAACACCAAAAATGAATATAACACTTACCTAAATTAATTAATCAAATAGAATTGATTATTTTATTAAATTAAATAACAAAACCAAAACTAAAATACCTCTTTAATTCACTAGTAAGAAGTTGCTTACTTGAAGACCGACTTAAATTTCCGTTTCCAGAAAGTAACCAAGGTGATAGAAATGATACCGCCCAATTTGAATTTGAACAACTTGAAGCTCAATTTATTTTATTGAATTTAATGTTAATTTTACTTTAAACAAGCAATAAAATTATATTTTTCTCAATTCATTTGCTCCTTTAATATTTAAAAATCAAGAAAAATGATTGAATAATCATTTTTCGCACTATAATCGTCAATAATTACAATTTTCAATTCTGAATTTTGACCTTCTTTGCAATCATTTTTAAAAATCCGGGAATAAAAAATCTCAATCAGAATCACATGAATCAAATCAAATATTTTAATAATTTTACCAGGAAATTACAATCAAAGATCATTAAATTAAAAGCATTAACTAAAAAACCATTCATCTTTAACAATCTGCTAAGTCAGAATATTTTGATCAAAATGACTTTTAAAAAAGATTCTGTTGAAAATTTGATGTAAACGATGAAATGAGCAATCACATAATCAATTAGCTAAAGTCAATGGAAATGAAATTCAATAATTACAACAATTGTGTAATAATAAACACTAATTGAAAGTTTTAAATCAAAAATGAAACAATGGTAGCCAAGCTAACGCCATCTTTTGATGAAAACACTGGTGTCAAATAGTAAATTTTTAATTTAACCTTTTAAAATGAATTAATATTTTAAGTTTTGATTATCGTGTTTTAATCCAAGCAATAATTAAATTAAGATTTCCAAATAAGTATCATTGTTAAGTAACAATCAACACGCTATCATCAAGCAATCGGTTTCTTGATATCATCGAAATACAACTTTACAAGTTAAATCTTATCGTTAAGTTAATATTTTGAATCGATCAATCTTTGCGTTTCAATGTGCTTTAAATATTGGCCTGCAGATCACCGAAGGATTGTACCACAGTAAACCAAGTAAACTTTCAGTGAAACTCTTTGATTTCATTAAGTCACTCAGGAAATTAGGCAATTGACTCAAATCGAAGTATCATTTGGACATCTTTTTACTGCACTTCTGGTGAAAGTGGTCATTGGTATTCAGTTATAGCCCAGTTGCAACTACGTATAAACTTAAACTATTTCAACCTATACCATTGATTTAAGATGATTATATTAATCGGAATTGCGCAAAGCCGAATAAAATAACTCATCAAAGTCCCACCTTTTATTATAATAAAGTAAGTCTTTGATAACTTAGGAATTACAGCTTATTTAGTTAACAGATAAATGTTCAAGTTTTCAGTTTACTTTCAGAGTTGCAGTCCTAACAATCAAATCCTATCTTTTTTTGGCTATTTCAACTAACCTCAATCCCAAGCTATAACCAAACAAACTGTGACTTCAAATTGTATTTGTGACTTTACCTTTGGCTGAGTTTTTGGTCTCATTTGTTTCAATTTTGTTCATTTGTTTTACCCTTGGTTAACCATTGATACCGACTGAAATCATCTCAACATCCAAAGATCAAAGCGCATCAAGAATGATCTCAACTTGCAAATTATCAACCATTTGTTGGTTAAATTTGATCAACCTAACACTTTGCCTGTATCTCATTGCTTCCATTAGTTTAGTTGGTTGTTCATCTCTCCGTTGGTTACCAAATTCAAATGATCTTACCTTTCAATCAAACGGTGATGATCGAGTTTCACCTTCCAATTACAACCTGGAATCAATCAGTAAGGAATGGATTCAATGGAGAAATATGCTGAATGAACTGGAAAAACAACGACAATCAAATTTGGATTCAATTCCAAAGTAAGTTAAATTATATTAACAATTCAGTCAACTGTAAACATTGAAATGAATATAAGAAAAAGCAAATCCCGATAAACTCTCAATCTTATTACCATTACAATCATCAGTTTATTATAAAGCATCTCAAGAGAATCAAAATTTACTTTGATCGTCACAATTGAAACAGTTTACAATTTGTAATACAAATTATCTATTAATATTGATTCTCAGTTCAGCCAACCTTTCAAATAATGATATTAAAGTACACAAATCAAAGGGATAATCAGGAAACAATTTTCATTTCCTTTCCTTTTTATAAGATAATTTAACGATTCTTAGGAACAGCCAAGCAATTTGCTGAGTAATTGTTGAATATTAAAGTAATTACAAGTAAAATTAAATCTTCTTTACTTCTTTCAATCGTTCTTTGATGGTTGGCAAAAATTTCAAGTCCAACAGATTTGATCATTGAACTTCAAGTCAATAGTTACTTTGTTTTCATAAATAAATCATTTGTTGGCAAGAGATTGACCATTTATCTTGAAAGATCAATTGAACAATTTAATGTTTTCGTTTAACATAATCCTGTAATATTTTGAAACCTAAAATACGGTCAGATTAAAGGGATTTAAAAGCAATTTTGGTTATTTGCTTTGGTTTCAGTCGATGGACTAGACGTTGAGTTGAAAATTGTATGAAACTTGTCAATACATCATCATTAAAACAATCATCATTTTTACAGTTTTCAACAACAACATGAAAAAGGATTAACAATGAACGCTTCCCTTGAAACCTTTTCAAAGGTCAATCAAATTGGTCAATCAACTAGAGTTAACCCAATAAATTAGTGCAATTAACTGAACCCACTGAACAATTTTAAGGTTATTCAGCTTTTAAATCGCACTTTATCAGATAGAAATGTTAACATTCAACTTTGGAACCAATTTGGTTACTATTAATAAGTTTATTCAACTTGTAATTTTTATCAACTAAATTGAATATTCACCAACTTAATCAATCCTTGTTAAGCTTAATTTTATCAAATTTACAATATTTTTAGTCTTTTGAATGTTATCCAGAATCTAAAATTGAAACCTTGTTTTGAAAGATTCCCTGTTGATGGCTACTTATTTCATTGAAATATTGAATGGCTATAAATTGAATTGATTTGGTGTAAACACCATTAACCTTTTCACCTCCAACTTCAGGGAGTTTTAAATGCTCGGTGATAATGTTAATAATATGTAAAGATTTATCTCATCAATCAAATCAATCAAATGAATGACAACTTGTCAGATGGAAACTATTTTATATACAAAATACATAATATATTAAAGATAACATGTTTAAAGTTATCAATGTGTGTGTGCTTCACATATTCAAAAGCTTTTCAGTGTTTACTTTCTGTATTATTGAAGTGCTAGACAAAATGATGAAAGATGAGGATAGAACACCAAACCAGAATTCTGATGATCTTAGTCAACTGCTACTTACTTCACCATCTTGATCGTCTTTCAAATTGAAAACTATTCATTTTACAGAATGAAAAATTGAATCCATTTCTTTTGCCCACGAAAAGCAAACAAAACGCTATTTATTTTGCCATTGCCAATGAACAAAGCAACTCTTTCCATTGTCATATCCTGAAATCATGATAATCATATTATTTCTTTCACTCCTTGATAAAGATTTAAAGCATTTTCGTGAAATATTGCTTCAAAATTCTGGGAATTTATCATTTAGAAATGCTTCAACCTTCGATAACTTACATTTTTTACGAATTCAGTTTCTCACACGCAGTCTAGTAATTGTCAACTTTGCAATCGTAAGTTAATATTTATATTGCTGCGAATGATGAATCGCGTCTCATCTTTTATATATTATATCAGTAGTTTAAGAATTTGAGGAATATAAGAACTTAGAACTTTAAGAAACGAAATTTGATTTCATTGGATGCACTTGCTTCCATGGCTGTCTATTTAGATTAATGGACATGAAATAGAATTCAATTTTTGTGGAAGATTCAGGATGGATTGGTTCAGATTTGGGATTAGAAATAAGATAAACTCAACATTAACTGGTGCATTTACAATTAAAAGTCCTGGATTCGAATCATTCCGAGATAAATGCTGAAAACTAGTAAAGAAATCGTGAAGATTAAACTGAATAACTATGTTAGAACTATGTGATTAAAATTTTGATCTCAAAGACCACAATTTTTAAAGGAAAGATTTACAGATGAAGAGAAGTTGATTTAGGTTTATAAATCTTGAGAAACTTTCACGATCTGAAAGATTAAAGTCTCGTAAAATCCGTGAAATCGTAAAATGAACAAGGAAAATGTAAAAAGCTTTAAGTTTGGAGCTGTTTGGAGTAACATTAACAATGATAACTTTGTTGTGTGCCACTCTCTTACAGATTGTTAATTACACATTGAATACATGAGTTGATACTGAACAAGCGTCCTACTTGTTGTATTCATGATCTTGTCTCTTTAAAATATTGTAACACACACAGTTAGCACACAGTTGATAGTTGGCTGCACATTATTGATGTGAAAACATATTCATTGCAAGGAGGAAAGAGTTCTGATGAGCTCTGTAAGTTTAGTTAAGATCAAATTGTGAGCACAAAAGTTATTCAAAAAAGCGATGCTCACGAAGAAATATTCCTTTCTACAGAAATAAGTTAGTTTTCAGACGAGCCAGCTACAGAAGTCCATATAAAGAGATTGAGCTGATTCCCTAGCATTTAACCACCTTATTTTCATTTATCTTGTTGCTTCAGGTACTAATATCTATTATCTGATCTAAGGAATGTCTTTCTTGGTAAAATAATAGAAAATTGCGATGCAATTAAAAGCAGTAGACAAGTAAAGACGTCAAACGGTTGCGAAGGGTTTCCTATTCTTTGCCGAAAGTGAATCAATAAATCATGAGACTTGGAAGAAGACTCTTCCTTTTCCTTCCTGCCTTCCACATCGAAGTTACTATGAAAAAGCAACAGATCTTATAATATTGCTGTCTCGCATTTGATATTCAATTGCAACTTAAACATTAACATATTATATGTCATCTAACATTCATCAGCATGTATGACTTTAAACGCTTTGAATGTGTAGATATTATAATAAACCTAGAATTGCGAGAATATCATTATGTTCATCATTTCATTGATTTCAAGTTAACTCTTTAACTAACAAATAAATGTTACAGGTCAATGTTTAAAGTAATTTACAAGAGGATTGAACTTCATTGGAACAATTACAATCAATGAGAGTGGTTTATACTCCATCATGGGCCAATGTAGACACTCTTGCTCACTCGATTCGCCCTTAGAAACAAATAATTCAAGCTTTTTGAAGTTTAAATAAGAAAAAAGCCTTTTTTGAAAGCCTTTTTTACGCATCAAAGTTGAACAATGGCAAGATTTGTTTTCTCAAGCAATTAAACATTTCATAAGGTCTTCCATTGTTTTAATTTCGGCTCAGTGCTCATAAATCTTTGCATCATTCATAAAGTTTCTCAAAATATCGTTCCATGCGTACATTTACTAAGTATATAATAATCTACGTAACTTTCCAGCTTTTCTCTTGTGTTTCAATTTCATATTCTTCCCATATTGACCCTGAAGCTCTTCTACTATCCACTATTCATAATTTCTTATTCTTAGATTTTTCTTCACTTTCCTCGATTTCCTCCAGCAATTCATCAATTTCTTTTCGAGATTCCTTTGATAGTTTTATAGACGGCTTTCCATTTCATTAACATTCCGTCGTTGCTTGTTTACCCAATTCAATGTATCTCATTGAATTATTAACCATATATTCCGCTCCTGAACCTGCATCATTAGTATTTTCAATACATCTTAATAACCGCTTGAATCTTGTCTCTGAATAAGAGTTACCCCGAAGGAAGACATTTGTAGCTACTAATGAGGATTGGCCAGCTTTGATTCAACTCAACCTTTCAATATTTAATCGTATTCCATAAATATTATAAATCATAATAGGAATAATCATTGATATCTTTATAATTTGCGCATAAATTAGCTCGAAATTGTCACACAAAACAATCAAAGTCTTATTGCTTTAGAAACTCAAGATGCAAATAAATTCTCATAATCATAAACATCTTGAGAAAGTTTTAATTGCAAGCAATTTACAGATTTAATGAGCAATCAAAGTCTTGAAATGGTCAAATTTGTACACAAAAAAGACCTCAAAAGAGCTTCGAATGTAAAATTTGAATGATTTATCGTTAAATTATGAATTGCAAATGGATTGAAATAGCGATGAAATTAATAAAGAAACAGACAAAATCTATTTGACATGCAGACTAACACAGTCAATTGTATTATAAAACACACTTTTTGATTTATTCACTATTATTGATTTAAAGGTCGTTCCCAATGAACTTATTCAAGAAAGCAAAAATTGAAAAAAACTTGAGAATTCATTCCATTCCAAATGATTTAGATTACATTTCCCATGCAACAATACAATCCTTTCCTCTCCCAGCAACAATAATTTAGTTTATAATATTTCAAACAAAACAAGATTCCATATCAGTTTAAATTGTAATTTTGTTATTATCCTTCATAATAATCTGAATATTAATGGTCCAAGAAAGAAAATAAATGTTAAAAAAGATTCTCTTCTAAATAATTCAAGTCAAATTCAAATTGCACAAATTGCATCTAAATTTCATCCAAATTAAAGGATAAACCTTAAAAAATTTATACTTTACCTTGTCAGATGTTTGTTTTGCATCTCAATAACAGTAATTGTTTGCTCATTAATACATTTAATTATTTTCATTTTACTTCATTAATGGAAACAAAAGCAAAAACTTAATCTTCATTTTCAATGAATTTGTTAATTTGTTTATTATTTCAATTCCCTGTTTTGATTTCACAGCTTCTAATTGTTTCAACATATTGATCAATAATTCAGAGTTTTGTCTCATTTAGCAGCAATAAATTGCTTTGAAACCTTAGCTTTAATTAAACAGCAACTTTTGCGTCTTCTTTCAACGCAAAATTAACTTCAATAGCAATTAATGTTGATTGAAACATTAAATTAATCAAGAGTTATTTATGAAAATGCAAAAAAAGAAGATGAAAATGATTAAAAAAAGCAAATCAATAACATTCAACTTTAGCGTGTAACCTGATCATTAAAGTTAATTTGATTGCTAATATCGATATAAATTCAACGATAAATCATTCAATAAGTTGACATTTTAAGATGGTTAATCATTGGAAAGGTTAATGGTTAACTTTGACGAGTAAATCAATGACTGGCAACCATTATCACTTGATTACAATTAATTTATAAATTTAGTTCAACTCTTGACGCTTCGATTTCCTGATAAGTTAATAAAATTGTTAGCTTATTGTGTTATAGTTATAATGTAATAACAATATGAATAGCATTTTAATAGTTATTGAAAGCTCATAGGAATTGTAAAACAATATTAAACTGTATTACTGCATATTATCGAAGTATTCAATCACTAGGAAAGTAGTCTTCAATTCTGATCGAAGCAAATTCAGATTAATGAATAATTGATGAAACTTTGAAGAGACAAACAAAAACATGATCACAACCTTGATCAGAATTAATAAATTGTGGAGAATAAGACAAAAAAAAACTCCCAACCATGTAAATAGCCTTTGGAAATAACAATAACAATGAAATTACATCGATAAAGCACCTTATTGTAAATCTAAGGCTAAAATTTTACAATTTTAGGCTCAAAAGAAACAATTTGTCGTTGAACATTTCGAAAAGTGGTTTCTTAAGCTTCCAAGATGAGAAAAATCTGATTTATATCAAGCATCATATTTACTAACCAAAGATATTCTCAATCATTCTAATATTCATGGTCAATACTGATGAACTTCAAGTATACAATTTGAGAAATAATCTTTCATTTGTTGAACAAGAAGCTAAATTTGGTTGAAACCAATATTTCTTGAGAATCAAGACAATTGAGGAAGTTTACAGATTTTAGAATTCTTTATTTCAGAAATTCTCATTGCAATGAAGTTTTTTTGCTGTTGAAGCTGGAAAACAAAGATTATCAAGTTTTATTTTCAAAATATCAATAATAATTTGAACGATATGATAATTTTGAATCAATAGAGCTTAAGATGAAAGATTGAGATTTTTTTACGTCAACAGTTTTGTTTTACCTTGCCTTGATTTTGGTGAATTACATTTTGATTTATCTTTTTCTCTGGTTTCTCCTTTTGCTTAGTGAAAAACGTGGATTAGATCTTGGCTTAAGACGAGGATTATCAGGCCAAAGAGCAGCCAAACATCTTGTTGGATTGGCTAATGCTGAGTTTGCTGGTGGACCTGGAAGGAAACGTTAAAGTTATCAATAATGCAAAGCTAAAGCACAATAAAAATTTCCAACAACAAAAACCTCCCAGAAAAGACATTGAAAATAGTGAAAATGATTTCTTCTTAATCTTGATAATACATTTTCCTCTCTGATTCAATCATTTCGCATTCTTTTCTTTTCACCCAAAATTCCCTCCAATTTAATCTCATTAATTTAATACATTTACTATTAAACCTTGATTTAACCTCTTCTAATCCCATCAGCTACCAAAAAAAAAATGAATCAATTCAAAATAATACTAATAATTAATCTTAGATTCAAGTTTGTTCAACAACATTCAATACCAGTTATTTTATCCGACAAGGAATGCTTAAAATCTTGAATTGTTGGATTCAAGAAATAAACTAAACTCAACAAAATTGATCAACACAATAATTTAGGACAATTAACAAAGACTGAAATTGAAACATCTTGTGATCCTCTTGATAATAATGGTGGAAGGTTCAGTTAACCAATTGTCCAGCAATTGCTATTGAATCTGCGAAAGAACCCAAAAAATCAATGTTAATAATGACTATTTACACGTTAATTTGATCAATTTTTATTTCTATAACAAAATAAGCTATTAATATAACAAAAAGAAAGGTGAAACAGTTACATTGAAATTGTTAATTTGAGTTTTACCAGTTAATTGATAGATGTTTCATGTTTCACCAAATTTATTGATTGTTATTTTTTCCCTTCTCCAACCCATTTTCAATGTAATTACAATTAGCTTGATGATTAAACTAAAAAAAGTTGATTCCTTTTTTTCATACTTGAAACAATCCCTTTTTACCCCAATTACAAATGAACTTGAATGGATAACAAAGCAATTAAATTAATTTACTTTTCACCTTTACTGACCACCAAATTGCTAATAATTAATTCATGTGATAACATAAATAATTAAATAAATTACAATTGTTAATAACAAGTAACAACAATCTGGTAAAAACAAAAAAAGTAAACAAAAATACAAATTAATAACCAGAAAAGTTGGCTTTTTTTCTGGTTCAAAAGTTGCTTTTGTTTGCCTAACCCAATAAAATGGGATTATATTGTTATATTTTGGTCTTATTGTTGGCTTTCCGATCAAATTATTATGTTTAAACACTGATTATTGGCGATTAAAATGTATAATTATTGCTATTGTATGAAGACATTTTCTGGTTAAACCAGACATTTGGTTGACTACTTTGACTAAATTTGATTCTGGTATAATTACTATTATTAAATTACTGTCCAACCGTATTTTGAATATTTGATGGTCGCTACAGCCTTACAATCTAGTCTGGTAAGTTAATTCATTTTGGGTTAAATGGCTTCTGGTTTGTCTCATTTAACAGTCCAAAGATGTTAACTTTATACAAATTTTCCTCAAATCCAACTGGTAACCATCATTATCATGATCATGGTTGTATGCTAATGATGATTGTGATGAATGAGCTGCGGAAATATTTACAATCAAGTGTTTTCATAAACCCAATTTGAACAATTGATTTTTTCTCAGCCATCTTAATTGATTAATCAATAAGTCGACAGTTGAAAATATAAACCTTTTAATAAGCTAAATCCAATACCAATAACTGAACAAAAGCTCAATATAAGGTTAAATAATAAATATATTTCAATGGAATAAGTTGATACCAGAAAAATGGAAACGACATAATGAATGGTTAAAGGCAAGAAAACTGGTCAATTGTTGTTGCCTTTTAACGGTAAAATAATCACTTTTGTGGGTAAATTTGATACTCTTTTGACTGATTGAAATTGATATCCAGATTAGGTTCTGGTTCTTGAATCTATTGAAAATCTCGAGACAAAGAAAGCAGATAACATGAAGACATAATCCAGTAAAGTCTCCAGTGAAATTTATAGTGTTATATTGAAATGCTCAGCTTTACTAACCATGAAAATGATGATAAGAAGAAGTAAAAAACAAAATGATGATGATGATGAAGAAGCTTGTAATAGAAGGAAAAGTTTCAATTCTCAAGTGTCTGGAAGGTGATGAAAGGCTTGGAGTTGAATATTAGTTGGCTGAGAATAATATAAATCGTATTCTCTTCATTCCATGTTTTTATTCATTCTCAGTGAAAATAATCTTATTTCAAATGTTCATTATGTTATTTGTTTATAACTTTTTTTTCCTTCTGTATTTAATATCAACATTGTTGTTTTGCCTTCAAAGGCCAAGTTGATGTGAGATTTTTTTTTGAACTTTTCGCCTTTTTTTCGTTTCTTTTTTTGTGTTTCATACAAAATGTATTATATATTTACCTTGACTTGTACATCAATTGCAAATTACACTTGGTAACAATAAATGACTTGAAGTTAATTACTTACACTTTGCACAAGGGACAAGTTGATGAAGAGACTGATTATGGTTGAGTTTAATTCAAAGTTTGGTAACATTTGAACATGATTAACATCTTTTTGAGTGATTAACTTCGAAAAAGATGAAACTTTTGGAATGAGCAGGTAACTAGAGTCAAGTATTTTCAATTAAATGATGCTTTTCAATGTTTTATTGATAGTCAAGGTGAAGCTTTTGTCCATTCAGTCATTTTTAACATTTAATAACTCAATAGATTCACTTGATTGCAAAGATTTTGCTGAGAAAGTCTTCTGTCTGTTCAAACGATCTATCAATAATTGCATAAAAATCTATTGAATTAAATTTTCTCCCAATATTAAGCAATTCAACTTTTATTATTGATCAATAGTAGCAACTGGAAAGCTTAGTCAGGTATTATAATAGCATAATAGTAAGTTTTTGAAGTTTTAAAGTTAGTGGATGGTTAAAAGATCATTGACAGAAACTTTGACTTTCGAGTTGAGAGTTGAGATATGTTGTGTTTGTAGCAACAAAAAATTAGTCCATCAATGCTATGATTTAGCTTCTCCGATCAGTAATTCTCGAGAAAGTTGAGGTCAAAGTTTTAACTTCGATTGGCTTTTACTCGATTATTGAAGCAGATCTTTGCGTGAAACTCATTTACTTGATTTGGAATTTGATGAGCAACCAGAAAATTCAACTATTTTACATAAGAAAATTTTCTGTCTCTGCAGAACAGATCAATTCGATTTTCCTTTAAAATTGGCTGCATTATATGACCGTGATAGTTAGCAAGCTAAAATTTATTATTCGTCGACAAGAGTTGTTGGCATATGTTAGTAAGTAAACACTTTGGTCAATCTACCAACAGATCTCTTGTTTTTGGCTATTGATCTGCAAACTTTGAATCTCGATATTGCGAGAATGATAGTACCTAAAATCATTATTTTTTGACAATCATTAGGGTGCATTATGGACTAAACAAAATGATATTTAGATCACTAAAGTTCCCACAGAAAATTTGAAACATTAATTACTTATGTTACCAGATTCTATGCTTTATTTATAAAGGTATATGGTTTTAAAACACAAATCTTTCAATGTTTTAGTCAAATAGTTTGCTTTGCAACTTTTGATGCACATATGAAATGTTTAAAAGATCATTGACTGAAATTTTGACTTTCGAGTTGAGAGCTGAAATGTTTTGTGTATGTAGAACGAAAACCGAGTCCATTAACGCTAAGAATTAACTTCTCCGATCAACAGTACTCAAGAAAATAGAGATCGAAGTTTAAACTTCGATCGCTTTTTGTCGCCTCATGGAGGCAGATTTTTGCACAAAACTCATGTACTAGATGTAACCATTGATGAGCAACCTGAAAATGCACTAGTTCCAAGAATAAAAACCCTCTGTTTCCGTACAACAGATCAATTCCATTTTCGATTAAAACTGGCCGAATTCTTTAATCATGATAGTTAGAAAGGTCAAATTTAGGATTCCTGGATAAAAGTTATTGGTGTACATCAGTGAGCGATAACTTTGCTCAATTTACTAACAGTTGCGTTGATTTTGACCATAAGCATTAAAATTTCGAAGCTTGATATCTCGAGAAAGACAGTGCCTAAAATCATTATTCTTTGACCAATAATTAGGTTTTGTTATGGACTATAATAAAATGAGATTTTAGATCATTGAGAACTCTAAGGATGTAGTTATAGCATTGATTACTTACGTTACCAGATTCTATGCTTTATTTATGAAGGTAAATGGTTTTAAACACAAAATCTTATGATATGTTAGTCAAATGCAAATGGTTTTCAACTTTTTACATAAATGAAATGTTTAGAAGATCATCGGCAGAAACTTTGACTTCCGAGCTGAAAGTTAAGATGTGTGGTGTTTTTAGGAACAAAAACTGTCTCCATTATTGCTAAGAATCAACTTCTCCGATCAACAGTTCTCGAGGAAATCGAGGTCAAAGTTTTAACTTCGATTGGCTTTTGTTCCCTTATGGAAGCAGATCTTTGCGTGAAACTCATTTCCCTGACCTAACTGTGAATAAGTAACCAGAAAATTCCCTTATTTTAAGTAATAGAATTTTCTGTCTCTGAATAACAGATCAATTCGATTTTCGATTAAAACTGGCCTTTCTCATTGACCGTGAATGTTAGTGAACTGAAAGTTATTATTCTACGCTAAAATTTGTGGGTACACATGATGGTTAGAACACTTTTTTCAAAATTTCAAAAGATCTCTTGATTTTCGGCCATTGGTCTAAAAACTTTGAATCTCGACATTTCGAGAATTATATTACCTAAATTCACCATTCTTTGAGCAATCAATAGATTTTTTTAGACGCTAAAACATGTAGAAATTTTGAATCATTAAAGCTCCTACATAAAGAGTTATAGCACTGAATACATATGTTACCAGATTCTATGTTTGATTTTTGCAGATAAATGGTTTTCCAAACACAAATTTTATGATGTCTTAGAATGATATTCGTTATTGAGTGAATTAAGTCAGATCGTCTCTTTGTTCAGTAATATTATGTTACAGGCCAATATTATTTATTAAAATCTAATAATTGAGCAAAAAATGGTGCTTTCAGGTAATATGGTTTTCGAGATATTAACACTAAAAGTTTTAAGGCCGATAGCCCAAAATCAAGAGATCTGTTGATAATTTGAAATAAGTATTCCAGCCATGACGTGCACCAACAAAATTTATCGTAGAATAATAACTTTTAGTTCTCTAAATTTTATGTCCAATGATAGAGGCCAGTTTTAGTCAAAAATCGAAATGATCTGTTATACAGAAATGGCAAATTTTATTACTTAAAATAAGTGAATATTCTGGTTGCTGGTCCACAGTTACACCAGGCAAATGAGTTTCACGCAAAAATCTGCTTCAACAGTTGAATAAAAGCCAATCGAAGTTTAAGCTTCGATCTCTATTTTCTCGAGAACTGTGCATCGGAGAAGTTTATTCATAACATTAATGGATGCAGTTTTTGTTCCTACAAACATTCCATACTAAAACTCTTAACTTGAAAGCCAAAATTTCTGTAAATGATCCTTTAAACATTTGATTCATGAAGAAGCTTGCAAAGCAGACTATTTGACTAAAGCACCATTTGCTTTGTGTTTAAAACCATTTACCTTCATAAATAAAGCATAAAATCTGGTATCGTAAGTAATGAATGCTATAACCTTTTCTTTAGAATCCTCAATGATCTAAAATCTGATTGTATTATAGTCCATAACAAAACCTATTTATTGGTCAAAGAACAATAATTTTAGGTACTGTCTTTCTCGAGATATCAAGCTTCGAAATTTTAATGCTTATGGTCAAAATCAACGCAACTGTTAGTAAATTGAACAATGTTATCGCACACTGATGTACACCAATAACTTTTATCCAGGAATCATAAATTTAAACTTTCTAACTATCACGATTAAAGAATGCGGTCAGTTTTAATCGAAAATGGAATTGATCTGTTATATAGAAACAGAAAATTTTAAAACTTAAAACAAGTGCATTGTCTGGTTGCTCATCAACAGTTTCATCAGCCAAATGAGTTTCACGCAGAAATCTGCTTCCATTAGGCGACAAAAAGCGATCAAAGTTTAAACTTTGATCTCTATTTTCTTGAGCACTGTTGATCGGAGAAGTTAATTCTTAGCATTAATTAACTCAGTTTTCGTTCCTACATACACACAATATCTCAGCTCTCAGCTCCTAATGCGAAAGTCTAAGTTTCTGTCAATAGCCTTTAAAAAATGCAAAGCAAAGCAGACTATTTGGCTAATACATCATAAGATTTTGTGTTTGAATAATCATTTACCTTTTAAATCAAGCATAAAATCTGGTACATAAGTAATCAATGCTACTATCTTTTTAGTAGGGCCTTTAATGATCTAAAATCTCATTGTATAAAAGCCAATAACAAAACCTAATGAATGCTCGCAGAATGATCACTTTAGACACTACCATTCTCGAAATATCGTGACTCAAAGTTTTACATCAAAAGGCCAAAATCAAGAGAACTGTTGGTAAATGGACAAAAGTGTTCAGTGCATTATGTACAGCAACAACCTTTATTGACGAATAATAAGTTTTAGGTCTCTAAATATTACGGTCACAGGATGCGGCCAGTTTTAAATGAAAATCGAATTGATCGGTTTTACAAAAATGGAGAATCTTATTTCTTGAAATAAGTTCATTTTCAGGTTGCTTATCAAAAGTTAGATCAGGCAAATGAGTTTTATGCAAAAGTCTGCTTCCATAAGGGAACAAAAGACGATCGAAGTTCAAACTTTGATCTCTATTTTTTCGAGAACTATTGATCGGACAAGTTTATTCTTAGCATTAATGGACTCGAGTTTCGCTCTTACAAACACATCGCATGTAAACTCTCAACTTGAAAGTCAAACTTTTTGTCAATAGTCCTTTAAACATTTCATCCATTTTATAATTCATCTTGTGCTATTAGAAACATATCTAACTGACTAAGCTTTATACTTCTTATTCTTACTTTAACTATTGATCAAAAATAAAAGTTAAATAATATTGGCCTTGGTCATCTCGAATGTTTTGTACTATTTGCTCCAAACTATGTTGAAGCAGGCATTGATACTCAAAGAAAACTCAAAGAGGCGTCGGTTTCTAGTATTCACTTTGGTTTTACGCTTTAAACGCGAATTGGGTTGCTGGTTATTTTTTAGGGATTGATGTAATTGCAATGTGGTTTTACAAAATGCAATTTTTTAAAAATTTGGCTTTAAATTGGCAAAGAAATCATTTTTACAGAATTGCAAACTCCTTAATGTCTCTTATCAAATCCAGCCGATTTTTACGGCCAATAATTTAGCCTTTTATTTTCATGCCTCTTAAGGTGTTTTATTTATACTTGTATTATGGTCATCACGATTGACTTTTAACTGTCTCAAGATCTGGTAAGTTATATTTATTTGTTATCATTTGGAGTGAAAAGCAGCTTTTTTCACTCCAAATGTTTGAATCAGTGAGCCATTGGGATTTAGTTAAGCAGGAAAACAATGAAAAACAACAGCAAAGGATCAAAATGATTGTTGATTAGTTGTTGAGGTTGGCTAAACTAAAGCAATTACAGATAATGATGATGATTCTGGCAATGAGCATTTCGATCAGCGAAACCAATTTACTTAAGAATTAACAGATCATTAAAGCTTATTGTCAACAGTTTAAGCTTTTGTTCAGCTTTTTATAAGATGAAATTGAAAGATGGACAACTTTAATAATCTAATTTAAAGTAATTTCCAGCAATTTAGATTGACCATTTATCATCATCGGGTCTCAGGTTAACTCCATTATCATCCCTGCCAAGCTCAATTAAATCAAGAATCTGTAATTAAAGGATAAAGTCAAATGGATGATTTGCTTTTCAATGAGACAATCAGTTGATCACTCACAGTTGGACCAACAAATTGATATAAAATGAATAGAAGGAACAAATTGTTGGAAAAAAAGATTTTATTTATCAATAATTACTTTCAATAACCAAAAATACAATATAAGAAAATAGTAAATTCATATTTTTTCATTCATCATGTTCTTGAAAAGACTGAGCTTTTATCAAATCTTTTTTGACAAAATATAATTTCAAACAAAAAAATTAACAAAATATTAAAGTGATAAGTAAAATAGCGATTAATTACAATTACAGGTAAGAATGGAAATTTTGATTCTCCCTTTATATAAGCGATGAAACAAAAAAATTATCACTTTTACATGGAGTATATATTTCTTATAAAATTATAGACTCATGTTAACAAAATAAACTTGATATCCATGTAGTCAGGATATAATAATATATATTTATAAAACAAATTGCTTGTGAGATTAAGTTGATTCGTTGTAGTGTTTTCAAATCAATTTGGATGGCTTCAATATAGTGTAATAACATTGGCGTAAAATTTTAAGACTGGAGGATTGCAATGACTCGCAAATCGCTGATTAATAACAATTTAATGATGTTCAATCCAAAACATTTCTTGATCTTTACTTCCTTTTTTTGGTGATCTTTGTTTTGTTGGACAAAAAATCACTCCATTTTTTGTATTTTTTTGAGGCAAATTTCAATTTCTTGTCAAAGGATGGTTGAGTCCATTTTAATGACACTCAGTGTTGATGATTAAATGATAACAATTGTCCGTAATAGACGATTACCAATAGATTGAATTGGTTTTCCTCAATTTAAAACTCCAAGGAGGATTCGATTCTCGGTGGTGACTTTGATTGGTGCTGATGAGTTTGCATGAGCTTTGTGATGACACTTGATTAGATTGTGAACATTGATTTTCATTTTTAAACCTGTAACTTGAAAAATAGAAACAAAATGTAAAGTTAGATTCAGTTTAATATCCTTAGACATGAAGGAAATGTTAAATTGTTAGTAAGGATCAAAGATGAACCAGAAATCACCAGAAAAAATATGGGTTAGTTAGTTAATTGATAAATGATAAAATGAATAAAATAAAAATGAACTTTACATTACATTATTAGCATTAAAAGGAAAGCCATTGTGTTGGTTAGAAATATTATAATATCGTTATTATGTTATTTGCATCATTTGATCAATCATTGAATCATTATTATAATCAGGTAATTAAATCACAGGGCAAAGAGTCCAATTTTTAAAATCATATTTATAATTAATAATAACCTACATCAACTGCATATTAAAATAGCATTATTAGTAAAGTGTTTATTTAAACGTGGTTAATGTGATACTTGACAATGAAAAGTCATTTCAACGGTTCAATTTTGGATCAATAATACAAACCATAATTAATAAACTAACCTTTCAGTTGGACTTGATGAGGTTGTTGATGAGTTTGATGAGTAACCATAACCAGGTTCATCTTTGCGATTCAATAATTGCCTCTTCCATTCAGGAATTGCACTAATTCGTTTAGCTTCATGTTCAGATAAAAACTCTTGTTCAGCCTCTTTCCGAGCTTTCTCAGCACTCTTCTTAGCCAACATGAGCCTCTTCCATTGAGGTATTGGCACCCCACTATTATCATGAGTAGCCACTTTATCTAGAAACTTTTCAGCTGTATATTCATTTGCTAGTTCAGCCATTTTATCCTTAACCTGAAATAAGAAAAATAAATGAAAGTTAAACTCAAATTTTCTGAAAATGTCAAGGAAAATGAAAATTCTCGAAATGTATTCAAATTGTCATCAAAATCATGAGGCAAAATTATTAATTGAATTGAGTCTAAGCTCATTGAGTTACAGACATCTTTTTAGGAACTTCATCTTTACTGAGAGTATTTAATTTCATGTTAACTTATTAAAACTTGAAGAATCAAAATATGTCTAAAAATGATGTTTTCAACTATTTTATGTATTTTTTCCTTCTTCCTCACCAATTGCAATTCAATTGATTCTTGAGTTGTCTGCTGAGTTTTTTTTGATTCCTCTCATTTTAACATTTCATTTAACCTTTAGATTCTTCAGAATTTCATGATGGAGAAAACATTTTCAGTATCTTGGTAGACAGGGTGCGAAAAAAGAAGGCAAAAAAATCAAAATGTTCAATTGAAAATGTTATCAATCAAAGAAGACGCACAAAAAAGAATCAGAATTTTCCTGTTGTCTCAAATTTTTTAGATCATCATTTAGTCTAAAAGTCAAATCATTAATTTGAAATTAATTTAACAGAATCAACTGGAAAATGTTGGAGAAAAATGTTAACCAAAATCTCATTTTACATGTAAAATTCAATTCTCATATTTCAATTGATTTTCTGGATTCGTTTTTGCATCTTTCTGTTAAATCATTGATTCCAATTAAGTAAAACAGAGTGAAACAAACATTACGATTATGATTTATATCAATTTTTTGACATTATTTGCTCCACTATTTTAAACCCTTTGCACGGACCAACAAACATCATGAAATGATAATATTCAATTTCTTGATTCAGTCTTTTCAACTCTTCTGTCAAAGCTTATCACACCTTCATCGTTAAGGAGATAATGCTACGTGATGTTAACTTTATTACGACAATATGTATATTTAATCATGACAAACCTTTCAATTTATCAGTTACTTTGATTACATTTCGAGGTACAATTCAATATTAGTGTAATAAAAGGCTTACCTCATCTCGACTTTTATCTTGCTCTTTCCGTTTCTTTATCCCATCCAAATCTCTGGACATTTTGAGTTCAGCAATAACGTCATTTTTGTGTAATAAAACGGTTCGCTCTGATATATTTGGAGGAAAAATATTTATCAAAAAGGGTGAATTCAATTATTATTAAAATTATAGTGAAAAAAGTAGTTTAACACCAAAATTGGATTTCAGTTTTCTTGAGATTTTTCAAGTCATTTTCACCCTTTACCTGTTTTTCCTCATCATCAGTTAAACCTTTTTCACTTAAACTGAAAGGAAACTTCAATTGAAATATTAATGCCAACTTCAATTACAATCATTCAAAATATTTAATCTTATTGTTATTGTGTTGCTTTGCCTGTAAACATTTAACCATTTTATTGCAACTTTAAGCTCATGTTTAATGCACTGTTGATCATTTACCTTTGTGAAAATGGATTGTAGTAAAAGGTAAATATTAGTGCTTAATTAATGAGCCAAAATTGATGTCAAATCAAGTATGGCGACAAAATGATGTCCTGCGAAAGTAAAATATTGCTAAATATTGCTAAATGTCATTTAAATTGGCGTACATTTGAAACTTTTTAACTGAATTCAAGTAAATTACTACTTTCATCAATAATTTGCTGAAACATTGAATCACTTTTCTCATAGCACGTTACGATGTAATGATAAAAGTAAAACAAAGTCACAGCCAATGACATAGATGAGCTCAAAGTGAAACTAAAGTGCCAATCAATAATTAGCTTAATTAACATTCCACAAATGAAAATAAAATAAATGTTCGCTTTTATGTTTCACTTTCTTAATCTTCATCTTATTTGGTGTCTTTTCCTTCACTTATCATTATCTTCTTAGAATTTTTCATTCTTCTTTTCTTCACAATCTTCATCATCTTTCGCTATCCATTCAACTCTTTTTTACTCATTTAAACTTGAAATCATCTTTTTACTCTCTTCATTCAACTGCAACGACAGTTCAAGAGGAGACTGCAATAATAAAAGCACACACACACAAACAATATAATATCTAAAATATAATATTATATAATGATAGTAATGATCATCAAGATAATAATCATAATAATAATAACTAACCGTTAGAAGGTTTAACCGTTTTCCTCAGATGGATTCTCTTGAGTTCATCTTGAGTAACTGTAAAGTTGCAGCTACCATTCACGTTAGCTGGTGATGAGGATGATGAGGACTGATTAGTTGATGATGCTAACTCGACAATTGATTTGTTGTTAGATTGTGAAGATTCATTGAATGACGTTCCCTTAATTCCATCAATTGATCCAGACGTTACACCGTACCCGTTACCCAGGTTACATGTAGATCCACTTAACCCATTTCGGTTAATCAGATTGGATTTAGCTATTCCAATTCCTCCTGATCCTACTCCGAGTCCATTGAGGGTTGAATGTGAATTACTAGAGCAACTTGATTCTGAACGAATTGAACTACTCCAGCCTGATTTAGTTGAATGACAAGTTTCATAGAGATGTTCAGAGGTTGCTGAGGAAGATGGGCGAAGTGGATGATGATGGCTGTGGTGTAAAGTGTGTGGATGGTGAAGATTATGGGTTGATACTGAAGATGCTGATGAATGTGAATCATCTTTGATTGCTTCATATTCATTTGATGAAGAACAGGAAGAGTTCATATGAGGCTGATACAAGTGAGTTTCAGATGAACTTCTTTTGATTCGTCTTTTCTCGAAAAATATCATTTCCTTACAACCTCCTCCTGATCCCATTCCAGGTCCTGACCCTGAATTGATGAATCTGGGTGAAGCAGAAACGGTTTTACCAGCAACACGTTTCAAATATTCAGAGGGCTTTATGTTTGTATCTGAATCTGGTGGTGAGTTAAATTGTGGCGGGATGAATGCTAACTGTTTCTCTGCTATTAATTTCAACTTGCGACTTTTATCGACATTATTTGATCCTGGCTCTTCATATTCAGATGAAGATGAAGATGATGAAGATAAAGGTATTTTACTGACAGCTTCTTTGGATATTAATAGGTTAGCTGGTGGTGGAGGAGGCGGAGGTGGAGGTAGTTGGTGACTTTGAATACTTGATGTTGTTTGCGTTTGTTGGTTCACTGTCGGTATTGTAGATGTGTTTATGGTGGGTCCAGTTGAAGACGATGACGATGTGGCTAATTGATTGATTGTTGACATTGATGAGGCTCTGTTTAAAGTGTTACCATTGGCTACTGATTCACCAACATCTAACTTGGCAATTAAATTTTTGACTTCTTTATGACGGTCATTTGGGGCTACTTTTAATGGGCGAGAATCAATCGAGTAAATTTTATCTTTAATGTAAATTTCTGAACATTTGCTCTCACTATTAATTCGATTTTTAACTGTCCCATTATGGTTGGAGGTACCATTAATAGCTTCAGATTCAGTCTTTTTGCTCAAAGTAGAAGCTGATGAGTCGATGATAGGCTCCAATTCATCGACTTCTTGATAAATTCTTTTCTCTAAATCATCAAATTCCTGATAAATACATTTATCACTATTAGTTGACGATGACGAAGAGGATGACTCAGTTACTCCACTTGACATTGAAGAGGTCAATTCTGACGTTGGTGGACTTGAAGATGAATCGCATTTAATATGATCATGATCATAATCAGGAGGTGGATCAGAAGATTCAGACATTGTTCCTTCATCAGAATTTGTATAAACTTCTGCTTTAACTGTAATATATTAGACAAAAAAGGGAGAAAAAAAACAATTTAATTAACTGATTGTAATTAGCTGAGAATATTCATGATTAAAGAGATTAAGACATCGTAATTGAAATAAAAATGAAACCAAGAATTGACAAAAAATATGGAACAATCTTTTTCTTAATTCATCATACCGTCTGATAATCTATCTCATCTAATTATATTCAATGTTGATCAAATAATTAGTAAGTGTTGGTAATTAAATTAAAGGTAAATTGCTTCAATCTATTTATAATATAATTTAGCGCTTAATAATTGCTTTTTTTAATCAAATGAGTGAATAGTAATGATTGCAATTTTTGCTTATGCTTAGCATAACTATAAAGTCAACCTTATTTCTTATAAACTTGTTTCAATTGATTCTTTATATTTGATCATTAGACCTAATATTAGCCAATAATTAGATAAATTGAATAAAAAGACTCAAATCATCAATTGTTGCTTATTAAATGATAAATCGTTTCCATTATTTGATGACATGTTAATGAAAAATGAATGTTCATTTTAGCATCAATTTAAAGCGGAGAACGGAGCAAAAAAATATTTCACTTTTCTCATTGTTATTGTTCATTGATCATCAAATTTTAGAATAAATAATTGCATGTTTTCAGCTTTCAATTCATCTTATTAGACAAAAGTCATTGATTTCCTCACCTAATTTAATAGGATGATTATCTGATTTACGATGCTTCTCATAGACTTTGGATGGCCCTTTGGGTCGATTTTTGCGGAATAATTTTTTAACCCGATCATTTGATGTGACACAAGAAGGATCATGAAGAAAAAAAGGTTCAGTGTTTGATGTTGACGGTGGAAGAAGTGAATCTTCATCGGCAACTGATTCTTTACCAGAATCGGACGCTTTACTGCTATTAGCTCCAGATGAGTTTAACCGATGAATTGATTGTGAGTTTTGATGAGTTGGAAGGTGATGATGATGAAGATGGTGGTGGTGGTGGTGAGGTGATGCTCCTGTTGTTGAGTTTGTAGTAGATGTTGAATGTTTCCGAGGAAAATGAAGATTATCAGTTGGCTTGACACCATCATTGATGACGTTGCCACATCCATTGACTCCATTTTCACATGGGCGAAGGTAAAAGTTGTCACCGGTTGGACCATGATGATGACCAGGTAAATGAGTATTCCAGTAGTCGAGAGAATCAATACATCCACAAGCATTTCTTGAAAAAAGAGGAGAAGATATTATTAGCAAATTTATTGATATCAAACGGTAAAAAGGTTTCAAATTTTATTGCTAAAATGCTAAAATATTGTTTCATATTTGAAAGGTGAGAAATAATAAAGGTGATATGATAAAACCAAATAGCATTCATTAACTGGAAAATAATTCGGAAAGATTAAGTTCAAGTTGATATTTATGATCTGAGAATTGTAAAAATTTATCTTTTGTTTTATTAACTTCCACTTGAATGTTGTGAAGGTGAGACTTTTTTGGTCAAAAATTATCACAATTGACCATTATTCAGCTGATTATTCGCTAAGCCCTGATTCAGTTTGAATAAAACTTGATCAAATAAAGAGATAATTTTCACACATATGACAATAAGTCAACCATGATCTTTGAACTCAAGTAAAAGTATTTGATAATTTTCTAACCTTATAACCATTTTGACGTTGTACGCTCGGTGTTAGCAAAATTAAACATACACCACTAATAATAATCTTCAAACATTGTATTGGTGAATGTGAAGTTCAACTGAATTATTTCAAGTTTACAGCAAATGGTCAATAACACCACCAAAAATAAGGTTAAACTTAAACAAGGAATAAACGATTTAGTAAACGAGAAAAATCACCAGAAGAAGAGTAATTGAGTTAATTGGACTAAAAATACAAACAATAGCAAAATGACAGAAAAAGTAGAAGCGAAACTTAGCAACAATTTAAAGATTGTTGAAAAAATTTTCAATTTGTTTCCTGATTTATTTACAAACAAATGGGATGGAAAAACAAGGAAATTTGAGAAGCTCAGATTTTGTAAGCTGGAAATCAATGGTAAAAAGATTTGAAAGAGAGCGATAAAGAGAGAAGATGGAAATGAAGATCAGGATGGAAATAATGATGAAAAACTTGAGGGCAAAGGGTAACAATAACAAGACCAGAAAAAAGGCAAAAAGCTTCAAAACCAACAGGAAAAATATTATATCACTAACTACATAAGGTAAGTTGGGGTGACTAATGAAGCCCGGAGTAAACGGTAATAAGCTGTAAACTTATATCAAGTTATTCCAATGTTGTAATCAGTAACAGTGTTGTACCGTGAAAATATACAGTGCTGTGTAAAAAAAATGCTACATCAAAATAAGAAAAAAAAAACTAATTGAGTTGAAGATGCATAAAGCGTAAAGACAGGAGTAGGAGGAAGAAGCTACTAAAGACGATAAAAAAAAGTAAGATTAAGATGAGGTTAGGTTAAGGTTACAGTATAAGAGGATGCTAATATTAGATGAAGGAGAAAAATTATAACAGATCATTGGAATTATCAGGAGATTCTGTTCAATTTCATGATGATAATTTTGATGATTCAATTTATTTGTTTGTCAAGCATGGCAGAAAAACTCAAAATATAAATAAAAAATGATGGCCTTAGGCTACTAAATATATTTTTATGATATTATAAGATTAAAAAAATGGTTTGATTTGTTTGTTCTGATACGGATTGATAGTCATTGAGAAAAGATTGATTCAAAGAAGAAGAATGAAAAAGTCAACTTGAATTAAGATTATTGTTATTATCATATGCATATGAACGTGACATCGATTGATTTCAATTGGGAAAGAGCTATTATCGATATTTGGACAGTTCGCTGATTTCACGTTGAATCCATTTACAGCACTACTACATTGGCTTTAACCAGTTGTCAATCAATAACAATTAAACTGCGATAATTAGAATGTCTAATGAATGCAATTAGCAACGATGATAAATGATTCATTTTACTTTAATGCTGCAAAAGTAAATGTAAAAATCATGTTGAACCCAAATTCCATTTTATTACTTTTGGTTAATATTTTTTTCTGGTTAACTCATCATTTGTTTTTAGACAGCATAATGTTTAAAAACTAATGATCTTGTTGACAGGCTTGGTGGTTAAAATATTGAATTGACAAAATGGTGGATTAAACTTGAAATGATGATATCTTACCTTAGTTCAGGACATGATTCAACAAGAAGTTTAACACAAATAGGACAACCTTTAGCAGCAGCATAATGTAATGCAAGAGCACCAATGTTGTTTTCATCAACAGCAGGCATTTTAGCTTCTTTTAACAACCAACAGAACATCCTTAATTAATTGTAACCAATTAATTTAGTCCACAAATGCAGGCAGAAAAAAACAACAGAAAACTTTTACCATCAAAGTTCAATGGAAACAAACAATTGGTTGATTAAACAGAACTAAAAACACAGACACAGAGAACACACAATCCAATTTAATGATACATTGTGAGATGACAAAGGGTTGAACTGATGGCGCCAACTAATCGATGAGTTGAGACAAAGACAAAAACCGTTGGTTAAACCAAAGATGGTTATCAATTTTCTGGTAAAATTGTGTGTCGTAAGAGGTTAACCTGTTGTCAACACTTTGTAAAACCGTTTTGTTTGACTTTTTAGTTGTGTCGGCTTATCAGCAGTAAAGTTGCAAGTTGCTTCAATATTTAACAAGTAACATGGTTAATGTACAGGGTTTGTTGATATTAAAATAAACAAAAAGAAAACAGTGAAATGGAATAACAAAAAATGTAAAAATAATGGCAATAATGATACTTGACAGAAAGAAACTGCCAACGGGATTAAAGTGTTGATCAGCTTGCAGTTAAGCAAATGACGGCAAATTGAGTGAACAACAATTGTAGAAAAGGCTGGCAACCGAAGAAGAAGAAGAAGAAAGAGTTAATAGATTAATGGATTATGAACTCATCGGAGAAGAAAGAAAGAAAAGAAACAAAAAAAATGGGGGAAAAGAGAAGATAATAGAAAGATAAATGAAAAATGTAAAGAAACAGTGAGAGAAGGGGCTGAGAAAAAAGTAAGATAAAAAGGGGAAGTTACTTTATCCATTTTTACATTTATCGCCACTCATCGAAGGCAAGTCGTTAAACTCAGAAAGCATGAAAAATGCCTTCAAAAACCTTCCCTTTTTGCCAAAATCTCGTTCTTCCCAACATGTTTTCGGATTTGTCTTCAATCTTCATTCCCTTTCTCTCGTTCAGTCTCTTCAAGATCTTCATCCTCATCATCATCTTTGTTTTCATCAGTGTCTTCATCAGCTTTTCAGTGTCTTCATCTTCATCACAATCGTCTTAACTTTGTCACCAAAAAACACATCAACAAAATCAATTTGTGGATTCGCTGATCCGTTTGTTTGTGTAGCTTTTGTTGTTCAACCCTTTTCTTAATCACAATTAATTGGCAACTTGATCTTATCACACCTTTTTCCCTCTCTCTTTCATCCACTTTCTTCATTTATCATCATCTCTTTCATTTCACGTATTCAGCTGTTGATTATGTACACCGTTTGTCAGGTATACACATTAACCTCTTAAAGCTTCATCAGGCCTAAATCAAATTATTGATAACACGACGAACTATACATCCTTTAATCATCAATAGATCATACTATAACAATTTAACAAATTATCGTCATCATCATCACAAGACATACATGATAAATATTGTCATCTTCAGAGCAAAATTGATTAAAAAAACATGATGAAAGATTCATCAACACGTTCATCTAATCAACTGATCACCTTTTCTTGCTTGCTAATGTAATTTCAATTTAAATTCATACTCAATGGACAATTTTAATTAAGCCAAACGTTTACTCAATAGTAACAATTAATTAAGTTAATAATTGAGTAAACGGATGATGAAAACTGAGTGAGTAAGGATAAGTAGATTTGAAACCAGAACTTCACTCATCCGAACCATTTTTCTTGGTTGATAAAAAAATTTGATTTAAAAATACCAGTAGCTTGAATTTGAAACAAAAAAAACCGTCAAATTTCCCAAAGTATGCAAATTAAGTCATTTTTTATCATTTCAAATGAATATCATTCATATTTTTGGTGTTTATTACCATTATAATTATTGCTGAAAAAAAATATTGAAATTGTTTTATTGTATCCATAAATAAAACATGTAAAGCAGTCAATTTTATAAGAATTTTTTTATGTTAAGTGAAAAACAAGAATCATTTTAATGGATTCGAAATGAATTGAAATTATTTTCATTATTAATTCTAGATTCGAAAAGAGAAGCCTTTCATCGATGTCTATCAGGAAAAGTTCAAATTTATGTGAATATAAACTTAAATTTGAAAATTTCAATGTATTCAGAGGATTCTGATTTATTCTGATCTTCTTGGTTTTTTCAGACAAATCTTATCAATTCTCCTTTCAGTAGACATTTTTTCAATCCATTTCAATTTAATTCACATCTAAATCAAGGACGAACCAAGCAAAAAATAGTGAATTGATTAGAATGTAATGATTGAACAGATGATCAGGAAAAGATCAAGGTTGATCCAGAATTTGTCTTATTGTTTCCTTGTCTTCATGTCTCTTTGACTTTTTTAGATTCCTGGATTCCTGGCATTTTGGCTTCATGCTTTGCTCTTCCAGTGCTTTTCAACAGGATTAATCAAAAATGAGTAAACACATGCAAGTTAAGGCCTCGTGGTAGTTCAAGGGAACCATTATTAATCAAATTTTCTTCCAAAATAACTCAGATGGAAGTTTCTATCATCGTTTACTTCACTTCGATTCTTCTCACCAGCGATATAGCAAAGACAATCAACCATTTGATTATCTCATAGTGAACATTCATGAGAAACAAAAAGATGATGATGACGATAATGATACTGGTGACGATTCTGATAGCAAAATAAAGAAGAATATAAAATCATCAAGAAACGATAAGAAATATTTACTTTTTAGCAATTTCAGCACAGAGAACAATCAAGATTTAGATTAACATATGTATTATCTTTAACACAATTTTTAATCGCACAATTAGCTGGATAATTAATTAGCTTCTTGTATTGTTAACACATATTTAAGATTGGAGCACAGATGAAAAAATTAAGCAAAATATAATCATGTAAACACATAACACCAATTCAACCAGACTTTATCTTGCTAAGAGATCACACCGATGATTCATAGCATAAAAAGCGGGTAAACCTTTAAAGGAGCCAATTTCAAAATTTCAACAAATGTCATTTATTTGAATTGATTTAAGAAATTATGTTTCAAACCTTAACAATCAGGTAAATTGTTAAAATGAAATATTATCAAGAAATTTGAATAAAGCAATAACTGTTTATTGGAAGGGTGAGGTTTGGAGATTTATTGATGATAAACGTTCCAATATCAGCTGGTAGTGGGTAAACAAATAACCATTTGATTTGAATCATTTCTGGTGAGAATTTTTATTGATTTTTACTATCAACAGTTATCATTTAGCAGTTATCAATTCCATTATAAAAAAGGTTCAAATTGTAAGGTTAGGTTGAAAAGTATGAAAGAGGTGAAAGTGAAAATTGTATTTGAAATTGCAATACTGATTAACTTTGCAAGTGCTTACAATCATGTTGACTAATGCTAAATCAAGGTTAATAATCTCAAAGGAGTGTTTATCAATCAAATTCAATTAATTTCTCGCAGGCACATCTCATCGATATTGTATTAGATTAACAAATAAACCCAAAAAACAACCAATTGAACAACGATTAACCATCTTTGAGAGTTGTTAACGAATTCATTCAATGTTTAAGTTTTCAATTTACGCAAATTCCCTTTCAATATCAAAAGATTACAATTTACATACAATCTGAATAATAAACTAAACTATTTCAATTAGTATCAAGAAATAAATTATAAAAACTGGTAAACTGTTAAACCAGCTTTTTGCCAATCATTGTTAGCAATTGTATCAACCAGAGGTGCGAGAAAAATGAGGTTCGATATTTAGGTTAAACGTTTTAATAGAGATGTAAAGTTCAGATACACGGAAGTTGTAATTCATGATAATCAGTAAATGAATCAAGAGATGATTAAACTCTCAAAGAATTTGTGAATTTCAAAAAAAAGCATTTATTAGGGCAAAAAGAGGAAGATGAAGATTGTTTAACAAGATGCTGAAAATATGGTTGAAAAGCTTCTTTCAATTGTAAATATAAATGTTTTTGTTATTAACATGAATCCCACTAGATTTCCCTATGGCTATGTATTAATACACCAATGTGTGTATAAATAAATAATTCAAGTTAACCATTGTTAACTCTTCCTCTCTCTCTATGAACAGACAATGTATAAAAAGTTTGAAAATTTATCTGAGCATGAAAAATGTATCATGTTATAACACCAACTTAACAAGTAATCTCTGGTTCATTCAAAATTTAAACCAGTCAAGTAAAATAATTATGTATACTTACCATATTGTGTGCAATAAAGGAGAAGATACCGAAGACATTGAGCACCAAACACCTTCAAAGAAGTATTAGATTGGGTAAAACCTTGTTAATTTTTTTGATTACTCTTTCAGTAGGCCAGAATTAAATTGAATGACCCTAGATTAGCGCTTTGTAACACTCGTTAAAGGTCAAATAAACAACTGATTAAAAAAATAACACAATAAACAGGTAGAAATAATTTATGAATTTCATCAAAACAATAACGGTTTAAGGTTTTCTGGTTCAATTAAGTAAGACGCCCACCGCAAGGGCAACCATATTTCACAGATGATAACTTATTTTCTAGGTTGTTTTTCATTTTTATTTCATTTCTTTAATTTGAATAGCTCAATATCAACTGATTTTTTTGTTTCTGACTTATCAACATTTTTTGTGCATTCGATAGTTTCATTAGCTGAATTTTCTATTATTTTCGCATCGAGATGGATAAGCTGACTTTTTTAGGTTTTCAAGGAAGTAACCTCTTAGCTCTTTGAAAACCCTTGCAACGACTGATTCAATGGAAAGACTGGAATGAAAAAACATTTGGAAATATGAAATATATCATGAAGAGAATGGATATTTCATTGAATATACGATCTTCAACCTGGATGTTTGCCTTAGCTTTGATAAAACCGGAATGACCATTCGGATACCACTCAAAGTGAACATCGGACCGAGGAACCTTTTAATCTCTGTTTTTTTGGCAAACGAACATTCGTAATGTGATCTGATGGTGTATTAAGTGCTGATAAATCGTAAATGTCCTCGAGTCACTCAGTCATAGACTTAATATACACGTCATAGACTTAATCTCGGTAAATGCAGCTTTGCATAAAATCAATGCTTTTGTCTATTTTTAATACTTTGTGCTTTCTTTTGTCTATTTGATTATTATCAATAATAATTTCAATTGTTTGGTCACCTTTTGGTCTTTAATAATACTTGATCTATTTATATTTGTCTGTAAATTTATCTTCTGTACAACCATGATAATCAAATGAGACATCATGATCCACTGTAACTGGACCTTTAATTTGGTTAACTATAAAAGTCTAACCTCTTTAATCTTCATATTAAACATGTTAATCAAGTTAAAGGTCACTTGTCCCAATGCCGTAAGTATTATATTATTATCATTAACTGTTAATATTGTTATCATTATTATTGCCATCTTTATTATCTTATGTGGTCAATAACAATTTAAGAAGCAAATGTAGTAAATGGTTGATTATTTCATTACTTTGACCATCTCACCATAGTAAACAGATGAGTACAGTTAACACTGGGTTATATTGTTGATTCCATATTGAAGTTGATTAAGTTGATGGTGATGATAGGGATGATAATGAGAAGAAGATAAAATTATAATCAAGATTAACAACTGGTCATCTTATTAGACTTCATACTCTGGGTTCAATCTTATTTCTGGTTAAACTTGCAGATACTTGGCTGTAAATAATAAGCAAAATGAATTCATTCATAAGCCCATTTACATGGGAAAATAAGACTTACAATCTTTACTGAAAAACAACCAAAAATACCGGATAAAATAACAAGATGAACACAATTTTTAACCAGAAAATTGCTTTCCTTCAACTGATTTATGGTTATCCTAATCAATTCAGACTATTAAAACAAATAACATGTAAATCAAAATTAAAAACGTCTCAAGGATTGAATCACAATCCTAACCAGAAAATGTAATCATTGAATGCATAATGTATTTAAATAATCATTTGATTTAGTATTGAGCTATTTACTTGCTTGGTTAATTGTAAATGAAAATAAAATTGTGTTTCAAGTAAAAGTATCTATTGTTACCCTGATCAGGATAGACTTGAAATTGAGTTTAGTACAAAAAAATTAACTAAACTAAAGTAAATTTATTCAGGAATAAGCTAATCTTGTCTCAATTGAATTTAATAGACAATTGAAGAAGATTTTAATTAAAACAATAAATGAGTCAAACAAACAACATTCAAAGAGACATTCAACAATCAAATCTGGCAACACAACCCAATCAATCTTTAAATTGTCAACATTGAAAAGATACTAACCATTACCAAATCCTATTCAATTGTTTTAGATCAACAATGTTTCTTGATTTAAACATAAAGTCAACAAGTTAATTGTTACAATTAAAAGATTGATTAAAATTGAAAGTAATAAGTGAGTCTGGTTTTTCTGGTAACAGCAACATCTAAATGAAAATAACCCAAAACCAGTTTTAGAGCAAGTTCAATGCAAATCATTATGTGAAATCTAAATCCTGATTGTTGTCTTTTTTTGTTTTAATCAACACAATTAAAACAACTAATTGTGATCGTTTGATGAAAATAAGTTAACAGTTAATTCATGTTCAGGTTCAAATTGTCTGATAAATTATCTTAAACTTGTATCAGATGCAATAAATTGTTAATGTAACTTAAAAATGGATACAAATTATTAACTGATCATCAATCAACCAGATCAATGATAAACCTTTCTTTACTCATCATTTAATCCCTTATCCTGATCAACATCATGATTGTATATTTAACATCATTTTCATCCTCATCAGCCTGCATCTTCAACTGCAAATTGAAACGCAAATATGAATTGAATTAAAAATTTAGATCAAACTAAGGCAACAATATTTTTCAACTTGATTTACCATTGAGTTAAATTCACAATTGTATCAACTGTTAATTTTTACATCAATTTTTAATGTATTACAATGTAAATGCTGGTTCATTGTTTACTTCGGTGGTTTTTGTTATGAGTGCAAATTTATTTGTATCAATTGATTTACATTACATTTATATTAATAGAACCCAAATCTGTGTCAATTGGGAACTTGTAAACTGTTGTAATTAAAGGTTTGTGATTGAAAGATGAAGGCATCAAAAGTCTAACTGTAACTAACAACGAATTGATTGTTCACAATTAGTTTAATATAAAAGCAACTTGTTAAGCTTTCCCATAACAAAAAAGCCTTTGCTTAATTTAGTTATTAAAAAAGTGTCTACAAAGTAAAGGTGATGAAAAAGGTTGATTGTTTCAACAATTTCAATGTTTTAACTGGTTAATCAGAACACACCTTGAAAATTATCCTTTTTCACTTGTTCTCAGGTAGTGTTGAAAAATTTGGGTTTCCGGTTGATTAAGTTGATTCTATTAGCTATTATTATGGTTAAGATGGAGAGGTGTTGAAAAAAACTATGAATTTTTAAGATAAATTTAGGTTCTAAGGGAATATAAATCTTTTTTTTTCAAACAGCATAAATCTTTCAACCATGTTTATAACCTGAAAATGTTCACATATTTTTTTTACATCATTATACTGATTATTATGACTGCTATTATCAATATGAAAAAGCACGATGGTTAATAAATTATAAACTAATATTCATAAGCGTAATGACAATCAGAATGAAATGAAAGCAGAAGAGGCGAAAAATTATATTAAAAATTATATGCTTACATATTTGGTAGGTTGATGGTGTTGAGGTTGTTTGGTAGGACAAAGACATGAGTTGTCTAAGGTTGCACTGGAAATTGTAATTGTAATGATTTGCTGATGAACTAGATTCACACAGTCAACAGTCCGAATCAAAATATTCAAAAATTGAGTCACAATCATCTGGTAAGTGTTATAAAACAATCAATTATTATAATAATTTTGGGTTGAATGTTTGTTTATGTGTTACTGGTAACAGGTTTTTATGGTAAAGGCAGCATGGTCAATGAGTTGGGTAAATGGTAAATGTACACAATTAGACACCAATGAACAAGTAAATTAAGGTTCACAATTAACACTTTCAACTATACAAAGTATAAGATAAAACGAAAATTAATGATTTATTAAAATATTCAATTAAAGCGTTATTACATGATGGTAAAGTGAGATAAATAGGAAAGAAACTGTTAGGTTAACATTGTTAGCCGCGTTATTTTACCTTAAGGGGTTATCATCTAATTACCATCAGATTCAATTAATTAGCCAAACTTCCAGGTTAATTAGCAAACCAGTCATCTGATTGAGAAGGTTGAACATTTTAAGGCTGACCCGATGAAAGATTGGATAATTAATAAATTTGGTTTTAATTGGAATCAGTGAAAAGACGTAAATGAACGGCAATAAAAAGGTTTGGTAAAAAAAAGGTGAAAGTGACCAGATAAATTGTAAACCATTTTGTTTAATTGTTTGTTTTAATTCTCATGAAATGATCAGAATCAACCGGCCAATGTTGACTCAACCATGTAAGTAACAATTTAACTTGACTTCACTTCAATTACAATATTTAAATTTAATTATTTTACATCTTTATTTTGTCCCTTTCAATGTCTTTTCCCAATCTGGTGTTGAGGTGACTTTAATGGATGCTTGTTGGGAAACCAAACTCATCAGACTAATCTTAATTAATACCTTTAAATCGGAAGATTATCAACAATTAATTAACATCAACGTGTTATCAAGTTGATGAGAATTGAAATTTCTCATAAAATATGAAACAAAATATTTAATCATCAACTGAACACACCAAATCGCTGCAACAAGTTCACTGACATTTACCAAAATATTGCACAAAAAGATATGCAGGAAAAGGTAACTTTCAAATTAAGTAATTGACTAATTAAAAGACAATTCTAATTGTGAATATTGGAATATTATCATCACAATAAATCAATTTTCAAGTAAATTGTCAAGTTTAAATTACAATCAAAAGGTACATTTAAAGAGGTTAGAGTTGGACAAAAATCAATTCAACATAAATAACCATTTCTTTTCAATAACAAAACGCTCCGATTAACCTGAATTTACGCTAATTCAATTAGTTTAGTTGCCATATTTAACCGTATTGATTACAAGCTGATGATAATTGTAAACGAAATAGATAAACAAATCATTAATAACAATTGAAACTGTCAACAAATCAATTAAAAGTAAATAAATCCATTTGAAATAAATAGCAATTGAAATATACTTTTAGGTAAATCCAATTTATGGATTTATCATTGATCCAAGGATGATAGCTGATTGGATTGACAGATTAAATTGTTGGTTAAATCATGAAACAGTTGTAAAACTGTGAATTACTGATTTATTTGCTCTTCTCATGTCTTGAGTCTTTTTAGAAGCAATTGTAACTATTGATTGATTATCAGAACTGGTTCATCTAATGTTTTCTTGTTTCACTTGTTCAGACGTTGACATGTTAGCTGATTTGTTGCGGCATTAGTTAATCATAATCAAGTCGCAAACTTGGTGTTAACATGATGAATCGTTGGGTAACAACAATGCTGAACGTTAACACATCAGATGGTCGTGTTCACGATGTGTTTGTTGGTAACATGTAACTTAACACTTTCACATTATTCAAATTAACTGTTAAATCAATTGTTAATTGTTGCCAATATAAGTGTCACCCAATTCATTGGCCAAAGTATATGCAAATCAAAAATCTTTCACTTACATCTTCCTCCTTAACCATCATTTTCATCACCATATTACTGAATATACCTCATTTTTACCCATTTTTTGTCTCCTTTTTTGTTTACAAATTAACGAATCTTTTCTTGTATCTTCTTCTTGATTCAATTGTTGATTTAAAATAGTTTGTGTCTGTATGAAGCTGGTTAAACATGACAATCGCACCTTTACACGTACAGTTAATTGGTTCAAAATATGCTTTGTATAATAAATATTCAACATCGTGATTGGAATAATCAATAAAACAAAAGTTGAACATAAAGGATCAATTATTATCACTATTATTAATAGAAGAGGATAAGAGTTGGATATTGAAAGGGTTTTCAAATTTACAACAAACAACATGATTGGTGAATCCGGTTAATAGCTTTGATTGGTAATTTAGTCTAATAAACATATCAATCGGAGGTTGTTGAATGTTTACAGGCAGAAAGAAACACTTTTAATTTCATCTTGAACAAGCAATAAAAGTCAATTTTCACAATCAATTTGCTAATGAATTGCTGTTAATCAGATGTCAAGGGTAGTCGATGGGTTAACAGCGAAACATGTTCATCAAAATTGAAAAGCTAATTGTTTATGTTGATATTGGGATGAAAGCTGATTGATTTGGAACCCATTTTACAGAAATTATGAAACAATGGATTTTACCAGAATTTTGATGAACTAGAATCTTGGGTGACCTTTAATCATTGGTAACAGTGTCAGTGGTTTCCCTTTGAATTGGTGATGGTAAACCAATGATCTAGTTTGTAAATTATCATATTTAAACAGTCATTAGTTGTGTTTAAAGTAAATAACGTTACAATAATTTAATGGTAATATATTAACCATGGTAAAGATGTAAATGTTAATAAATTGACCTGAAGACTTGAAGGTTTGGCAACTCATAGCTTCATTAACAAGTCTGATGAACTAGAGGTTTAAAGCTGATAGGTGAGTTGAACAATGATGATAATAGAGATCATTGGTAAATATTAGTTGGTCAAAGAGAGTTAATTTTTTAAATGAGGTCATCTAAATAAACAATCAAAGGAAATTGGAGCTAATTTCATTACAGAGTCAACTGTTACTTGGGATACTTTTCCTTTGTGAACAGTGTTGGTAACCCAGAAATGATAACCGGTGAGCGTTAACCAGCCTACTCAGTGAGCTTAACTTGTTTGTTTAATATAAATTGATCTCATCTTGATAATAATGTTACATTCACCATCGGTGTACATTAGCCGCAAACAATTTCCACCATAATTTTTAGCTGAAACAGTTCAAAGTTAGCCATGATGATGGTGAATGGTTTCCAACTGTTGCTTGTTTTGATTCCCTTGTTTGGATCCTTTAGTCAGTCACAGTGTTTTATTGAAGATGGTTACAAACGATACAATGATTATTCCGTCCTTCGATTCATTCCGACCAATGTTGAACAATTGAAATTTCTTTATGACTTGGCCCATAATGAGACTTTCCTAATGGAGCGAGGTGTTGACTTCTGGACTGCACCAGGTAATCTCAATGCGTCTGTGGATGTTATGTTGTCTCCAGAAGCACGGTCTTCATTGGCTCCTCTCTTCAAATCAAACCTTCTGAATCCAAGTGTGATGATTGACGATGTTCAAAGGTAAATTATGATTAACCAGTTTCCTTTATGATTATACACCAATCCTCGAAACGGTCATTTAATCAAGAAGTGTTGAATCCATTAACCGCTCTTCTTACTGTAGACGTATAGATGCTGAGAACGAAATTAAAGGAAGACAAAGTTTTCCATTTCCATTTGGCTTACGAGGATCTCGACCAAATACAAAACTATTCTTTAACACCTATCAACGCTATGATACGGTAAGAGTATAATTAATACAAATTGAATTAAAATTACTTGATTATATTATGTTTCTTGGAATAGTAAAAGTTATAAGAAAGTAAATGGTTGAAGACCAGCTGACAGACTTACATTTGATTAATTAATGACAAAAATTGCTCAACTTAATTAATAATATAAAACAGAAACTACTTAAATTAAGTTTGGTCGCTTAGAAAGTTAATTTAACTTAAATCGTTAATTTGTGCTAAAAAAAGAAGGCAAGAGCAATTAAATAATTTAGCTTTTTGCTTCAGAAAATAAACCATTTTTTGAATAAGATCGAAGCTAGCGAAGCCTGGTTTCAACTTAGGCACTTAAATTGTTGCATTTTAAGACAGTTATCCAATCATCTGTGACAATTTGATTCCTTTTATCATCTCTAGTTTTAGTTTTAATATTTTAATTTTTATTATCATAATTTTAAAATGAAAACTGTGTCTTAATGATTTTTACGTTTTTTATGATTTCGAGAATCATGTGATGAACAAACTATTGGTTGAAAGGTTGTCTCAAATTATGGAGTTTAATAACATGTCTTTTGGGGTGTCTCTAGATTATGGCAATGTTGGATGATATGGCCAAGTCCAACGACAAGTTAAGACTTTCAGTTGAAGTTATTGGAAAATCTTTTGAAGGCCGTGATCTGAAAATAATCAAGATAAGTAACGGTGCATCCAATGGTAAACGTAAAATCTGGATTGATGCTGGTCTTCATGCTAGAGAATGGATTGGCCCATCAACTGCTATGTACTTTATTAATAAGGTTAGTCTAAGTACTCCAGTTTATTTTTATTCAAGATAATTCAATTGATTTCCAGTTGAAGTATTCAAATAATCGAATTATCCATTGATTCATGTCTTTCTTTCTTTTTTATTTAGTTGGTTACATCAGCTGGTAAAGATGAAGCTGTGGATCAAATTCTGAATAAATATGACATTGTTATACTTCCGCTTGCCAATCCGGATGGTTATGAATACACTCATACAACGGTAAAGTTGCCTCAAAATTTGTGCAAACCAACAATCAAATTCAAAAAAAAGTTTACATTTCATAATTGTTTTCTTTATTCATCAAATAATAGAATCGTATGTGGCGTAAAACTAGATCTCAAACCAATAGTAGATGGGGATACATTTGCCGTGGAACTGATCCTAATCGAAATTGGTCTTATAAGTGGGGAAGTAAGTTTATGAGTCGAACAATTGAATTTTCGGAAAATTTTAACCAAAAGCTCATTCGTTAACTTCAGTTTATAAATCTTGTAAAACTCACATCTCAATTTTCGCATTCAATCTTTTCCTTTTATTTAGCTGGTGGATCAAGTTCTAATGCATGCTCTGATATCTTCGCTGGTCCAAAACCATTCTCCGAACCTGAAACCAAAGCTATGTCTCAATACATCCTGAAAAATGGACCCTGGGATATGTATATCAGCTTCCATTCTTATTCACAATTGATTCTCTTACCATGGGGCTGGACAACTGATTTACCCGAACATTACAACGAAATGTACCGAGTCGCCGAAAAGGCAGCCACAAATTTAAAATCTCTTTATGGCACTACATTCACTGTTGGAAGTGCTACTAATCTTCTATGTAAGTAACAAAACAATATATCGTTAATACGACACACAAGTGGTATCAAGTGATAACAAGTTATAAATATTTATTTTGATGACTGATAAATTGTATTGAACTATTTATTTGCTTATTTAAGATGTCGCCTCTGGTGGATCTGATGATTGGGCCTATGGTGAAGCTGGTATCAAGTACTCTTATACTTTTGAACTTCGAGATACTGGTGATCATGGATTTGTCTTACCTGAAGAGTTTATAAAACCCACTGGTGAAGAAACTTTCTTGGCTTTCAAAACTATGTGTGATGAGATATATCAGACGAGTTAGAATGCAATACAAACATAATTCAACTCAAGAATGATATAGACTTGTAAATAAAATGACAAACAAACAGATAAATCATTAAAATAACCGTTAAAATACACTAAATTCTTAGATTACTTCAGTCTCTTCTAATGCATTGAACATAAATCGGTAAAAATATTGATCATTAAGTAACTAGCAGATGAAAAATTGTTATTCAAATAGCTTTTATACCTTAATTTACAATTTTACATCAAAAATGAAGATTAAGGCTTGAAGATTTCTTTCCGATTGAATTAATAACAAGACCTATCGTAAGTTAAATCAACCAAATTATTACAATCACTGACTCAGAATAGCTAAATTCATTCAAATAAAAAAATGTTCAAGAATGAAACTTAAAGAACATTAGCAAAAATGTAAATGTAATTCCATCAACAATCGGTTTGAATTTTTAGCCATTTTTGTTGAAAAACAATTGCAATAGGACAATCCTAAACAGTTGGGATAGCTTGTTTAAATATAAACCAACAATGAAAAGTGCATTTACTTTAAACTAATCAACAATTTCGAAATAAAGCTGCATTGATAGGATCACCTTTAGCAATAACAAATTATTATTTGTTCATCAACATGTAATGGTTAATAATGTGAATTCAAACATTATCACAAGTCTTCATCAAGGCATTCCAATAAAGAGATTAAGCGCCAAAACTATTTATCAATTCTTTCATCAATAGATGGCAGTTTTGTTTACCGCTCTTCCATTCATCTGGTTTCAGAGGGCTTTGTACTTTCTTTGTTATTAGATTGTAATTTACAAAACTGTCGTAATTCACAATAATCAATTTAGTTTTGTTCAACTTTTGTGATTACTGTCATATTATTAAATTGTGGTTCCAAAGATGGGAAAATCCACTAAAAAGAATAACAATGATGCTGTTAAAGAAGAAGAACCAGTGAAAACCCAAATGGAAACCGAAGAAGAACAAGAAAAGAGTGAATCTAATCAAGCTGATGCTGAAGAGGAATACGCGCCAGGTTGGTTTTAATGAATATTTTCTATCTAGTCTCGTTAATTGTAAAATTTAGTTTGAACTGTTTAGTTTAACAAATGTAAATTTGTAAATTACAAGTTTCTATTTACAATATTTTATTTGGTTTAAATTATCTGCGAATTTTGATCTAGCTTAATACTCTCGTATTAATTTTCTTCTTTGTTTTCTTTTCCATGTTTTTTTCAGAAGAAGAAGGCGAAAAAGAAGCTGATGGTGAAGGTGAAGGCGAAGTTGAAGCTGAAGCTGAAGTTGATAGTGAAAATGCAGCTGAAGATACAGTTGAAGAAAAGGTTGAAACTGCACCAGCTAAACCTCCAGGAAAACTTGCAGTCAATTATGAGGGTCAAGTCACCGAAGATCGATCGAAAAGATTTGAGTATCTTCTACAACAAACTGAAATTTTCGCTCATTTCATGACATCCGGTGTTAAACCTGGGGAACAAAAAGCAAAACCTGGACGTAAACCTAAACCAAAAGAACCAAAAGAACCTGAAAAACTAGAAGAATCTAAGTTCGAAGTGAATGACCACCGTCATCGAAAAACTGAACAAGAGGAAGATGAAGAATTACTTAGTGAAGTCAAGAAAGATGTCAATTATTTTAGGTAATATTCATCATTTATTTAAATTCATGTGCAAGGCTAATTCTTATGATGTTATTTTTTGTAGATTTGAGGAAAGCCCTAAATATATTAAAGGGGGAACTCTTCGAGACTATCAAATCAGAGGTCTCAACTGGATGATTTCTTTATTTGAAAATGGTATCAATGGTATTTTGGCTGATGAAATGGGTTTGGGAAAAACTCTACAGACCATTAGCTTGTTGGGTTACATGAAACATTACAAGAATATTCCCGGTCCTCACTTGGTTATCGCTCCCAAATCGACTTTGACCAATTGGATGAATGAGTTTAAGAGATGGTGTCCTTCTCTAAACGCTGTCTGTCTTATTGGTGATGCCGCAACACGGTCAACTCTTATTAGGGATACACTCCTGGGAAACCAAAAGGAATGGGATGTGTGTGTGACGTCTTATGAAATGATTATTCGAGAAAAATCTGTTCTCAAAAAGTTCAACTGGAGATATATGGTTATTGATGAAGCTCACAGAATCAAAAATGAGAAAAGTAAGCTCTCAGAGTTTATTCGAGAATTCAAAACTACAAACCGTCTTCTGTTAACTGGTACTCCATTACAAAATAATTTACACGAGCTATGGGCTCTACTCAACTTTTTGTTACCTGATTTTTTCAACTCTTCTGAGGATTTCGATGCATGGTTCAACACTAGTAATCTGGTTGAAGGAGATGACGGAATTATTAATCGTTTACACGCAATCCTTCGACCTTTTCTTTTAAGAAGATTGAAAAGTGAGGTCGAAAAACGGCTACCTCCTAAAAAAGAGATCAAGATTTATGTCGGCTTGAGTAAAATGCAACGCGATTGGTACACAAAAATTCTGATGAAAGATATTGACATTGTGAATGGTGCTGGTAAAATGGATAAAATGAGGCTGTTAAACATTTTGATGCAGTTGAGAAAATGTTGCAATCATCCATACTTATTTGACGGAGCTGAACCAGGACCACCTTACACTACAGATCAACATATAGTCGATAATTGTGGTAAAATGTGTATATTAGATAAACTTCTACCTAAACTGATGGAACAAGGCTCCCGCGTTCTTGTTTTCAGTCAAATGACTCGCATGTTAGACATTTTAGAAGATTACTGTCTTTGGCGAGGCTTCAATTATTGTCGTTTGGATGGTCAAACTGCTCATGAAGACAGAGAACAAGCTATCTACGAGTTCAACAAACCTGACAGTGAAAAATTTCTATTCATGTTAAGTACCAGAGCTGGCGGTCTTGGTATCAACCTAGCTACTGCAGATGTAGTTATCTTGTTCGATTCTGATTGGAATCCTCAAGTCGATCTTCAAGCTATGGATCGAGCTCATCGTATCGGTCAAACAAAAACTGTAAGAGTTTTTCGCATGATTACGGACAATACCGTTGAAGAAAGAATTGTAGAAAGAGCCGAGATAAAACTTAGATTAGATACTGTGGTCATCCAACAAGGACGTTTAGCTGAAGCAGGCTCTAATAAGCTTGCTAAGGAAGAAATGTTGGGAATGATTAGACATGGTGCTGATCATATTTTTGCGTCTAAAGACAGTGATATTACTGATGAAGACATTGATAATATTTTAAAGAAAAGTGAAGAAAGAACTGAACAAATCAAGGCAAAATTGGAAGAACTTGGTGAAAGTAGCTTACGTAATTTCACTCTCGATGCGCCTGATTGTAGTGTTTACAAATTTGAAGGAGAAGATTATCGAGATAAGCAAAAGATGACAGCTTTAAATTGGATTGAACCACCAAAGAGAGAAAGAAAAGCTAATTATGCGGTTGATGCTTACTTTAGAGAAGCATTGCGTGTTAGTGAGCCTCGTGCTCCAAAAGCTCCTAGACCTCCAAAACAGCCCAATGTGCAAGATTTCCAATTTTTCCCTCCAAGACTTTTCGAATTGTTGGATAAAGAAATTTATTATTACCGTAAAACTCTAGGATATAAAGTACCAAAAAACCCTGAATTAGGAAGTGATGCTGCAAAAATCCAAAGAGAAGAACAGCGAAAGATCGATGAAAGTGAACCTCTAACTGAAGATGAAATAGCAGAGAAAGAAGATTTGTTGACACAAGGATTCACAAATTGGACTCGTCGTGACTTCAATCAATTTATAAAAGCTAATGAAAAATATGGAAGAGATGATCTTGATAGTATTGCTAAAGAAGTAGAAGGTAAAACTCCTGATGAAGTCATGGAATATGCCAATGTTTTCTGGGATCGATGTCATGAATTGACTGATTGTGATCGCATACTGGCTCAAATTGAAAAAGGAGAGCAGCGAATCCAGAGAAGGCAAGATATTAAAAGAGCATTAGATGCTAAAATGTCCCGGTACCGAGCACCATTCCACCAATTGAGAATAGCTTACGGTACAAATAAAGGTAAAAACTATATTGAAGAGGAGGATAGATTTCTCATCTGTATGCTTCATAAACTTGGATTTGACCGAGAAATGGTTTATGAAGAATTGAAATCATCCATTCGAAATGCTCCACAGTTTAGATTCGATTATTTCATCAAAAGTAGAACCGCGCCAGAACTTCAAAGAAGGTGTAACACTTTAATTACTTTAATAGAACGTGAAAATCAAGAAATTGAAGAAAAAGAAAGATCTACAAAGAAGAAACCTGGTCCAAAACCAGGATTACCCAGAGGATCTAGTAAACGACCTGCCGTAACAAATGACAGTAAAAATAAGAAAAGAAAAAAGTAATTACCCAACCATCACTATTATGTTTTAAAACGTAAGATCACACATTTAATCATTGAGTTTCACTCTTTAGTCCATCAACTGCATCTATCTTTTTTATAATTTACTTTATCTTTAATCTATTGTCTCCAACATTTCAATACCCATTTAATTAAATCTTGTAATAAATTTTGTCATTATATCTTTACAAGTAATGAATCCCGACTTCATTCCAATATTTAGAATGAAATCTCACTCTAAGCTTTAGAAATTTTTATTAAAATTGACTCAATACTTAATTTATAAATTACTCTCAGCATTTCATTTTATTTACTATTAATACATTCAATAGCGCGAATTAGTGCATAATAAATTACTATCTTTGGTTTTAGTTTTGCAAATAACTTACAAGAGTTAAATTAAATGATACAAATTCTGAATTTCATTTTTTTATCTCAAGCCAAAATTAGATAATCGCGATGATCGGAATGAGGAATATTAAGAAAAATGAATTTGATCAGTTCAAAAAATATAATATTTCATATATTTTGTAACAAATGATAAACATATGCATATTATAAACTGTTATTACAACTGTATTGAGTTAAATAAATATTTTAACCCGATTTTGTCGATAATTTTTCATACAACCCTTGTATTTCATCCAAATCCATATAACACCCTTGAAGAAACCTTTTCTCCTTCAATGAATCATATCCTTCTCTTCCATGGAATACCCGGCGATTATTAAATATAACAACATCTCCATCTTTTAATTTACACGAAAGTCGATTACTAGTGCATCGAGTGTACGAGAACAATTGTTTGAAGGCTGTGAAAAAGCTTTCCATTTGATCATGAGGCAGTAAAGGAGCTCTCATTGAAAAGTAACTCAAATTAACCTCTTTGATTATCACTGAATTTTGATCACCCGGCTCTGTGACAATAACTGGCCATTTTTGTCTGAACCAAATACCTCTTTGCGAATCAAAAAAGGAAAACATTACGGGTTTAGTTAAAATTTCAAACATTTCAGGCTGGAATTTCTGCAACTGCTGACAACAATAAAGACCATCAGCAAAATAAGAATCACCTCCATTTACAGCGGCTTTAATACAATGAAGCATTTGGATTCCTGGTACACGTTCACGATAACATAAATCAGTGTGAAGCTCCAGTGGGTTGGAGGAATAACTGAAATGAGCATCCGGAGAAGGATTGACGACAACATCAAAGGTTGATCCATATCCAGAAATCCTTTCATAAGCGATTCTCCTAGCAATTGATAGAACAGTTTCTTTTTCAGTTGGAGCACCTGAAACGAACGCAATTCCATAAGAGAGGATATCTTTGAGCAAAGATTCAAGGGTTGAATCATCTGTCATGATTGACTCAAATGAATAATGGTGATCATAGATTGGGTTAATAATTGATACATTCCAGGGAAATTCACCGACTATCTCTTTAGGTGCATAAACACCGTCCTGAGGTTCAGATGATTCACCAAATTTTCCTTTGAACAACATCAACCAAGATAACTTGTAGCATGAATGGTGTGGAGATCCATCGTACCAGTCAATCAACAGTTCGGACCCATTGTTGACTATCTTAAGGGGCTTTAAGTTTTTGAAATCAATGTCTGCAGGGTTTAATTTTTTATCCTTTGTTAGTGGACTTATACACTGTTCACATTGACATGAGTCTCGTAGCCAGGCAACATGAAAGCGTTCACTAGATCCATCAGGAAAGTCAACTTTAATCACGGATCCGTCGTAATTTGATAGGTCGCTGGTTAATTCTGGAGTAGGTTCACTTGATTCCATGATTGTTCTTCAGTAAACTTAATTGTTAATCAAAAGCTGATGAGCATAGGGCATTGAAAATTTAGAAGAAAATTATGCTTTGTAACACGTTGAAAACGAAATGGATTTGTAAATACATGTTGGATCGCAAAATTTTGGATTGTTTGATTGATAGTGTCGATCAAACTGATTAAAATGTTGATGACAAATTTACAATCAACTGAACTTTTATTAACAGGATAAGAGAAACAAACGGTAAAGTTAGATAATTGACAATTATTAATTGTTTACTGTAAAATTAAGCGCATGCTTGTTTTTTCATACTTTGAACCCTGGATTAACCACATGAGAACCCATTAGTGCTAAACGCAAAAAGATACATTGGTTTCAACTGAAAAGATTCAAATGATTTTTAAAATTTGTCATTTTGTCAATTTTATGTTCTAACTTTTGCATCCTTTATAAAAGATAATCGATGTTTCCAAATTCAGAGTTCAAGAGTAACAAATTCCAATCAATTCTTAACAGTTCTTATCAATGTCAATCTATATGATTTTATCGTTATATTTGATCATAAAAGCAATGAAAACAGAAGACATTTCAGGTTAAAACCCTTTAAGCTCAGTAAAAAACCCTTCAGTACTTGAAGTTTATAATTGAAAAACACTTGACTGTTGTCTACTGTTTTCATAATTACAATTAGACTTTGTTCAACAGTTTGTATATATTGTTGAAATACCAATTGTAAATATTAATAGTAAAAATAGGTGTAAGCTAAGTATGTTTGCAGTTATTATCTTGCAACTAATATCAAAATTAACAAATCCAGTGGAAATTTGTGTTATTAGATGATTTTTGTATTTACCGATCAGCATCCTACTTCGATAGTAAGAAAATTACTTTTAAATGATGAGGAAGGCTGTGAATAATTTTGACGAAAATGGTTTTAATAGTAAGAAATGATATTTTCTATGTCAATGAGAATAAACTTTTAGTGACTGAATCATGACATTGATTGGTTTTCCAATTTTTTTGAGATGGACATTATTTTTAATTAGAGTTATGGGCAGCTATTAATTGTTTCAACTGTTTGATAACAGTATCAACCAATTTTCTTTTATCTCGTTCATTTTTCTTTAAGGATGCAAAAATATTACGATTTTTATCGGCTTCCTTGATTTTCTCCAAAAGATTGAGAGCCATTTGAGGGTTGACCCTAAGATATTTATTGTCCTGTTTGCCATAATCAGCAATATAAGTAGACCATTGCCAAGAAAGTAGTAGATCAACTAACTGTCTTAATTCAGCGAAACACATTTGCAGTGCATTATCTTCAAACCCTTTTACAGGTTCAGAGCTAGCAAAAAATTCACACTGCAATAAATCAAGGTTGAATTGTTCTAAAGCACCCATGGATATAGCTTTGACATCTTCGTCGAGAAGAAAGTTAATTAAAGATGAAGCTATATGTTTGCATGCAGACACACATGCAGTCTGGGCGACTTTCAGTGGTAGATTGGTAAAAGCTTGGAAGGTAGAGGTCAAAAATTTGATGAGATCAGCGATATAAGAAGAGGCGACTCCAGATGATTCGACCAACATCCAATCATAATGAGCGATTTCGAAGAATTCATCAATTTTTTGGTTGAGAAGAAAGTAGATTTGAGATTCAGCGTCAGATCGAGCATCTTTGAACATTGAACTTCCTTGAAGTTTAGCGAGATGTGAGCCACCCGCTAGTTCAGCAATATTGGTAGTTGAAGAAGTTAATGGAGATCCAAGTCCAGTATTTAACGGTTGAGATATATATTCTTCTAGAAAACTCATAGAGTCTTCTAAATAGTTGGTGTTTATGGCAATTTGGATCAATTGGAGTAATCCTAGGCTTGGCTTTTTAATTAATACAGACAGGCAGCCACTGAGTGTTCGAGTAAGTAGAAGGTTGGTTGATTTTCGAACCATGTCTTCGATTTCAGTTTGACTTATATTAAGATCTTGCGAGAATTCACGGCATGCGTTAATGAATCGTTTAACTTGAGTGAAAACTTTGGGTACAAAAGAGGAGAAGGGAAATTTTTTGGGATAATCTGAGTCACCAGTGGAAACTACTTCAGCTTCATAATAAGGAAATTCATTGATGATTTCATCATATTCCGCTTGAGATTCAACTTCAATGGGATGGTAATTATCTGCATCAAAAATGGAGCGAAACAATGCACACCATTGTTTCATCAAAATTTCATTATACTGATCACGGATCTCAATGAGTAAATTGAGAAAAGGGTTTACATTATATCCATAACTTTGAAGAGTTTGACTAAATAAAATGATGATTCTTTTGATTTTAAGCATGAGATTTTCATCGGTACAATAAGATGAATAGGTTCGAAGAGAAGCAATCACTGATTGCAGAGCATTTTCCCAGACTTCATCGAGATAACTTTTGGTTATTAAACCTGGAGCAGTGTTTAGAATATGATTTTCAATAACAAAGAAACCCACGACTCCGCAAAAATAATTCTTGTAACCATCAATATTCTCGTGCATGTTAGTTGGAGGTTGAAGAACCAGTTTAGCTTGTTGTTGTCTTTGCTGGCGATAATAAATTTCAAATAACTCACGGGCTCCGAGACAGCCAAAAATATGAAGACAACGATAAACCGGAGAAAAATCAACAATATCAGTTCCTTTCAGCTCTTCTTCTGATACACCTCCATTTAAATCGATATCGGACCCACTATCGATCAAGTCTAGATCATTTTCCGTTGAGGCAGATAAAGGCGGTTTAGGCGCAGGATGTTTCTTTCTTGAGGCAATTGCTGGGCCCTTTGGAGTATTATTAACAGATGAACTAATTTCATTGATATTGTTCATTGATGAATTAATCGACAAAATTGTGGTTGATTTTTTGACTGGGCTGCTTGAAGAACTGTTTTCATTTGAAGAAGAGGCACTTGTAGTGCAACTGGTTAACAGAGTATCTTCGATATTTTGCTGATGAGCAGCATTCTTCATGGCAATTTCACCAATCTGGGACGACAATTGTCTCACGTTTTCGAGAAAATCTTTCAGATCTGACATTGAGGCTTCTTTGATTTGCTCTCGAATTTGGGGAATCTTATCTCTCATTGCTTGGGCAAATCGATAATGAGAAACCCGGGGTAGAAAATTATTTTCTAATTGCTCCAGAGTTTTGAGAGCTGGATAATAACGGGTATTTTCCATTTGTGAGGTTAATTTACTATACATCTTAAGCACTGGTAAACATTGACTTAAGTGATCTATGGCTGTTTCTATATTACACACAATTTTACGGTACCGGATGAGTTCTTCGGCTTTCCGCTGAACATTTTCAGAGGATTTTTGGATATCTTGATTCACTTCCAAAATTTCTTTCTTAAGTATGTCAGCTTTGGGTCTAACTTGCAGAAGATCATGAATACAATCTACAAAGTCTTGGTAATTGGCATTACACATCCTTTTAATCTCCTCGTCATGGCTTTTAATTCGAGCATCCAGCTTCTCCATAAATTTATCATATTCATCGCCAACAGCTCTGTTACTACTGAAATAAACCGAAAATTTAATTAATCTCTTAAAGAACTTCGACAGAAAAATTTCATGCTTCATTCCATTTTAAAAATATCATATAATTCATTGATACGCTAAAATAAGTTTAACTACGATACTTTTGCAATGATATCAATTAGGAGATGAAGCCAAACAAAAGATGATTTGTTATCATTACCTGAGTACAAGGCTGAGAGATGATGGATCATTTGATTCCAGTTCAATGAGAAGATGGTCACATCCATTTAATTTTGAGAACAGCGGGTCTGTCACAGGCGGATCTTTGGATACATTCATGTTTAACAATTAAACTGAATCTGAAACTGGTACCATCAATAAATTAAAGCTTGAAGAAACCAATTTCTGATGACTATCTATTCTTTATGTTACATTCGATGAGTGAAAATGGTTCACATGATATAATCACTCAATAGCAAGGTATCAAAATAAAATCATCAGCCTAGACTTGATTAACAATTTAATCATTGGTAATTGACAATTTGAATAACCACTGATACGTGTAAGATGAGCACCGCAAGTCAAATTTTTTCCAGCTGATTTTGTTGAAAAAGTTGGGATAAGTGTGTTATTTAGAAGGCACATATTCAAAGCTTGCAATTTAACCTTGCATGTTTACCTTTTTCTTGTACTTTTTCATCAATTTGAAAAATGTTAAAAAATCATGTTTAACCTTAATAAGTGATGTTCAGAACAACCTACAAACTTTTTGACATTTTACACCATTCTAGTCATGTAGCTTTGATAAAGAACCCATCATTTTTTGGGCATGGAGCTCGGTTGATAAGTGTAAATCGAGTGACATGTTCCTCACATCAACAACCCAAACCTAAATCCAATGTTATCAGTGATTATGGAGAAGAAGAAAGAATCATTAAATATCTGACGGACCCAAACGTGGGACAAATTCAAGAAAAAGTGAATCTAGAATGGAAGGTGATAGAGAAACCGGATAACCTTAAATCAATAGGTTACTATCTTAAATTAAGCAAATTTAGACTTACAAGTCTGGTTGTACTAACCACATTAGCCGGTTACACCATGGGTTGCTCTCAATTTGATCCTATTATCGCCAGTGCATCTCTTATTGGCACTGGTTTGACTTCTGCCGCTGCAGCAAGTCTCAATCAGTTTTTGGAAATACCTTTTGACTCACAAATGATGAGAACTCGAAATCGTCCTCTAGTCCTCGGTCAACTTTCTTCTGGACGTGCTTTTTCGTTTTCTTTAATTTCTGGGACAGCTGGACTCGCTACATTAGCATTTTTCATCAATCCCTTGACAGCTGCTTTGGGTGCTTTTAATTTAGTTCTCTATTCATTTGTATATACACCGATGAAGAGAGCGAATATTGCAAATACTTGGGTTGGATCAATAGTTGGCGCCATACCTCCTATAATGGGTTATACTGCCGCAACCAATATGATTGGTAATTCACATTTTCTAGATAGATTACTCTAATCTTGCAAAATAAGAGCATTGTCGGAATCCGATCTGTGAAAAAGATTTTCATTGCAGATTAGAAATCCAAGTGTAACTTTTTGACTATAATTCATTGTATTCTAACGATATTTCTTTATCTTTTCAGATATACCATCGATATTCTTAGGATTAATATTATATTCATGGCAATTTCCTCACTTTAACGCTCTATCTTGGAATATCCGTCATGACTATGCAAGAGCTGGTTATCGAATGATGTCGGTTACCAATGAGGATCTCTGTGTACGCACTGCTTTGAGGCATGCCTGTCTTTTGACTGCTTATTCATGTTTAATGAGTACATCTTATGTTTCTCTTACCAATTATGCCTTCGTTTTAGGATCTCTACCTCTCAATATTTACCTAATTTATCTAAGCTGGAAATTCTACCAAACACCGAACGCAACTAGTTCTAGAAAATTGTTTCGTTACTCTCTCATTCACCTGCCAGCTCTCATCATTTTAATGCTCATCTTCAAATCAGATAGAAAAGACGAGTCAATAATGAGAGATGGACTTGTTAAAACGAAAACCTAGTAGTTAATGAGATGAATTAGCTCTATCTTGTAATTTAAATTAAAATTGTTAACTTCTTGTGAAGAGAAAGTCAAGTTTCATTTTCTTATTCCATTATTGTATGAGTTGAAATGGAATGTAATGATTTATTTCTTAACCAGTTGATGTAAATAAATTTCCGTCGATTCGTACCTTCAATCAAAGTCATTCATCAATTTATAGATAAACCAAAATTCAGGTTAAGGCAAATCAGTAAGAAGTCTTGCTTTATCAAATAAATATCACTTCCAATTTCATCAGCCTTGCTTTATCCTTTTTCGCCTTAAGGGTAAATTGATTGTTTTGGTCAAATAAGACTACAGAAAATAAACATACTAATTATTGTTAAGGAAATAGAATTGAATGGCTAATTTCGATAATTAAATGTTCGACAATCATAAAAGCTTGATGCTCAACTGTCATAAATAAACAACCCGAAGCCAATTTGAATCTAGATCAAGTTGATCGAGAGGATTATCCGTTGATCTAAGGTAAAAAGAGGATCTCGAAAAGCGCAAAAATCTTTAAATTTTTGTTACAGTCACTTAATGGAACCCGGAATAATATCAATCTTAACCTTCAATTTTATCATTATCAACATCATGTAACAGAGGTTTAATCAATAATCAAATTGATTCTTCAAATTATCTCATCTCAAGGAAAAAACTTAACTTTTAAATGCTCAATATTTCCGGATTTCACTATAATTTGACTAATACACGATAGCTTTAACTAAACCATTGAATGTCAAGTTCTGTCAGTGAGGTAAACAAAATTCAAAGCTACCATCATTAACATCATGATAAATAAAATAACCTTTTCATGGAAATCTTATCTTCTTTATGCATTAAATTTTCAATAACAATAAAATTGAGTAAATAGATAAAATTGATTAAATATTTCCTCTTAAATTGCTTTCACTTTTTGATACATTTACATTTAAAATGCTTCAAGTTTCAATTCTTGAAAAAAAGGTTTGAGGATATTTTGTAAAATTTGAAATGATTAACAAATCTGAGAAAAGGATAAACCCAGGAAAACCCAGGAAAAATTGTGAAAAAAGTCGAACTTTAAAAATTAATGAAATGATACTCAAAAGTTCTGAAAAATGATTGAGTAGATACAAAAAAAGTGCGTTTTATCCTCGTAATTTCACCTCCAAAATAACTTGACATGAATAACAAGACCGTAAAAATTGAGCTACTCGAATTGGTCCGTCTTTTATGACCATTCAAATATTATCTGGGTTAATGAAATAATTGAATCAGAGAATATGAACAGAATAATATTTATCAATCTTTTGTGAAATTTTATCATACAAAAACAAAAAAGAGTTTGTAAGGTAAGGAAAGAGATATTGAAAAATAGAAAAATGAAAATTTGGAAAATACAAGAATGGAAGTTTGAAAGCAGGAAGATGAGAGAGAAAAGATGAAAAATTAAATGCAGATAAACAGGGGAAACTGATGAGAATTGGTGGCTGGACTGATGGGCTATAATTTCAATTGTTTTTTTTATTTTGTAGATCAAAATATTAGATCACATCCAGTTTTTGTTTTGTTGCTTGTTGCTCTTTGCATTTTCAGTAAATTTTGTAACCCTTTGATCTTTTCTCCTTCTTCCTACTATCATCCAAAGTCATCTTATCTAAAGCTAAGAGTTTCTCTCGATTCTCTTCAACTGTCTTTATCCATTTATCTGCCATTATACGCCATGGAACGGTTCCTCCATACTCTTTAGGTAATATATGAACTGGAATACGTTTATGTAATTCATTCAGATCACGAGGAAATGAAAGACGATCCTGTAATTTTTGTGTCATAAAACCAGAGATAAAGATGAGTATAGTTCGTATCAGGTGGGGTAAGTTTAACCAATGAACTTGTTTATGTTTTACAGGAAGTGCTTTCTGCAAAGGAGAGATGGAAAGAAAAAGAGTGAAATTTTAGATAAAATGAGATAATAAGATGGCGATGATGATGATGATGATTGGTAATTAAGCGAAGGATTTAAAGTTATGATGGTGATGGGGAAAGGTAAGCTATAGAGAGGAGTGAAAAGTGAGAGCGGAAACGTTTTGCTATCGAGGACACGTTGTGGGTAAAAATATATTTGTTATTTGAAAAAGATGAATGAAAATGAAGAAGATGATGTAAAAAATTAGTTGATGATGATGACGATCAGACTTACTTCTCCGCTTTGGGCTAGTCTCTTTAACTCTCTGATTCCTAAATAAGTTACTTCAGAGAGACTGACTCCTTCCTGGTCAAATATGTAAACAAATCCATTTTTTTGATTCTCTTCATTGTCCAATAAAATCTCGAAAGTAATTATGATGGAACGAAATAGATCAGTAGGTAAATGGCCGTATTTTTGGTTAAACATTGCACATCGGCCAAAAATGACAGTCCTTCCTCGATCATCTCGCTCAAATAATGGAAAGATGTAACCACGTTTGATAAGATCGTATAAACTTGAATCTCGAATGTCTAAATTTTTGTAACAATAAGGATGGACATTGCGAACCTTCAAGTATTTCTCAAAGACACGACAAGATTCTTCAAAATTAAATTTGCGGAACCGTAGAAACCGAAGTATGAACAAATCATCTAGAAAAATAAAACAAAGGAACAATTAGTTAAACGAGATTCACCAATCAAACCAAATAATCAAATTGAATAGATAACATGCCTTTGAATGAAATATTTTGATATAATCCAGAGTTATTGGACTGAACATGTCGAACATTTTATAATCAAAAATCAGAAACATAAACAAAAATACAATAAAACTCATTTTACTAAACAGCTGAGTATTAATTATCTAAAGTATCTTTTAATACTTAGATATGGATCTAAACTATCGATTGGTATTTTAACGGTTTTAATGTGAATTTGCGGGGAAAATTGGGAATCAAATTGAAAATTATGGAATTGGCATTAATTAAATTGATCAGGAAATTTAAATTAATCAAGAAAGTTGTGACAAACTTACCTGTTCTTGGCGATACAAATTGCGGTTGAGACAAAATCCATTCACGAAATTTTTTAACCAAAACTTCTTCTTGACTTGAGATGGTCATTTTAATTTGAATCTTTCACAGATTTACTATTAAATAATCAAATAGTCACTTGATTGGCACTATAAATTCAATTAAGATGAACTAAGATTACGCGAAATGGGGGTAAATTTGATGCAAAAATTAAGTCTCAAAAAAATCCAAATGAAGGGCAAAATGTTTTCACAAATAGTCACGTTGTAACACCAAAGTAAAGACCAAAGCAATGAAGGTAAATCAACAATCAATAGATGATATATTCATGAAAATCAAAATAAATACTCAGTAGTTGAAACAATTACAGAAACGTATAACTAAATCACAGACAAAAAAAAGTAAAGAAAAGGCAAATTAGATGAAAATTTGTTGTTTATATTTTTAAGGTAGAGGTTATCAGGTTTTGATTTTAAAAATAACTAATGAATTGTCAATGAATCAGGATGGACAGAAGAATAAAAAAGACAGAGAAAAGGTGATGACTGGAAATAGACAGGCATTTAAAGAAAGAGAAGATAAAAGTGAGAAAGTGAGTGGGAAAGGAGGAGTTATCAAGGTGGACCAGCAAAATTGTCTTGAAAACCTGGATTAGGATTAAGACAAAGGAGGATTAAAAAGGATAAGAGCAAAAATGTGGATCGAGCAAAGACAAAAAGGTCTTCTTCTTCAAAAATCTTATCCTTATTCCTATCAAGATGAAAGATTTGTGAAAAAGATGAATAAGAAATTTTCCAGTCAAATCATCTGAACAACAACCAAAATTGTATTTCCTGATATAAAATATCAAATTATTATTGAAATGATCATATTAAGGGTAAAGATAGCTTTCAACGATTGATTTTCCGATTGCTACTTTCACTTTCCTCTAACAACAATCTATCTTCATCCCATCATCATTATCATCATCGTGATACAAATTTACAATCCCAATAATCCTGAATCACTTGTAGGCATATGAAATGAGAAACGTCCAAACATGAATGGATAACCCTAAGGGAATAATAATATCAGATTAATTTCAACTTTTTTTACGGATACTTTTTGATATTGTATTAAAAATAGAATCGACTATAGTATCAACTAAATTGCCCTAATTTTCAGCATTTTTCATTTTAATAACTAATCATCAGCAACAATCAAAATCTCTAAACACCTTTTCTTGTTACTGGTGTTTATCATTGTGTATTTTGTTTAATTGTTGACCTCAAATTCATATTTATCATTTTTGCTTCTCATTACCAAAGTTAGATCAAATGATATTTTTATTGACCAAATAAAACTCAGATTCTGAATAAAGGTTCATTTGAGTTTAAACACTGAATTGAGCAATTATTTTTCGCCTTTTAACTTGAAGCTAATTTTTGCTAAAAAATTGCTTTCATTGCAATTGTCACGCATTCAGTGCTTCATGGTTATCCGAATCGCTGTCTTTTTCACTTGCAATTTCAACGTTACACTCATTTTTTTTGAAAAATAAAACCATTTCTGTTTATTACGCAGGAAAACTATTCATTGTTAATGATTTAAATATCGACTTACTTTCACTAGAAAATTCTTTGGCTGGGAATTCGATTGAAGTACAAGAATAAATCAATACTAATTGGAGGCTGAAAAAGTCATTCAGTCTTCATAATAGTCAATGTACTCACAATAAGGCTTTATGTTTTATAAAGGTTGTAGGGTTAGGGTTAAATATTAAATCAATGAAATGTTATGTGTTTAAGAAGAGTTTATTAGAATTGGTTAGATTGGAGTTAATTAAGAACGGGTTATGGTAACTTTACCATTACGATCAACTCGTTTGGTGACTCGACTGACTTTACCGGGATTTTTTGAATCGTAGGTAACAGTTTCAGTGACGGTACTTCCATCTGGGTTGGTTCGGGTTGATGTTGATGAGGCAAAGTTTGAATTGGAAGCTGCTGATGCAATGGAAGAGAGTCCAGCTGAAGTTGGGTAAAAACCAAAGTTATTGAATCTTGAAGCTTTAGCAACGTTTCCACCATTATCATATGAACTGGTTAAATCCTCAAATTGATTGTTATTTCCATCGTTGTTTGAATCATGATCTACACTTGATGATCCATATGGTTCACCTACGGCTATCCCTTGGGTTGAAGCTGAAGGCCTATTTGATCCAGATGAACTGTGAACGTGAACTAATTTAATTGGATTTGATTCAGTTGACTCGTTTGATCCACTATTGACTGATGATGAAGATTGTCGATTGATTTTGACGGTTGAACCTCCATTGGGTCCACCAAGAGTCTCGATTGTTTCAGTAATCTTTTCACCTTCTGGGCCAGATTTTTCAACCTTAATGGTCTGAGTAACTTTGTTACCAGAATTTTCGGATGAACTGAAATCATCTGGAATATTTAGAGATTGGAAGGAAGGTGATGGAAAGGAATTGAAACCTGAAAAGGAAGGTTGAAAGCCGAATGGATCATTGGAACCAAATGGAGATTGGAATGATGGGACAGAGCCGAAATTTGACATTCCTGGGAAAGATGATCCAAAGAAGTTGCCTAAAGGGAAAAATAACAATTACCATTGAAATTATACATTGAATGTGATAACAAGTAAACTCAAAAACTTACCAGAAACGGCAACAGTCAATGTAAGAAGTCCGGTTATGGGAATGAGAATCATATTTGTTTCTTCTCAACGAATTTGTTTGTACCAAAAGAAGCGAATGATTGGTGTTAATCTTCATTAACACAGTTTTATAGACACAAAGGTAGGAGTTAACCAAATTGAATGACGAACTTTTCAAGACAATGACTGTCGTAATGATCAATTGATCTATGATTAGCCTCAACATCACTACTCGACTCATTCCAGCCGGTAACATAAGATTAATTACCCAATTGTTTGTATGGTTGACAGGAAATATTGATCATAAGAGTATCGTCATTGAGAAAATAGCAAAGCTTCAAATCTACAGGTCAATTAACCTCAGATGAATGGTAAGAGTTAAGAAATCTGAAGCTAGACCGAGAGTTTGATTTGCGTATTTAAAGGACAGTTTAGAGTCCGATATCTGTTGAAAATACTCAATGTTCATTGCTTGTTTAAAATCACTTTCATGGTTAAACAGATGCTTTAAAGACGAGTTTATGATGAATCAATATTTTATCAAAATTTGTTGACAAATTTTTGCTCCATTCAAACGATTGAAAGGTGGTGACTTTGAATCCTTGTGAATATTTTTCAGCATTGAGACCTACAGCTGCATGATTATGCCTTCGTAATGTTAATAATTTTGATTTATTGCGTTTCATGCGTTGATTTGGGTAAATTGTTTTTTTGCAAAATTGAATCTGATTGTTTCTTTACAGTATTGGTAAATGTAAAAGTTAACAATGTTTATACGAATGTCATCATGGAATACGAGAAAATATGTTCACTGATGATTAATAATGAGCATCATGAAAGATATTTAGATAATGATTTTGGTTCAATCAATAATCATCATTCTAGATGTTTCAATCGATTTAGTCAATATCTTTTTAAATTGGACGTGGAAATTGTTAGCTAAACAAATATTTCTAGTCAATCACAATTTGAATTGCGTCATTATTGGTTGATTCTAATGAACCGAGTTTTAAATTAATTTCAATCATAATAATATTATTTATTATTATTGATCGAAAATCAGTTGAATTAGTGCGATAGAAGTAAATATTGCTGTTTTACAACATTTTATTGAATTTTTAACACCAAACAAGATTCTATTTACATCAGAAAAAGATTGAATTGCAAAAATTTTGCTCACATTTGATTAGATTTGAGTATAACAATAAATGTCTTCAATGAAATAGATTGAGTTCTATATGAGTTAACCAGAATAAAGGTAGGAATGATGTCTTGGCAAGGAGATGATGAAAATTTAAAATGAGACGAATTTGAGACAGGTAAAGTAGTGTCATGAAAACGTTGAACAACGATGAAATTACAATAAAATTAGAATAAAACCACACGATATTTTATCCATGTTTTTGAGCCATTGTATTTTAGATTCAATAAACTAAATAATGTCATCTGAACAGCGAAGATAATTGATATAATATAATCAACAAAACAACAATAATTAACGACTTTTTCCAAAACGTATACGCAATTGTTCAAAAAATATAAAGGTTAAAACAGTTTGAGGTCCAAGTCTGACGAACGCAGGAACATAACCTGTTAGAAGAAAAAAGAGTAAAAGAGATTAATAATTGTTGTTTCAACAGAAACTCGAATACGCGCTATGAAATGATGATTACCTTTGAAGAAACCTAAAGGTCCACACTCTTTAAAAACTGTACCCGCACAGTGTGCTATGCCTCTGTAAACTCCGGGCGGTGCGTTCATCATACGAGTTTTTATTACATCTAATGGCTGGGTCATGGTTGTAGCACAAGCTCCAGCCAGGAAACTTGCACTAAAATGCGTGTTTAGATTGTCTTCGAAAACATTTGGAGCATATTTCATCATCATGTACTTGAATTGATCATACATAGATATTTGACCGATCGTTATTAAGGCAGCTCGAGAGGTGGCTGAAGTTGCTCCATTGAATAATCTGGAAACTCCTTCGCGTTTGTAAACTTGAAGTATACCATCGAATGCATGAGCATAACTGGAATAGACAATAGAAGAAATTTATTAGTTATTGATGAATTTGATACTGGATATACAATTAATGAATAAATGGAAGATTCGGGATGGCTAATTGAAATCAATGATTCGTGAGATCAGCTTTTCAAGCATTCACAGCTTATTTGTAAATCAATTATTTGCCTCGCAAGAGGTATGAGATAGCAAACAATTAACTGCAATATATATTAAATTGATTTGAAGAGGAAATGAAAGATTAGATTTTCATCAAACTTGGCAACAAAGAGTATAATTTGATATCCTGTCTATCACTTTTGAACAAATGACGGTTCGTAGGGAAACTTACAAATTTAAATTAATTTATACTCAACATTGGCTAATTGTCATTCTATCAGAGGACTAAAATGTTATTCAAATTTAACCGAATGTCAAATTTAAATCAGTTATGAACTGTGAGTGTTGCATTTTGATATGAATATATCCTTGAATTAATCATAGCTAATTGTTGTCAAGCCTTTGAGTTGATATTTCCCTCTATCATTTAATAGATCACTCCTGTCTAATTTTCATTTAACTCATATCAATTTTGCTTCATTGCAGTCATGAAAAGAGTAAATTAAACGAAAAATCATGAAGATAATTTGATGGTTGTTTCCACAAGATGATATAGGAAAAACAATGGAAATCTTGAGAGGAAACCATTAAAGCAAGAAAAAAATCATTGATTGTAGGTGTAGTTCAAGAGGAGAGATATGCTTGTATTGATTTAATTGCTTACTTTCTTCTCTCATTATATGGTAATTTGATATCATTTTGCATTCTAACATTAACCATATCTGCCGGAGTTCCCACGAAGCCACCAACAGCACCAGAAAAAGCAGCAGCTAAAACTTTTTGGTAGAATGGCATATTGGGTATACCTTTAGGGTCATTTGGGTCAATTGTAACTAATCTTTGCTTGATTGCTTCGTAAACAGCAAATCGAGTAGTTGAATAAGTAAGCTGCCTTAAGAGACACGCAGTAAGACCATTGTAAAGCGCAATGACTCCTTGACTGCGAACAATTGAACTTGTTGTTGTGAGTAGAGTAGCTTGGACATGGCCTCCTTGTTCTGCAAAGCTGGTTTGAAGGTGGACTTTCAACAGATCGAGTGGATGAGTACAAGAGGCTGCCATGGCAGAAGCAACACCACCAAAGTACCATCGAGCAACTTTAAGTTCACTTCGTTCCGACATTTTGACAAATATACGATGATCTTCAGTTTAAAGATGGCACTATGACTGTTTAAAACCAATAGATCTGGATCACAGGGTATTCAATAATTAATTCACAACTTGTCAGGTGAAATATGATTTAAATTGATGAAGAAAGTTTAGCGATACAACTGACAAGAGTCTCACAGAAAAAAATGCTTTTTATAAAGCTAGAAGTTGTGATGATAAAAATAATATTGAATGATTATTCAAATGTCGAAGTTGGACCAGTGCTCAAAACGATTACTTTCCCGGTAAATTTACCCGAGTTATGACTTCATTGTAAGTCATTAACCAATATAAGAAACAAAGTGAACACCATGAAAACACGGGGAATACTGATGATGGGGAAATACAGGTATTTTGAAGAGATTCAAGAGGATAAGTTGATAGAGCTCATCAGATGGGTTGTTTTGGTTGACTTTGGTTGGATACCTAGATATTGCTTTCTCTCCTTTAGTTCTCCTTCCTAATAAATGATATTCCTGGAATAGACCCTGTTATAAATGAATATGGGATTCATAATAAATAATGTTGCAGCAATAACCAACAATATTTCCTTCCAATAAAAACGCCAATAGCTTTCTTTCAGACCAATAAACTCGGTTTGTCAGGTGTAACCCAGGCAAATGTAAAATTACTCGCTTGATCACTTGACTTGTATTCCTTAATTTTTGTAAATGTAGATAGATCTTCCAGTCACCAATTGAATCTGAAATAAAGATGAAATAGAGAAAATAAGCAACAGTCAAAAATAGCAACAGCACAAAGACAATTACACTTTGTTTACAATAGCGCAAGAAATATATAATTTGAACCATACCATTAAATTGATAGAGATAACAATGATAATAATGAAAGATTATTATTACTGAGACACTTAATTAATAATCTAAATCTTCACATTGTACATAAATGACTTTAATAATACTCAAGATTAAATGAGATCAAACAGGCTTCACAACCCAGGTTGAACACAAGAACCAAAATGACATGTTTGTCCAGTTCCATCTGATGGTTTGTACTCAATATAGACTGTTGCTTTTAAATGAACTCAATTTGAATCGTATGTGTTATTTGACTCTTTGAGCACTTATTGCGTAAAATATTATTATAATATCACGACTTGCGTATAGACTAGCTTTTCATGTTGACGCATTTACCTTGACTTAATTTTCAATGGATTAACTTTGAATTTCACAGATGAAAATAATTGCAATGCTCATAACCATAAGCGCATCCAACACAGATTTATTATAATTGGATTGATCCTTAGAATTTTTAAAATTGTTTCGTTTCCAAAAATTGATAGTTTCATGATAACAATAAAATAAATGAATTGAACAACCAGTTCTCTCGTAGATCCCTGGTAACATCTCATGGATGAAATATTTTAGGTGTTGCAGAGGTTTGAATGGAAAACTATTATTTTGCAGTAAATCGATAACCTAATAATATGCTTTAATGGTCAAGTAATTAATTCATATAGACCATTGCAAATGTTTTCTTCCTACAAATTGGCCTAAGAAACTTTAAAACCAGATAAGAATTATATTATAAATTCAATCCTTTAGCTAAAGCAATCTATAACAGTAGCAAAAGATAGAGAAAGTTTAATGAATCAAGGACATTACACTTTGATAAAAACCAACGGTGAGCTGGATATAAATGATAACCCTAAGTAACTTTATATGAACAGTATGAGACAAAAATTACATTGAAAATCTTGTAACAATGAATAAAAATTCAATCTTTACATGATTGTACATGTATATACTAACTAAATAACAATTATTTTATGGCAGATAAGCAAATTTGTTCATAATCCAATGGATTTAGGTAAACGAGCGAGTTCTATAAAAGAGTTTGCACTTGATTCAGGAAGACAAATATGAAAGATTGAGTCTGGCGATTAATGATGATTGTTCATTTGGCTTTTGAGCTGTTTCAGCACGCTAATAACAATATCACGAAGAGTAAGAGGTTTACAATGTTCTTCGAGCCAACCGAAAATACCTCCTGAGAGTTCATCAAAGTTTTTGACGGTCACTGCAGCATCAAACGATTGGAAAAGTGAGTCGCAAATTGCTTGGAACACTTGAAATTTGACATCTTCACTGACTTGATTACAAGTTTGTCCAGGTTGAGCTAGTTGATGATGTTTAACAATACGTTCATAATTGGCTTTCATTATCTGCAGAGCAATAACTTCTTTGCGAAGTGACTATCGGGAAGAAGGTAAAAAAAGACAAATTATTAGAAGAAACAATGATAAAGAAGCTTGTGGCTGCGCAATATAGCAAAGCGTATTTAAGTTGAATTGCCTTCATCAAGGCCTTTTGAGTTAAAATTAATGTCTCATAAATAAAAAAGAGCCAGCATTGGCAAAAGACGGGCTAAATATCTTTGATAGTAATTCATTTTTTTTAGGCTTGAGAATTGCGAATTAAAATTTGACAATGGTCTTAGGCCTAAAAAGATCAAACACATTGCTGGCTCCATACTGAATATACTTTTCCTACCTGTAAATCTTCTTCTTCTTTTTTTTGCTGCACCTGCATATACTGTATATACTCAATCGATCTTTGTAGGATTGTAGCTTTGCTGAGTTTGTAACTCGACACAGAATCTTGCTGAGCACAAGTTGGAACTAATGATTGAAGCTCTTCATATCCTTTTTTGATAGCGTCTCTTCTTTTCTGTTCAGCCATGGTATGAGCCTCACGACGCCTCTCTTTGTAACTTGTTGTTGACTTGTGATCGGAATCTTCATCATCAGTGGTCAACGAGGCATCAGTATTGTGGGTAGAAGAAGCTGAAATCATGGCGATTTCTGTGTTCATGAACGTAAGCTGATATCTAGATGGCTACAACAGTGATGAGAAAGAACGTCAGAAAAGATAAAATTCATATGTTAATAAAACTATAGAAGTTGAGAGTAAATTATACTTACCAATCTAGTGAAAGTCAGAGGTTTTGTTTCAAAATTGGGTTAACAGTACCATAAGTCAGAACGGACGCTAAAGAAGAAGTAAAGATCAGTTAGATTAATCGGTAAAACAAAAACAATTAAGAGCTACTGACTATGTATAGTATATTATCGTTATCGGGATGTTAAGGTTTCAAGTTTAAAATTGTCTGATTACTGTGTTGATACTTGAGATCTCTTCACAACCATATCAGCCAGCCGAAGAGGGAAGAGTTTAAGTTGTAGAATTAAATATAAACACTTGTGACAATATATTCAATTATTGTTTAATTGTAAAATTAAAAAATTAAAAAATTAACAAATTAACAAATTAATATCTTGATAAGCATGGAGATCAGATTGAAATTCAGACATAAGTATCAGTGAAGGAGTAAAGTAGAAAACAAATCAAGTTGAACATGGTAGTCGCGAAGGAAGAAAACAAGGTTATTAAGTAACTAACATTTCAACAGGTTCAATAATTTTAAAGTTGGTGCAAGATATTTCAAATATATTGTCGCCTCTGGATGATTTTCTGGTATATTTGTTGAACATATTAGTCGTGAGAACTGACGAGGAGACATTTCACAAGCTAATAAATGCGACTTGATTAGAAGACAAACAAATACCAATTACATATGTTAGTGAATAGAGCTTTCACTACAACGCCACCGTAAGTAAACAAAAACCGTTGTAATCTTCCGAGATCGCCACAAAGATGGATTTAAATAGATAACAATGAAATAAGATCAACAGAAAGAGTAAAATCAACACAAAAATGTTAATTAGATTTTAAATTTAAATCTCCACCAAAACTCACAAGTTCCAAAAGACTGAAGCTAAAAAATATTGCCTACTGGCTTCTGAAGGATTATATGTTTGCAAAACAATTGAAACTTGTAATTTAGGTTTTACGAAATAAATACTGTGTTAAGTAAACATTGAAACTAGTCGGTAATTAGTGAAATAATTAACAGCTTTATTACTAGAATGTTAATAAATTGCTAGAATAAAGATTCAAAGTTAGTTAAATTTGAAGATGGCGCTTCCAGCTGGATAATCTTTCATTGGTTGAAGGGTTTTGTATACATTACAGTGATTGGCCAATCAAAATTAGTTCATCTGAATTCGACTGTTGACATTCTAAATTCAGACGATCATTTCTGAAATGTTTAAATATTTCAGTTTTCTAAAGTTTATTTGGTATTTTTGGTGTTAGAGTGTTGTTATCCTTGTGATCTTCATTTTTCTGATAAAATGTCAGAACTATCTCTGGTTGATCCAACATGGGAAATGATTGATCCTAATCCCAATATTTGGTCCCTTTTTGCTGATTTTGATAAAAGATTTTTTAACGGCACGTTAACTTCAAGTTTCGTTGAATTGATGTGGTCTTCCAATCGTATGACTTCTACTGCTGGACTTTGCTGTTGGAATCCTAGAAACAATTATGCTACAATTAAACTATCATTGCCTTTGCTCCAGCTCCGTTCAAGAGCTGATTTGGTTGAAACTTTGCTGCATGAGATGATTCATGCCTATTTGTTTGTTACTCGGGAAGATGATAACCACGAATCTCACGGGCCCAAGTTTCATATGCACGTGTTCAGGTAAGATTATCAAAACTCCATAATTCCATTATTGCATTGAGTTGCCATTCATTTACTATGTGTTTCTCTTTATAGAATCAACAAACTGGCTCGTACCAATATAACTGTTTATCATACTTTCCATGATGAAGTCAGATCCTATCAACAGCATGTTTGGAAGTGCGATGGTCCTTGTGCATTAAGGCCTCCGTATTACGGCTATGTCCGTCGTGCAAACAATAGAAAACCTGGCCCTTATGATTATTGGTGGAGTCAACACCAATCTAACTGTGGAGGAAATTTCGTAAAGATTTCAGAACCAGAGAAGGTTGTGAAACCTAAACAGAACGGAAAAAGCAAGCAGGTAGCAGAAGTAAAAAATAACAAACGTATCCTCGATTTTTTCAAGACAACTTCACCTATTAACAGTCCAAACAATAAAAGTCCAACCACAAGCAGTCCATTGAATAATAAGATAGAAACGAAAAGTACACCGCTGAAATCAAGTCCAACTATTAAACACGCTGATATCAGACATTTCATCTCACCAGTCAAATCTCCCGAGCCTGAAACAACGTTTCCTGGTAAAGGTCATCGTCTTGGTTCTGCCTCAGAACTCGACAAACCTGTCAAAAAAATGAGGCTAGAAGATGTAGAAGTTGGTGAGGTATCGAGTAGTCAAGATAGATCTTTGCCTACCCATCTAATTAGTCAAGATACGGTCAAACCTATCCTTGCAATGAAAACTGTTAACTTCCTTCAAAATGGTAAAAGGACAATGCAAAACTCTGAATTACCAGACTTGCTCTCTCAAATTGTAAATAAATCTACTTCCTCCACTGAATCAAGCAAGGAAAACCGCGCGGAGTCGTCTTCTGGACAGAAACTAAATCACTCAAGCCATTCAGCAGTTACTTTATCAGATGACGAGGACTTCACCTATGATCTTCCCGATTTTGACATTGACGACTCTATTATCATTGAAACTGTCGTAGATAATCGAAACGAACAAGATGTTGCTAAAAGTCTAGCTGTTGATTTAAATCAACCCTCTACTTCGAAAGTTCAAGAGCCAATACATAATCCAGATGAGGATGAAGATGATTTCACTTATGATCTACCTAATTTTATACCATTTTGTGGACCTGGACATAGACTGGGTTCTGCAGTCACCAATAAAGCCCCTTCCCGGCAGTCAAAAAATTCCACTAATGTGATTCAGCCTAAACTAAACAATGCTCAAAAAACTCAAGTCATCAACCTTATTTAAACCATTTTCAACTTTTGATATTTTTTTATCATTGTTTATTGCGTTAATTATGAGAAAAGCGGGTCTTCTACTGTTGGATCTTTAGATACATTCATGTTTAATAGATGAATTATATCTGAAAATAATGCCATCAATGAATTAAAACTTGAAGAAAACTTTTTTTAATGTCTATCTAATCTTTATATTGAATTCGGTGCGTGAAAATGGTTAACGTGATATAATCACTTAATAGCACAGCATAAAATCATCAACCTAGACTCGATTAACAATATAATCAATAGTAATTAACAATTTGATTAACCACTGATACGTGTAAGATGATCACCGCAAGTCAAATTAATTCCAGCTGATTTTGTTGAAAAAGTTGGGATAAGTGTGTTATTTAGAAGAGACATATTCAAGGCTTTCAGTTTAACCTTGCATGTTTACCTTTTTCTTCTACTGCTCTGAAAATGTTAAAAAATCATGTGAATCGTAATAAGTAATGTTTAGAATAACGTACAAATTTTTTGACGGTTTACATCAATTTAGTCATTTAGTTGCGATAAGAAACCCATCTATTTCAGGCTATGGAGCTCGGTTGATAAGTGTAAATCGAGTGACATGTTCCTCACATCAACAACCCAAACCTAATTCTGATGCAATCGGCGGTTATGGTGAAGAAGAAAGAATCGTCAAATGTCTGACGGATTCTAACTTGGGACAAATTCAAGGAAAAGTGAATCTAGAATGGAAGGCGGTAGAGAAACCGGATAACCTTAAATCAATAGGTTACTATCTTAAATTAAGCCAATTTCGACTTACAAGTTTGGTTGCACTGACTACATTGGCCGGTTGGATGGATTGTTTGCAATTTGATCCTGTTATCGCCAGCGTATCTCTTATTGGTATTGGTCTAACTTCTGTCGCAGTAGCAAGTCCCAATCATTTTTTGGAAATACCGCATGATTCACAAATTATGAGAACTCGAAATCGTCCCGCAGTACTCAGTCAACTTTCTTCTGTACCTGCTTTTTCGTTTTCTACGATTTCTGGAACAGTTGAACTCATTGCAGCAGCAACTTTCATTAATTCTTTGACTGTGGCATTAGGTGCAGTTAATCTAGTCCTTAATTCATCTGTATATAAACCCATTAAACAAACGAATGTCAATATTTCTTTGATTTACCCTGGTTGGAAATTCAACAGATGGATTCAGCTGTCTGGAAAATCTTCATTCTCCTCTTCTCCTTCTCCTTCGACACCCTCTCCAGCGCCTGTATCAACCCATGAATCTAATAATGGCCAAAATCAAGCTTCTATAATAATCACAGATAGTTGTGCTCAACGATTAAAACAAGTGAGCGGAGATGGTGAATTTCTTCGAATTCAAGTTGAAGGCGGTGGATGTCAAGGATTTAGCTATAAATTTGATTTAGACAATCATATCAATGATGACGATATTATATTCCAAAAGGATGGTAGCTCGGTTGTTGTTGATAGCACTAGTTTGGAATACATAAATGGATCAATTGTTGATTATTCTTCTGAATTGATAAGAAGCTCTTTCAAAATTGTTAACAATCCTCAAGCCTTACAAGGTTGTTCTTGTGGTGCTTCTTTCACAATTAAACTTGATTAATTTAAAAGCCCTATTTAAAAACTAATTTCTGTATCAAACGTGATTAGTGACTATTGTTATTTTATCGGATCTGAGATCTATTCAGTTCAATTATAGCTGTTTGCTTTCATTGGATGAAATTTATGTTGATTGATGATTCCTAATCAGTGAGTTAGGGTTGCTACGGAGATAAATAGATTGGATAAATTGCAAAGATCTGCTTCTGTAAGTATGAATAGATATTACTGCTAACTTTAAATTGTATTATTACCATAACCAACCTCATCAATTTTTATTATTATTGCTTTAACATCACTTTTGCTTCTGATTATTCACCTATTTGGTGTGCCAATCTTTATTAACTTGTCTTATGTGTCTATATTTTTCTTCGTGTGTCAACTTATTTTTCAAACCTTCACAAAAAGTCACTTCTCCATTCTTTGTTGACTAATTTTTATCACCTTGTTTACCTCTTTTTTTTCATTGTTTTACAGCGTGACTACACCCATTGTCTCTAGTATTGTTTCCTGTGATTGATTACTTGAGATCTCAATTAACAAAGACAATTTTTTCTGCGCTTTGATTGTTTCTTGTTTTTCAAGTCAACCTGTGAAAGTTTGAGCCACAATGTCTAATGATGACAAAATTTCCAAGTTGCGAAAGATCTTTCTGGAAGAAGCATCTGAAGAGAGTCACCTTTATGATCCACAGGATATTGACCAGTTGAAAACAGATGATTGGTCGGTGGAAAGGTATCTTCTCCATTGCAAGGGAAACATTGAATCCGCCTTGCCCATGTTGAGAGAATCCATGAGATGGAGAAAATCCTTTGGCGTCAACAATCTCAAAGAAACTGATTTTCCAAAAGAATACTATTTATCTGGAAGTTTTTTCACATATTTACCCGATCGAAAGGGAAATGCCATGGTCTATATTAGAGGGAAACTTCACCGTAAAATAGCTGAATGGTCTGAAATACATAAGAAATTCTTTGTTTTCATCATCAATAAATTAGACAAGGAAATGGGTGGCCATCGTTATGCTGCTTTTTGGGATTGTGAAGGTGCAGGATTAGCAAACGTTGACACTGAAATGCTCTCATTTATGGTGACCACAATTTCATCCTACTTTCCTTATGGCTTGGAATATGTTTTACTTCATGAACTTCCATGGGTTCTCAATGCTATCTACCATTTAGCCAAAAGTTGGGTTCCCGAACATTATCAAAGACTCGCTGTTTTCGCCAATCGAAGCAACATCACTGATTATATTGCCCCTGAAAATCTTCCCGATTATCTGAATGGAACTTGTACAGTAAATTATCGCAACGTACCAGAAGGAGTTCCAACTGCTCGAGAATGTGAATTACGCTATCAGCTGCTTGAAAATTCAGCCTACAAACTGGAAACCTATTTAGAGAATTACTGTCTAGAATCATGATGGGTAGAAAACAATTAAAGAGAAAAGGAAAATCAACAATTTAAATAATTTTGTAGAATCTTAATATCTTTGGTATTATTTAACTTCAATCAAAACTCACCCAAAAAGCAGTTCTAAACACATAATCAACCTGTTGTGATCTGAATGGATCCCAATCACAATGCTTTACTCAATTATTCAGGATCTCTTTTTTATACTACAAACTGGACTCAAAACATTCACAAGTGCCTCGAAAAAAAACAGTCAAATCTAAATTTCGTTATCATGGTAACATTAAGGTTAACGACTCTTCAATATGCTTTCAACTATCTATTTTTTTCTGCATTTTCCTCCATTTCTCTATTTTTTCTATTGATATACAAGTTTTTTGTTTATTTTAAATATTTCATAATAAGACTGTTTACTGATGACGCTCACTCTAATTGTCAACCATAAACGTTTTTAGACACTAATCAACTCGTAATTTATTCAACTCCAACTAGTACAAAGTAAATGTAAATCAAGTAAAGATGATGAACAAAATAACGCGAAGATAAATAAAGCTGTGGCGATCGACTCACAATCAGCGCAACTCGGCTTAAATCATTGTTAAATCCAACTGACCATGTCATAATTATTTATAAATTTACAACAATTCTGTAATAATCCAAAATTAACGCTTATTCCAACTGGTAGTACAATGACAACATTTACAGAGAAATTTAGTTTCACATAAAATGATTTATTTTATCAAGATTGTACATATAATTTTAACTCAAAAATAGTGCATCCAAGTGCAATTAACTTATCGTGAGTTTAATGGTGTATTTTCAAAAAGTCAATAAGATTAATTAGATAATTCAAATAATTGATGATCAGTAAAAATGAAATATTGAAAAATAAGGCTTCAATGAAAAAAAAGTTGATTTGTGAAGATGATTGTGATAATGGTTTGTGCAGTCTCGATTCAGTCCATCATTGTAATTCCTTAATGATTTTGATTTACATAAGGTCTCACAGTTAATTTAATCTTCCTTTTAATGGACATCAACTGATTAACTTGGGCAATATTATGACTTTTAACATCTAATCCATCAATAGCAACGATTTCATCGCCAATCTCAAGTAATCCAGTTAATATGGTTTGTGTTTGCTCATCTCGCATCCGAGACACAAAAACACCTGTAAATAATTAATGAAAAGATTAATACAATTGAATCACAAAACTGAGTATTGATAAATAATTTCAAGTCAAGTCGCAATTACTAAGTGCAATAGAACCGAAAATTGATAAACCAATTTTCACTTGAAAAATTCCTCACCAAACATCGGCAATCAAACAGATCAGCTTACCTTTAACATTATTAACTGTTCCTCTAGCCAAGAAAAAGCCAAATGGTTTACTTTGTGGTCGATTCAATTCAATTACCTGTGAACCATCAGCTTTTAATTCAATCAATTCACCCCATAGTTGATTAGATTCTTGATTGTAATTTTTTTTGGCATTAACGTTGTTCCATTTGGTTTTACTGAAAGCACAAAAATACACAGAATTATTAATTACCAGAAAATAAATAATTGATTATTAAAATAACGATCATTTCTTGATGTTAAACATTGATTGACAAATTGAAACACTTTGAGTTAAATATTCATCACAAAAAAAAACGATTCATTAGTTTAAAGTTAATGATGTTTACCATTGCAATTGGTCTAAATCACATTTTGACTCGACTTTGATTAACTAAAAATGCTGATTCCATTATAATTACTGTTAATAATGATGTCAACTCAACGATAATGATTGGATCAATCAATCTGAAAATGATAGGTTAGGATAAAAATGATCATTGAGGACATTAAACATGAGATTAGCCTTAAGCCTGAAATGACAAAATTGAAAAGGTTTCTCCATTTAATTATTGTTCAATGCGATCCACAATTGTTTAATGGACAGTTTTTAAGCTGCAAATCAATCCGATTAAATTAGCATACAGAAATTAATCCATTGCTATTAAACCTGATTCCTCTTGCCGACTCTTGTACAGAAACAAATATTTCAAAAATTAACCACACACTATGAAATTATAATTAGCCGTTTAAGCATTTAACTTTCGCATTCACTCAACAACTTTAATTGCATTACAATGATAATCAAATGTCATAATGATGCTTCACTATAAAGGCAAATGAAGATGAAAAATGATGATCAACAATGATCAAGTCACGATTTGAAATGAAAAGGCAAAATTATTCAACATTCACTTTCATAGAAATTCATTTTGCAGGTAAAATTAACAGAAATATTTCCTAGAATTGAATGAAAAAAATGCAAAATTGCATTCATTTTAATCACAATCAGTTAATCAACCAAATTAAGCCATAAATCAAATTCCTAATTCACAAAATTCAAAGTGTAACAATTTTCTCGCATAAAATGACTATAAATTGCAAGGAAACAATTGTTTGATATTTTTACAAAGCGTCAAAATGATTAAATTACAAAAGTTTCAATTATAACAATGAAATTGATTAACGGTTAAACTAAACATTAATCAAAACATTAACAACACTGAATAAATTGAATGTTAATTGGCAAAGGTAAAGATTACAATTAACCATTGAATAGGTTTACACAGCAAACAAGAGAAACCAAAATAGCAACTTTTACCCTTCCTTTAAGCCTAACAATGAGAATGAGAAGAAATGTTAACAATACGAAAATGATTATTCATTTTGATTAAGAAAGCACAATTTAAGGTTGAATCGTCGACAATTAGATGCAACAAATTATAAAGTTACCAGTTGATTATGATTTACTTGCAATGAAAACAAAACAAGAAGAGCAACAATTTGATTATATTGAGCTTTTTATATTTCCAGCAAACAATTTAGAGCTTTATTTTGGGTCTTCATTTTGAGATGGTAATTTGAATGATAACCAGGCAAGATTGTTAAATAATGTACCAGGAAGAGCATAAACTCATCTTAATTAACAAAGTTGATAATCAGTTGATTGTCTAAGCATCAAGTTTCATGTTAGTGTGGGTTTGGTAATTTGATCATCATTTAATTGTAACCTTTCTCTTGATCATTATTAACCAAATAGATTATGATTTTGATTGATTTGTATGGAAACTCACGATTGTGAACCAAAATACAGTCAAACATACAATTTGATGAAAATTGTTCAATTTGTTCATCATTCAATCCTGTAATAAAATCTAATGTAAAGGGTTTCCTTTTTTGATAATCTTTCATGAGATCAACCTTATTTTGTTTCATGTAAAACACTCAATGATTGATTAATGTATAATTTCAATTGAAACAACACAATATTTAGATGAAATTTACAAGCAAAACAAGAGTCAATTGAAACACTTTAAATTGATTACTATTAAAATGGATTGGTTAAAAAAGGTTGATGTTTAAGGTTAAATCTTGATTGTTATCCCTTTCAATCTTAATAATTAACAATGATGCCAAGGAATGTTTCATCTTTTAATTTGTGTGTGGCAAATGAAGCCCAACCATTGAAATAATCAACAGTCAATATCAACTTGTCATGTTAACCATTAATTAAAGTGTTTAAATCGACTACAATTAACAATATAACATGAAACTGTTTCATTTGATTTTTGAAGCTTCACTTTTTTTCACATTCACTTGTTAAACTTGCTTTCCAATAACCACACACTTATGTTGTATTAATGCTTGTTAAATTGATCACAATAATTAACTTTTATGGATCATTGATTTTGCTGGATTTAATTTTCTATTTGATTGTTAACTCTTTCATTAACTTTCAATTTTTTTCAAAGCTACAAAAAAGATTGAAAAGTCTGTTTTGCTCAAATTGAAATATTTATCCTTTTGCTCAGCAAATTGAACAATTTGACTCAATCAATCAAACATTCAAGATTTGGTAAAAATAAATTGTCCAATTTGTGACAATTGTAAAGGGAAAATTTAGACTCACCTTTCATCTTGTTTTTCAATTTGATTAATTGAATTGTCTTTGTCTATTGATTTGCTTTTTCCCTTTGTTTTTCTGAAGCTCATACGATTTTTAACCGTTTTAACAAATGATTTTAAATCAATAGATAAATCTTCAGTTGAATGATTCTTTTGCAAAGAATCGGTCGACTCAAGTTTAGAATTAAGATTTGGCGTTGATTTGGACGATGAAATATGGTTTACACTCGCAACCGCCAGTGAGCTTTTCAAATTGGCTGAAGCTGTTAAAGACGAAGCTAAAAGTGATGAATTGGCTGTCGATTGATTATTGCTCAGATGATGATCTTTGGGTATTTTATCAGTGCTAAAAGCTCGAGATAAAGCTTTCCTTAAGCCACCAATCCGTTTGGATAACCATTTATTTGAAGCTCCTTGGACTGTGGCCTGAACTGGTTGTGCTGCACAATTTGCCTGATTCACTCCATCGTTAACATCCATAGCAAATCGAGTCACTTTGACGATTGAATTGTTACCAGGCGATGACAACTGTTTACCTTCAATCATTGACCTTGCCTGTTCATTGAATTTATAATGAACTGGTGTTGGCGATTGTTGAGGGAAAGTTGAATTTTGAGTTGAATGGTGAGGTAAATGGTGTGGAGCATGATGAAGATATGAATGATTAAGATGATTAGGACGGTTAGCTTCATGTGAATCTTGCTTTTTTGTCACTGATTTGCTAATTGTTGCATATTCAACTTGACAAGTTTCCTGTGATTCATTTTTTTGCTCTTCATCTTTAATCTTGAGCAACATTGTTACGCTTGTTGGTGCCATTGTTGGCTTTGACTTGGATGAAGGTAAAGGATAGATTTGATCGGGTTGCAGGTAAGCAGCTTCACATGGATCATCCATTGGTTTGTTGGTTGATGATAAAATACCGTTGCAAGATGAATAAGTGGCCATCATTTTTGGTGCAACATTGATTTGTTTGAGTTGTTGATTTTGTTGGTTCATTGATTGGCTTGAAGAGGAAGAGATTAGGTGAGTTGATGGTGAAGATGGTGAGCCTGATGAGATGAAGTACGGACCATTAATCTGTAAGGCCATTGGCATGGTTTTGTCTTGTTTTTGTACAAATTTATCTTCATCCTTTTCTTTTCCTTGTTTTCCCTCTTCTTGTCTTCTTCCAACCTCTTCATCTTCTTCTTTTGCAACAGCTTCACCTTCACCTTCACCTAAATACTGTTCATTATTATCTGCCAATTCCAATTTCCTCTGATTATCCTTCATTCCTTCATCATTAACAGAATCTTCAACTTGCTTTCTAACTTTACCATCTTCCTCTCCACCAAAATGAATTGATTGTAAAGGCCAATTTGGTGAACTTGTTGAACTACGCTTAAGTATTGACCTGTAATGGATTCCGGTTGAGATCGGGTTAACAGTTTCATCATTGATGTTACTATTGGCATGAGTTTTCTCAAGATTATGATGAAAATGATGATGATGGTGTTGGCTATGAGAATGATGAGGTTGATACTGAGGAAAGTGATGTTGAGCAATGTTGCCATCCTGACTTTCAATGCTTCGTTGACCATTTGATGGTTCACTCTCATTGGAATTAACTGATAATTGGTTTGATTTCCTTTCAACTGAATTACCGATTAAAGCTTTGGATTGAACCAGCGACTCCAAAGGAAGCAAAGGCGCCGTTGCTGATGAGCTTCCAGTTAAACCAGATTCTGGTTCATTAGAGGTTGAGCTTTTCCCACAAGGAAATATCGCTTCATATTGATGATCAAGATTATCATTCTCTTTAATATCGTCTTCCATTTCATGGAATTCAATTTTTTTACTATTTTGACTTAAATTGATTCGTTGAAAGTGTTGATTGCTATTAAATTGAGGTGAATACTCAATAGACTGGTTGCTATACAAGTGACCATTAGCATTGTTATTAATTGGCGTCATTGAATGAGATGGACGATTAACTGATTTGGTTGCCGGTGAAGATAAATTAACTTGATTATTTGTAACAAAATTTACAGCAGCAACGGCAGCAGCAACCGCTTTATCAACAGAAACTTTATCATTAACAATTGATGAAGCATCATCACTAACAACATTGGCCACCGAAGCAAAGGCACAAACCATTGAATCAGTAGACTCCAAAGGATCGATTGTACACAATTTGGTAATTTTGGGTTCATTTGATCCAGTTGTGTTACTGATTGATTTGTCTTTTGAATTGTTTAAAGTTGAACAACTTCGACTTTTTGACATGCAAGTTGTTGAACCTGTTGATGTTTTGGTTGTTGTGTTTATTATTGCTGGTGTCGTTGGTGCTAATGAGGATGATTTTTGCGTCTTTAATCCATTTGGTAAAGTACTTAATTTAGATAGTTTTGTTGAATCAGGAGATGATCTAAAAGATGAACTGAGAGACAATTTAACTGAATGAGATTCTATGAGATCAGGCTTTTTAGTATCTAAAAATGATTTTCTGGTTCCATTTGGTAAAGTTGATTGGAAATTGTTGCGATTCTTTTGATTAAGTGTACTTGTCCATTTGGCATTGTTGTTGGTTCCAATCTTGTTATTACGAGGTAATGTAGACCAGGATCTGTCAATTGGTTTAGAGATAGTTGTTACTGAACTTGAAGATGAAGATGATGGCGATGGTGTTGAGGATAATGAGGTTGTTAAAGGTGTTTTCAAGGGTAAAGGTGAAGGGATTGTGAGTCTACGATGAGCCAAAGGATGAGTCTCTTTAGGTAAAACTGTTGACTGGTTTTGATTAGAAGATGAATTTAACCTCATCTTGGGTTCACTTGTTAATTGGTTAATTGTTGTTGCACCTTTTGGTGAATACATTGACGTAGATAGATGGCTTAATGATTTACGGAGAGCCAAATGGGTTGGTGGACTTTGATCGTCAAACCGGACTCGTTGAAAAATTGGTTTACGTTTGTCTTGGTGCAAAGAGATTGGTATTGGAGTTGGATTGGTCGAGTCTTGATTCGATGAAGAAGAAGAAGATATTGAAGAAGATTTAATTCCATAGGCCGAAGTCAGGGTTACATCAGGATCAGTGTCAGTTGATGAAGCTGAACCAATCCTTGTTGGTCCAATGGCAACAATTCCCGAATCAGCATCAGAATCTCCTGAGAAAATGGTGTAAAAGTAAAATTAAGTCATCATTAGTAAATCATTTTTTAAACTAAAAACATTTGTTTCCTTTGATTGATGTAACCAACAATCATGATTACATTGATAGTTCAATTCATCTTCAACTAGATTCAATTCATATTATTGACAGTTGATCAACAATGATAGCAATTAAAGGCTAAATTTCAATGCTAATAATAAAGATGCAAATAAAGCTCTTAAAAATGAATAATGTAATTTGATTAGATTGAAGTTTAATTTAGGAAAGATGGACCATTTTTTTGATTGTAAAATGAAAATGTTTACAATTAAATTGTGTTCATTCTCAATTTGTCTCCATTCAATTGAATACAAATAAATGTTAACAAAAACTGAATCAATCCTTTTCTCAGTAAATTGAGGATATTAAATGTTAAAAACAAACTCTAATTATGATAAATCATCTTCAACTGATTAACATAACATCAATCATGATAATTGTGCGATTAAATTGTTTTCGAGAAACAATTCAAAAAGGTTTAAAATGAAAATAAAACTGATTTGGTTAAACATATTCTCAGTTAATCACAATTGTTAATCATGAATCTTTTATGGATTGAATTAATTGTTGATGATCAACAAATTGATAAAGTTTTCTGTTTAATTTGAATTTTTCACTCTTTTGGCAAAATGTTGATCAAATGGTCAAATTGGTTCTAAATTGTTCCCAGCTTATCATAATCAACTGACGCTATTATCACCTTCATCTTAATTATGCTGATGTTTGGTTCCTCTTTTAAATTTTGGTTATTTTTACTCTTAAAATAATTCTTAAGGTGAACTCGGTTAGAGGCCAATTAAATGTTGAGGTAAACAATTGATTATCTTGTGCAGAAGATGAACAATTGAGAAATGATGATTTAGTGATGACAAATGGCGATTCAACAATAAACTTTTATAAATAAAATGAGGAATTAACCTTTGATTGAACCAGCAGGTAACTATTCAATTAACATTGAAAGCAACAAATAGAGTTGACTAGTGAATAAAACTAAAAACATGGTTTCTCAGGGTTTACATTGATTTCAATTTCCTGATTAAAATTTCAAACTGATTTGAGTTTTTTGTTAAACACCATTTAATTGTTAACACTGTGAACTAGATTAAAGTAATTGTCTAATCAAACTAAACAGGAAATAATCAACTTTAAATGACCATTACAAAGACAAGATTGAATGGTTGGCATTTTGAATGTTGAAATGAAAGTTGTCACCAAAGGTAATCAAGTGGCAATTTCAAGTAAAGTGATTAATATTAAACTTACCATTAACAAGATTGGCATTTAATGGAGTTGCATTTGAATCTCGATTTGTGGCCAAATTTTTCGACAACTGTAGACCAATTTCCAGGTCACCTTGGTCAATTGATTCAGTTAGATAGTTCATTGATGGATTGTCCAATAAGACCTGAATGGAAATGATTAATTGACAAGAGTAAACAAAAGGTTACTTAAGTTGATTTTAAGGTGATTCAAGTTGATTCACATTTTCCTTTCAATTGCAATGGTTGATGAGTTTGTTATTTTTTTGCCAAAGGTAACTTTATTACCTTTTTGTGTTTCATTTAAAGTAATTAGCTTCACTCTGAAGAGTAACCATTCATTAAAAGTCAATGGCTGATAGTCAACCTTAACTAACCATGAATACAATCTGATGACTTCACATGGAAACAAAACAAAAGCAGCAAACTGAATAAAACTTGAATAATCATTGATAACCAAGACAATGAGATATTCAGAAGATATTTTGGTGACAATTTTGAAATTACCAAGCTCATTGAAACAGATAAGTTTCACATGGGAAATGGTGAAATTTTTGTTTCAACAGAAGATGGCTAAAGAAAATAAATTCATGGCAAATTGGCTGATAATTAGAATCAGCTGAGAAAATCTTTGACAAAACCAAAAGTACAAAAATCAAGAGGATAAAGTTAACCTGAAGATAATCTGTAAATGATAATCGTTAATACAATTCACACAAAGCTAAAAGGTATTTCAAGTGTCAACAACTTGGCCAAGTTGAAACCCAAATTGTATTATTGAAAAGGGCGGGCAAAATATTTTCAAGTTGAACCAGAAAATAGTTTCTTCAATTATATGTAATGAATACATTATAATAACATTATAATAGACATATTTTTTATTGTAGTTTCTTGGGCTTTTTTATAGTTTTATTTATACTTTGGCTGAATACTTTTAGCCCACTATTCATTTGACAAAAAGTCAAAGATGAGTTTGAAGAAAGTATTATCTGCTTGTTTTTTGAGTGGGAGCATAAAACAGGTAAGACGATGATAAGAAAAGCTTAGAAAGTGAATAGAATAGGCTTTTTGACAAAGAAATAGACAATTTTCATCTTCTTTTTTTACAGCCTAAGGTAACAACAAAAGGATATCATTTTGAAACCTGGATTCATTATAATCTAGGATAAGTGAAAATATTTCCAAGGTTAACCTCTTTACGAGTTGCTGGATTGAGTTTTAAGGTCAAATAGTCACCGTAAATATTCACCGCTAAACATTCATTAATTCATTGTGTAAAGCGATAATAAAGTGGTGGGTAATTTAAGTTCAAATGGATTTAGAATCTTAAATAAGCAAAATAATTTAACGGTCATTCCAGTTGCAAGTTTAGTGTAATCAAGGCTAGTCTAATGGGCAACCCTTAGATGAGTTTTATAGCCATCATATGCTCACTTTGTCTAGATGCTAACCAACTTCAAGAATTAGGACAAACCAAGATAACGTTAACCTAGACCCGAGCCCTGGGAATAACCCAAATTTGGTCCAGACTCAGCGAAGGCCGTAGGGTAAGTTGGACTTTAGATAAGAAATGACTTGTTACGATCGACTGATCAGGACAAAATAACAACTTGAACGAAGATTAAAAGTGAAAGAAAAAGGAAAATCTTTAATTGTAAAAGTTTCCTTTATGCAAAGAGTTGACAGAATTTTCAGCTCATATCATGCATTTTATTCATGTTGAGTGTTTTTTGCGAAGATCAAACCAACTGCAATCAGAGTGAAAATCTTTTAATGATCAAGTTTGATTCCTGTTCAATTTGATTGCAATTATATAGCAAAACAAAGTGATTATGTCAAAAAGTTGAAAATAACTTACAAGTTGAGGTTTAGTTATTAGTGAATCAGTGCCTCTTTCAGTCTGAGAAATCTTGAAAATTGATTGACCAACGATTTATCATTTTTTTTCAATTGAAACATTGAGAATGAGGTCAACTCTTGAAAGTAAAGGTAAAGTTGAACCAATTTTGTAATCATTATTTGAATAAAATAATGAATGCAAATATTGTTGACAATCGCGATTGTCGATCAAAATTGTATAACAAGTTTGTTTTATTGATATATCATGTTTGAGGTTGTCATTTATTGTCTCGTTTCATCACGAAAATGACCAAGACATGAAATGATAAGGATGCTGGAAGCAACAATAATGACGATGATAATAATGATGACGGAAATAGAAATGAAAAGATTCACAAAAATAAGCAGTTGACTATGAATCAGGTGAAAGTATTTTTCAATTGTATTATCAGTTTATTAATAAATAGCTTTTGCTTTTACCATATTTGCCTTAAAAGCATTCCAAGATAATGAGGGAAACTTTTGTATTATTATTTGTTATTAACTTTTCTCTTCATCCTCTTTCTCATCATCATCATCATCTACCTTTTTCTTTGAGAGTGTATACAAAAGGTGAAAGTAATTTATCGAAGTAAGTTTGGAAATCAATGAAATACAGAAAAAAAGCCAACAAATGATATATTTGAGAGGTTGTTGTTGTTGTTGTGGGTAACAATTTTTATCATTATTACCTTTAGTTGGATAAACAAAATGTCAAAATCAGTGTAACATTGAAAACTTTATTTAACTTTGATTGTTGTAATTTGCTTCAAAAATCATTGTTACCTGTTAACCTACGATAATGGTTATTGGGGCAGAAGAGCATTGAGTGTGTGATAAGGATGGCAGGATGAGTTGATGATGATGTGAAAAGAGAAAAGGAAAAAACATTTCAATTATTTAATGTAAATTGAGACATTGATCATCGACTCAATACCTTAAAACTACGATTAAATGGCAATCAAGTCGCACAATTTTTCAACACTTTAATCTTACTTGAAACCTTCTCACAATTAATTGACTGATTAAGCAAGAGAAAGATAATTAGCGACACTTTTTTTACCCAAAAATTTTCTTCTCAGAATCAATTCGCTAAATGAGTTGATAAATGATGATATTGAGATGTAACGACCTTTTCATTACAACCATAATGACAAATGTGAGAGAGTCTGGGTGTTGATTTAAGCCACAAAAAGGCCCAACTAATCGTTTGCTCATTCAGTCCATTTAACAAATTGTTGAATCAAGTTGGACAAAGTGGAAGAAGTCAAAAAAAAGATTTCCCACCAAAAAAAGAGGAACCATTTAGTGAAGTGCTTAGAGTTAGGTAAAGAAAAGATGATGAAGATGAGCAAGATGAGGAGTTGAAAAAAAACAAGGCTAGATGAAGAGGAAGATGATGATTAGTATAAAACATGATATACTTGGATGATCCCATATGACCTAATAAACACACAGTACTTGGGTTACTGTTATTTACATAAGGCAGATTAAAATCACTTCAATGTTGACTTTACATTGAGGATGGGCAAGTTGATTGTGAAAACTGGCCAATTGTCAGGCCTATCAATGATCATCACTTTAGTGCTTTTTGTTTTTTTCCTCATTTCAATCTTTCATTTTTTTCGCCAAATTAACATTAAACATGCAAGGAAAAGGTTGGCAAATGAATTTGGTTATCTAACATCATGAACAATGTTCATCAACATCATTGGTTTGGTGGGTTTTTCCCTCTCGTTTGTTGGTGTGGTCAAGATTCCGTCTTTCTTTGCTCTTGATGATTGATGCAAGTTTAACAAATTAACAGAATCTTTTACTTCTGATTATCTCTCGACAATGAAAATCAGAAAAAAAAGGTTAAACAATTTAAATGTGCGTTCATCATGACTCTTCAACACGATAACTTTAAAAGTACCTTTTTTTGTCTAATTGTTACAATTAAAGTTGTCAAACATTGCCCTCACGTGTTCAAGTTTATCATTCAATTGACCTCAATCAAATATTTTTTTATTAATATTTGCTCTTTTCACATGAAAAAAATAAACTTTAAATTGGTGCAATCGTTTGAATATTGCAAAGCAGTTAAGTTAGCATTTACATTTGAGTTTGCTAAAGATCCATTGGATTGCTTCAGATTACAATGTTTAATGCTAGTAAATTGATTATTGATTTACTTTTTTTCATTTCTCATCATTTCTGAAAAACAAAAAGATGATTCAATTTTCGCACTTTTTCTTGGTCATCAACTCGATCCATTTAAACAGTCATGACTAAATTGTAGTCATTAAATTGGACCAACTTGAATCTAGAAAAGCAAGCTAAATCACTCAAGGTAATGATGGTCAGTTTGATGGTTTTCATTAGATGGATGAAACCATCAATTAGATGATGATTATGCATGATGAATGGAATGACGGTGGAGAGGAAATGTTGAGCTTTCGTAATTGGCTGCGATTTACATCAGTCAATGTGAACTCTAAGTGAACAACCAAGGAATGAATAGTACTCATCATGAAATCAACTGCATTCATTGAAATGGTTTCAATGAAGTATTCCATGTTTGATTCGATATAAAATGATTCCCTTTCATTTCGACGATAAAAGGATTTTGTTTAAAGAGATTATCTAAATTTAAAGACAAACAAAATTCTAAAAAAAATAAATCACTAATGAAAAGAGCGCAATGGTTCGATCCAAAACAACTGCATAATGAGTTTGAAACCCCGAATTACTGTTACTATTACCATTTATTTAAATAATTTAAGTGTTTTTATGCTTATGATGAGTACTGTATTACCTAAGGAATGCTCGAAGAGGACTATTCCAACCTGGGTTATTAGAGTTTTCATGACTTCCAGATGGATAGCCGTATGATTGACTGATGCCACTTTGAACATTATTGTGAAATTGTCCACCATTTGGCATTCCTCCAAATGATTGAGTATTAGGTGCGAAGAAAGGGATACCGTATGATGGCCCTGAATTGGCTCCTCCATAATGTTGACCACCGAATGATTGAGCTCCGCCGAAACCGCCGTTAAAAGAACCCATTGCTGGACCTTCGTTATAACTTGCAGGTCCTGGCGCTCCTGCAAATCCATTAAATTGTTGCATGTAACCTTGATTAGGATTGGCGCCATAATTGTTGTTTCCTTGATTTGAATAACCTCCTTGAGATTGTGGTGCTGTGGCTGGACCACCGGTTAAAGCGGAGTGACTGACAACAGGTAAATTTTGAACATCTTGATGAGTCAATGGTTTCAATTCA